TCTAATAAAATAAAAAAAAAAAAAAACATGCGAGTAATAAATAATTTACATAATTATTTATTTATTTATATGTGTTTCATTGGTCTTATCCTTTGACATTAAATCAGTCTCTAAATCTAAAATAATTCTACGTAATTTATCACTATTAATATCTTGTTCTAATATATTTTCTAATGATTGTCTTAATTTTTTTAAATTTGATGTTAAAGGTAATGGTCCAAAATTATTATCTCCACTATTTAATAAAAGATTAAAAATATCATCCCATAATTTTGTATGCCAATATCTTTTAAATGGTTTTCTTAATTTGTATTTATTATTTGGTAATCTAATAGTATCAATAAATTGACCAAATAATAGAGAATGAATTATACCAGCTAATCCATAATAATCTGCTTCAAAAGTCCATTCTTTACCTAATCTCATTTGACTACAATCTTGTTGATCAGTTTTCCAATCAGATTTAAAAGTAGTTCCATTTGGAAATAAATTCATATCAAATGATCTACCAAAATCAATTAAATAAATTCCTTTAAAATTCCAACCATCTTTTGAATATTTGTTATATCTACCTAAATTAATTGATTTATCATTATTTTGATTTGAATTAATTAAAATTGGTTCAAATCTTATCATACAATTATCAGGTTTTAAATCTCCATGAATAATACCGATATCATGTAAAGATTCAATAATTTTCATTAATTCAATTGTTAAAAACATACATAATAATTCATCAACTGAATTATTATCCATTGAATTAATTAAGTCTAATACAGTACCTTGATTAGCATAATTTAATACAAGATAACTTTCATCTAAAAAATAATGTAAAGAATCAACTTGAATAATTGATTTAAGTATTTTTTGATTATCATAAAGTCTTGCTTCGATTTGTTTTAAAATATAATATTCCCAAACACTTGCAGGTCTTTCAATTTTTAAAGCTTTTAAATTACCTTTACTTGATTCAGCTAGATAAACAATTGCATAACCACCTTGACCTAATTCTGATCTAATACAATATAAATCATTTGTCTTTTTAAAATCAATAATTGGATTTTTATTTTCCGTTTTTGATAATTTATGAATTTTTTTCAATAATGTACTCATTTTCAATGATTGATTATACCTATAAAAATTTTTATATTGATCTAAAGGTGGATCAATTGTTAATAATAATTTATTTCTTAAATTTGAATCAAATGGATGTTCAATTATCATTGAATTCGGTATCGGTATCGGTACTGGTACTGGTACCGGTGGTTGTGTTAAAAATGGTGAACTTTGAGTAGATTTAATAATATTATTGTTATTATTATTATTATTAAATTCATTATTTTCTGTAAATTCTTTAATTGGAGTCATAAAATCTTGTAAAGTACTTTTAAATTCCATTGTAATATTCTCCTTTAATTTTTTATCTTTATTATTTTGATATGAATTAATATCAGTGAGATCATCAATATTTTGCCTTGTAAAATCTTGTGTAAAACCATCACCTTCAAATACAGCATATTTATTAGTAGTAGTAGTATTAGTGGTAGTAGTGATTGTATCATCATGTTGAAATGGTTGATTTTGTTGATTAAACATTGAATAAACGTCATCGATTGCATCTTTTGAAAACATTGTTACAGTTGGTGAATGATGTTGAGTTAAACCAACAGATTCATTTTGTTTCTTTTTTGAATCGTTGCTCTCATTATCGTCTTTTAATGGTAATAAAGAAGTATTAGTAATGTTAGTATATTGGTTCTCTTTATTAATTTTTTGTAATTTTATTGGTGATAATTCTTCAGTGGTATCGATATAAATTTTATGTTTTGATTTACTTAAAGATGATAAATTTTGACTAAAAAAAATTTTCTTATAATAAAAATTTCTTGAAAGGGCTAAAATTTGATCAAAATTAAATTCCATTGATTCGTTATCTTGATATAGCAGATTAAAATTACAATCAATCTTTTCATTTTTTTCACCAATAATTTTATAGACTGGTTCATTAACTAAGGAGATACAATCAATTAAATTTAATGGTAAATTCATTGAATCATGATGATGATACTTTTGTGGAATGATATTTTTATAATGATTGAACAAATTTTTCAATTTAATTAATGGTCTTGCATTTAAATTAATACCGAATTTTAAAATTAATAGACAATTTTTAAAATATTTTAAATTAAATAATAAGTTCGCTATAGTTTCATAAAATAAACTTAGTTTATACCCGATTTTATTTGGATGATTGATCATAATAATGAATTGTTTCAATTGAATATTTAGATTATTATTCGAATATAGTTTAATGTACAGCAACCAAATTTTAATTAATCTTGGATCATTTGAATAAGTATCGATATTTGAAATATAGTCGATACAACGTTTTAGTAAGCTAATAAGCTCGGCGTCATTATCATGATACTGATTCAGCCATGATATGTAGTCTAAGAATAATTCCAATGGGTCATCTAGTTCTTCTAAATCCTTGAACAATTTCTGTTCAAATTCTACTTTTGTCGCAGAATATATTTCATCATCTAGCATAATCTAACAGATAGTATATAGATAGATTCCTAGAATAAGTAAAGAATAGAAACCTTTCGACTGAGAATAATAGTATACCGCCCAGCCCCTATATATATATATATTTATATATATGAGTGTATAGATAGGTAAGTGGGTATCTTGTTAAAATAGCCGCCAACCATAGTGGTAAACATAAGTAAACGTTCCCACCACCACCTTCATCTCCCACACACTGTTTACAATTATCGAAGAACGTTGTTTACCACATACAATTTGTCACGACTATTTCTTTCGCGTGCGGGTGTGTGGGTGGGGACTGCACAACGCACACACCCACACACCCACAGCGGCAGGCAGCGGCAGGCAGCAACGCCACCACAGTTTTTTGCACAAAAATTTCTCCGATTAGAGAAAAAGAGAAAGAGGCAGCACAGCAGCTGCAACGGCCAAACCACTACGAGAAGTGGGAAGGTGAATTCGCCTCACCAGTCGCTAACATAGTACCCAGCCATATTCGCATACTAACTGATATAAGAATATATGACACACCGCTCAGACATATAACATAATATACACACTATTTCAATATCTGAGGTATATATATATATATATATGTATGTATATACTAGATTTATATGATTAAAATTATTACACACTTTAATCTTATTGCAATGGATTAATATAATGTACAGTTAAAGGGTAATGCACGTTGACGCATATTTGATGTATAAAGAATACAGAACTTGTAATTATGATCTGTAGTGCCACACTTTAATAGAATATATGTAGTTGTAGTTGTAGTTGTAGTTGTTAAACGAATGTTGTGGTACCGTCTTTTTCATAAAATGAATAGTCATGTTATTAAGTTCTTATATATATATAAGGATGATTGAAATTAATTGAGATTATTATGTAAGAGAAAGAATTTATATATGTGTGTCTTGGAATAATATAAACTGCATACATACACATATATATATATATTATATTATATCATATTATATTATTGGGAAGGGGAAACTAGAAAAAAAAATGAGTAGTGAAGTTAGTACAGTATTACAGAATTTAATTTCAAATGATTCGAAACTAGGTTCAAGATTATTATCCTTATTATTAGTTAATAGTGGGAACGGTAAAGAAATTATTAAAGCAATTAATAAAGGCGATGATGAATCATTAAATAAATTAGATTTAAGCATTTTGAAAAATTTAAATAATTCAAATTTTTTAAAAAATGTGAGCAATAATAATAGTAAATTAATTGAACCAACGATACGGAATAATGAAATTGATAATGAAGAAGAAGAGTTACAAATTTTAAAACGTAAAAGAAATACTGAAGCGTCTGCAAGATTTAGAAAACGTAGACGACAAAGAGAATTAGAAAAATTAGATAAATTAAAATCTTTACAATTACAAATTAATCAATTCAATGATAAAATTAATTTACTGATTGATGAAAATAATTTTTATAAATTAAAATTAAAAAAAATTAATGAAAGAAAATCAAATGAATTATTAAATCAAATTAAACGTAGAAATATGCAAAAATAGTGTTTTAAAATATATAGCAATTTTATTTAGTGTTTTTTTGTTTTTTTTTTAATATTATAAATTTTGATAATAATTAATTTTTTTAGCCCATAATTCATTTAATTTAATTCTTTGTAATTTTAAATCGTTAATTTCTTCCTTTGAACTCCAATTATCTTTCGTTATTTTTTTAATTATTATATCAAATAACATATCATCTTTTTTTTGTAATTCAATTAATTTATGAATATACTTTTCTTGTTCAATTTCATTATTATTAAAATTAACTTTTTCAAATTTTTTAGTTAATTCCTTTATCGTTGTAATATTGCCAATTATAAATAATTTATTATTTTGCATAAGTCGTTGATGATGTATTGTTGTTTCACATTCAGTTGTTGTTGTTGTTGTTGTTGTGTTTTCAACTTCTGGTATACTTGTTGGTTTAATATTTCCAAGACTTAGTTTACGGAATATATTAGAATTCGATAATGATCTAGATCGTGATTTAATCTTTGTACTTGTAATTGTATTTGTGTTTGTGTTTGTATTTGTACTATTACCAATTGTAAGACTATTTTGTCGTGTTAAACTAATAGGGAAAAATCGTTTATTTGTTATCATTGGATTACTATTATTTCGTGATAAATCAGTCGAAGTATTAGTAGAACTACTAGTATTACTACCAAATGAAAATGATGGCATTGTAACGGGTGATGACATTGTTGATGTTGATGTTGAACTTGTCATTCCATAATTTGTCTTTATATTTATATTCGAATTTGATTTTGTCATGGATGATAATGATGACATTGATACATTACGACTATGAACTCTTGATGATATATCACTAATCTCTAATGCTTTTGAAAGATCTTGTAATGTATAATCAACAGATTTATCGCATTCTAGATCATTTAATGATGGCAATACATTAGAATTATTTATTTCGAAGGATTCCATCTCCGTAACACTGACTATTGAACTTTGTCGTGTTGACGGTAAAAATGTTTGTGGTAAGGGAGGTAATAGTAACATGTCATCTTTACTTAATGGTCTTGATTCAATAATTGAATTTTTATTAATTATTTGATCGTGATCATTAAATAATGTATTTTCGGTAATATCATCAACTAAACTTTCAGTATCACTCGATACAGCTTGAACACTTAATAAAGGCCGTTCTTTAATGATACCATCATTCATCTGTACATTGATTTCACCATCTGAAACACGACGTTGTTGTTCTTGGATCAATCCAGAATACTCCATTTTTCTCTCTTTCTTTCTTTTTATGTTTTCCTTGAATCACCACTATTGATCCGAGTAAATATAACACAACAACAGTCTCCTTTTTCCCCTAGTAATCTAACACTTGACCGTTAATACCAACGTTTGCTGTCTTTTTTAACTCTTTTCAAAATTGTTATTTATTTATTATATCCCCTTTATTGACTGACTGTCAAATTTTTTTCTTCTCTGTCTGTCTCTCTTTTTTTTCCAGTTGACTTCGCGAGCCTCTCGAAATCGAATTATTTTTTTTGTTTTTATGCAGCCCGTTTTGTTTTCTCCGTCGGAGTTTTTAATTCCGGGGAGAACAAGAAGATCAGGATTCAGAATCAGGATCAGAAAGGCAGTACAACAGCTAACAATATTTGGAATATAGGTAAACAAGCAAGCCAGGAAGGAAGTTTCGGGGGGGTCTTTAACTTGTTGTTGTGCCATAGTTGGCTACTGGTGGGTCAGTATGTTCTTGGAGCAATGGTTCCTGTGTAGGTTCCCTTGTAGTGGTTGATATTATTGAATCATGATGATATGAATCATAGTAACTGTTTGTTAAAAAGGCTAATACCGTTTGATTATCTTGATGATCGTTTGAAGTTTCAGTATTTGTTACAAATATACGATTATTCTGAATATTGATCATTATTAGTTGTATAATTAATAATGATATATCTAATACTATGGAGAACAATGTTGGATATGAATTTAATGAAAACCAATCATCAATTAAAAATAAAAAAATTGTCTTATATCTAATTTCTGGATTCTGATATGTTATTGACCAATGATACCAATTTGAATATAACATTTGGAATAATATCATTGTTTGTAAATTATCCATTAATTTATTTACTGTATTCCGTACAACAATATGATCAGGTTCGGATGATAAATGTGATATTGAAGTTAATACATTTGTTGTTGTATTACTAAGCTCATATTGGTGGTCAATAATTTGTGATATAAGCATAATTATTCCAAGGATGGAAAGATTGATACATGCTAATAAAACCGAACGATCTTTAATAAATCGAATAAAAATTATTAGCTGACTTGCTATTAATAACTGTTTAATTAAATCATGCTGATATTCATGTTTTGTAAATAACGACATTTCTCTCTGATTTCGATTAACCTCTTTTTTGTTACAATAAACTGTACGTAGATACTATCATCCCTCTTGTACGTTAGTATCCCCCTTTTAAATAACTTGCTTTTAAAAAGGGTTTATCCAATGACTTATATTAACTAACAGCACCTTCCTTATATGTGTGGTGCGATAAACGTATATACTCGCGAGTTTAAGAAAAAGTCCCTTTAAGAGTATATTCGTTGTACGTTCTCTATGAGAGCCTGGGACTTCCCGCTTCGCGGTGATGACCTTGACGAGAGGGTGAGTGAAATTTTCATATATATTTATACATTATTAATAAGCATACTAAAAGAATATTTCAACCATTTTGAACGTTAAGAGAAAGGGAAGAAAAGTATACGAAACCAAATAGAATGACGTTATCATTACGTGAATTGAAACCAAAACAAACGGGAGTAGATGAATCTCTTAGAATTTCAAAGATTTTAATATCAAAAAATTGGACGTTACCTCCAAGGACTAGTATCAGTAAAGACACTACAAGTACACTTGGTGGTGGTGGTGGTGGTGTGAGGAAGAATAGAAGTAAAAGTAATGATGTTGCTGATGTGAAGGTTACTAGTGTAGAACAGAAAAAACAGTTACAGAATAGAGTAGCTCAACGAGCCTATAGGGAAAGAAAAGCAAATAAGATTAAAGAATTAGAAGATTCTATTGAGTCTTTACAAAAATTAGTTTTACATTGGAAAAATAAATATAATCTTAAAGAGAAAGAATTATTAGAATTAAAAAATAAACAGGCAATAGTAGTTAATGAACCACAGAAGGAAAAAACTACAATAATTGAAACACCAACAAAATGTGGGTTTTGTAATGATGATTCAAATTGTGTCTGTACTGAATTAGAACATACTAGTGATGAAAGGGCAACTATTTCTATTAAGAAATCCAAGAAAGATTCTGTGTTTAGTTGTTCTGGTTCTTCTGATACATGTGAAAAATGTTCAAATATTGATGAAACTTGTATAAAGCCTGCTACTACTGATACCCCTATATCTTCAGAGATTGATTTCACATATATGGCAATAAACAGTGGTAGTAATAATAATAATAATAATAATAATAATAATAACAATAATAATACCATTCAATTAAATAATGGCACGACGTTTCAAAGGATAAAAAGACAAATGTATCAGCAACAACCAAATTGAATTAGAAAATGGAACTTGAGAGAAAAAAAAAATTTATTACTTAATAATGGTATGTGTATGTGTGTTTATAAAATTTTAATTTATATATGTATTTGATGATCATAATAATTACAATAGGTAGCCTAGACCTTGAGATAGCAATTGGAAAATTGTTGGGACCTCTAAAGTACCTGCTACACCCTTGGACGAACTAGACCTCGAACTAGAAGTAGATGAAGCCAATGTACTTGAAGACATGGTAGTTGTACTAGAAGTTGAGGTAGATTCTACAGAAGAAGAAGATGTAGATTCTACAGAAGAAGAACTTGACAAACTTGCAATATCATCATCGTCGTCATCATAACAACTATTTTGAGTTGAAATAAATGTACCCATTGGTTCACCTGCACCACTCTTAAAGTATGCAGATGCAGCAGTTGGCATATCAGGTAAAGTATTATTAGCTTCCCAAGTACCTTCTTCATAATCTGGACAAGTAGAATAATCATTACCATTATAAGCACCACCATCACCGGTTGGATTAGTTACTTTAGCATATTCACTCTTTAAATTTTCATAGTCTGGTAATTTAGTAACATTTGTACCATCTGAATCGATTTTCACTAGACCATAATTATTTGTTTCATTAGAATATTCATAGACTAAACCACCACTAAAGACACTACTCATTTGGGTCGAATAAATAGATTCAATTTCAGTAAATGGTCTATTTGAGACAACTTTATTACAACCAAATTCAGATAAAAAGATTGGAATAGAATAATTTTTGTATAATTGCATCTTAGTAGCGTAACCTGATACACCAAAGGATGATTGACCACACCAAGAATAATCATTAACACCAAACATATCGATTCTAGCATCAGCATCATCACCACAATTGAAATATTCTGCGCTTAATTGTCTATTAGCAACAATATCAGCAGCTGAATAACCAACTGGAATTGTTCTATAATTTCTTGCTTTGATATATTTTTTCATATCTCTAACTACAGCTTTAACATAAGTTGCAGTAGAAGTAGTATTATCACTATTGATGACTTCATTACCAGCGAAAAAACCTAAAACGTTATCATATTCGGCAAATGCATCGATTGTAGCAAAGACATTTTGTAAATAATCGGCATTATAAGAACAACTTGGATTTAATCTTGAAATAGCAGATTTTGGAGTATTAACATCCAAGATCAAATATATTCCTGCATCTGATAACAACTTCATACATTCGGAATGATCAAGGGAGTTATCGACAGTATAGACCCTAACAGTATTGATACCAAGGTCTTTAAATACAGGAACATCACGACCACAAACGTCAACATCAGCTAATGGATCAGTTAGATTAGAAGAACCACCTGGTTGATAGTCTACACCTCTAATATAGAATCTTTCATTGGTGTCAGAGTTGTAGAAGGCATTACCATCTATAGTAATTGCAGGAGTAGTAGAGTTAGAAGTAGAATTAGAATCAGCAGCAGTAACGGCAGTAGGAATGCTTAAAAGTGTCGTTACACTGAATACAGACTGTATTATATTACTTAGACGCATGATTGTTAGTTTGTATGTCTTGTTATTGCTCTTGGTTTAAAACAACCAACAAAGAAATTATTCAACTCGAGAAAATAACTTAGTATATATATATGTGTGTATATATATATAGAAACTCTTTCAGACCAATGAAAAATGTAATTAAAAAGAAAGAAAAAAATTAAATCACTCTCTTTAAGTGATAATTACTACGTACGTACATATATGCAAGCATTGCCTGATTTGGCAATGAGAAGTCCAGCAATGGTATTTTTCTTGTCAGTTAAGACAGAGGGAGAAACTTAAGAAACCGTTTCAGGTAATAGGAGATCAATCGTAATTTTTCCCACATAATATTCAGAAGAAAATAAACTGAGAACCAGCGTGGATATCAAATATTCATTACTATTGCTACTAAACTGGAACCGTCAATAATGCTATTTATAACCATAATAAGAAGGGAAGAGACAGACACAACTCAGACAAAGGAGAGCTCTAAGCTCATTATTTTTGTTATTGTTTCTTGAGCAAGATGCTGAAAAAAATTTTCAGTTTAAAACTTCATGCACGCACTTTTTCTCTCGGTGTGTCTTCTTAACTCGCTCCATGAATGCATCAACATAACTTTATCAGTATATTTGTTTACCTGTAAACAAATAAAGAGCGCACGCGTAGGAAAGGGGACGAACTAAGATGGCTGCGTTCATTCTGTGCACTGAGAACGCTCTGGTAGGGGGATGTTTCTCATTTGTTTCTGTTTGCCGGAAAGTCTGATTTTGAAATGAGATGGCAGGTTTTTTTGTTGCTTTGCGCTGCACGCCAGGGATTTCGTTTAGAGAGGGGAGGAGGGAGCAGTGATTGAATGGAGGCAAAGTGGTATTTGAAGTGACACACTCATAATGTGTCCATGTACAAAGAGTTTGTTAAATTGATGATAATGATGATGATGATGGTCCAGTCAAGGAGAAATCGGGTTGCGAAATTAGGCATGCTTTTCGTGTTTAATAAGGAATACCCATATGTGCGTGTGCAACAGGTGAGCGGAGCTATTAATAGTAGATATGTTTGTAGTCTCTTATATTACTCCTGTGGGTCTAGTACGTATAGTACGGTATTGATTGACATTGCTTCAATTAGGTTATTCTCCCTAATTAATAAAAAATAAATGGTTTCTGAAAAAAAGTATTGTAGTTATATAATTAAAAAGTTCTTTTGTATATATATATATGCTTTTTTTATGATAATTCTTTTCTTGATTATGTTTTTAAATTTTATATGTTTTAAATTGATTTTGTTTGTTTTTAAAAAGGGTTTATTGTTGTACAGTATTAATGTACATTAAAAATAAATGAGAAATTAAAAGGTTTGCTTGCGTGTTCGTAACCTATATGTGATGGGCAGAACGTCACTAAACAAATTGTTCTTGTTTAGTCGGCTCCTCTTGTTCATTAGATTTTTCCTTTTCAGTTTCTTCAGTTGGTTTCTCATCGTTATTAGTTTTGACCTCTATCAGTGTCTTTTCCTTTCTACAACGTTTTACTATCATTTGGTGAATACTCTTAAAATGAACTTGTAAATGCTCAAATCTTTTAAATTTCTTCTCGCATACAGTACAAGAAAAATTCCTTTCATTTAAATGAACAGATGTATTATGTCTGTCACGATGATGTTTACTTTGAAACCATTTGGTGCATTTACCACATTTAACAGGTTTGGCTTGTTTAAAAACTATCTCAATTGAAGGTTCCTTCTTTTCAATTTCCATGAGATCTCCTACTATAGTAGGAGTAGTTGTTGTTTTTATCTCTTTAACTTTATCTTTGAGGTTAGTCTTCTTAGTAGGATAGGTTTGGAATCTATAAGACATAGCACTTGAACCTTCAGATGATGAAGATGTAGTAGGAATATAATCTAGATCCAAGTCCATATCAGTATCATCACTATAGTTTATTTTAAAAGTATAATTTTTATTATTATTATTATTAACTTCAGGAGCAACAACAGGGATATCCTTAAGAGATTCTTTATAGATATGTAATATATCAGCTTCAGAGATATATTCTTCATCGCTATGAAGCCTTTCAAAAAGTGGTGAAAGGTTATCGGGACTATTGGGAGTGACAGTTCCACTCACCTTTCTAGTAGTTCTAGTGCCATTCGTGAGTTGTGTTGCTGTTGTATCTTTGAAAACAGGTGACACATTTTTTAAATCTTTTTCAGCATTGATTATGTTTGGAACAACTGTCGTGAACGAATAATCATTAATTAATGGATTATCAACATTTGTATTGAAATTATAATTACTGGAAGAAAATGAATATTCTAACATATCTTCAAAGGTAGCAACTTCATTGAAAGTAGTGCCTTCTAGATTAGAATAGTCATTTTCAAATGGTAAAATGTGTTCAATAATTTCATTAGTTTTATGTTCACTGTTGTTGAAAGTAGATTGATCGAATAAATTGTTTGAACTTTCAAACATTACTGAAGTGGAAGGGGGCATATTGGAAAAGAGAGATGGTTATTTAATTGAAGAAATTTAAAAACAAAAGCTGTAATTATTAGCAATTATATTATTATATTATATTTTATATTTTATATTTTTAAACAAAACTGTTTATTGTTGTTGTCATATGTCGCTAATTACTATATAAAAAATATAGAAGAAAAGATTTAAATTAATTTTGGATAAATAATGAAACATTACAAATCTTACATGAAATATAAATTTGAAAAAGGTGTATACTAATGTTAATAAATTGTAGTTGGAAAAAGATGTCATTACACTAATTCGCATAGATTAAATTATGTAAAAAAATATTAAGTATTATTGTGGATATGCCCCACTGCCTGAAATAGTCAGTATTGTAAATCTATCTCTCCAAAAAAAAAAGAAATAGAACTCACTACAACGTTATTCGTAGTAGTGGTGAATAACCTGTAGAAAAAAACGTCGTTCGTGGAATGAGCACCTATTCACTCTTTAGAGATTTGGACGTTTTTTCTTTGTTTGTTTCCAAGAGGCAAACGACGCAGGGCTGATCCAAAATTACCTACTTGGAACCCTTCAACTAGTAATAACATACAAAGAAATTATTCTAGTAAGCAATACGTTTCTGTGTGGTCGATACGCCCTCAAGCCACACTTACTAATTATTCCCGCCTACACTCAAATATTAGAGGAATAATGTATCAATCAATTGCTGTTCATGAAGACGACACATTATGGAGCAGTGTAACAATATCTTAATGTCAAACATTTCATTTTCCTTAATACACAAGGAGGGCTATCTAGTTAACATTTCAGGTAGTAAAATATTTCCATGTTTAGAAACGATGCTCTAAATATGGAAAGTGTGATTTTTCCCTTTTCACTAAATTAGTTCTCGTTTATTATCAAGAAATTTTCTTAAGAGTTGAAAATACTGTTTGGTTCTGCAGAATTATCATTTAAGCATCTTGCTAGTAGACATAGATTTAATATAAAGTATGCTCTTAGTTTACTTGCTACTTACGTACACATAAGAGTGATACACAAAAACAAATTCATATAATTAAAGAGAATACATACATCATCCTGATCATGTCCTAACATAATAAAAGACTCCATCCTTGACTATTACCCAACTAATATTAAATCTTCTGTTATTCCTCACAATATAAATCGACTTGAACCTAGCAAGTGACAGTACTATTAAGCTTTACTTGTGAGTAGAAAGAATCCATATTGTGGACATTCCATGTAGCTCGCACACGGGGGAAAGAGCTCTTATAATTGTTGAATAACCGCCCTTCTTCACCGGTTGCCACTAACAACGAAGTTTTTATTTCCTATTCGGGCATTTGCCGACAGAAGACATCCTTCGCCGTCGTTTTCCTTGTTTGGTTTTTCCTTATTTGTATAATAATGTACGGGTGTAATAAAAACCCACACACCAATTTTTGACTGGATTCGGCTGGGACTTAAAAACATCCCGCAACATTTAAAAAGTGTATTAGGTAGTACGAAACAAACAAGCAACAATTCAGAAACTAATAAAATACAACCAGACACCCAACATCCCAGGAAGAATCTGTGAAAGACAACACTCCCCATCTCAAGGAAGGAAGAGCGTATTATTGGTTAATGGAAACAAGAAAGAAACAAAGTGGAACGTGAAATTTACTCCCAAATGTTTATTTAAATGCAAAATATGTATATGAAAGCGGTTCGAACCAGGAATGAAGGAGTCTGGAAACGAACACGAAACAGAAAAGAACTGATTACAGCAGGACACCCTCGTCAGATTTCAGAGAGGTAAACTTAACATCCCATGATGATTTCTGACGCATAACCGGGAAGTAGAAACGAATACGAAACGTACAAGAACAGGCTACAACAGTACACCCCTCGGCAGATTTAAAAAAAGGTGAGTTTTACTTTACATCTTCTGAAGGTATAGATCGATCGTATCGTATTTAACGCCAAACTGGGAAATGGAAACAAACACAAAACAGATAGAAACGGATTGTACGCCCAAACATCTGCTCACTAGTTTTGAATACTGGGAGACCGCCACTCAGCCTTGCACCATACATAGTAAGTATTTTGAGAAAATGTTCGAAATCCTGCCACGTCTTAAAGAGCCAGGCTAATTGAAAAGTGGATAGGAAATGGAGTCAGAAACAAAGTAGAAATAGTTGAGAAACTTAGTAACTAACTTCCGCCAACCAGTAACAAAACAGGCCAGAACAATGAGAATATATTATCATATATGTGACACTAATGATTAACAATATATTACTTTAGTGGGCTACATGGTTTTCCTAAGAAATACCAAAATGTTCTCCCTTTAAAGATAAAGTTGTGGTAGATGTTTTTGTTACTAGAATTATTATTATCTGGCAATTCATAATATCTTTCCTCCTTAATATGCTCAATTTCTATTACTCTATGAAGAAATAGGATTCAGCAAGTTGCAGCGGTCTATTATATCTTTAGATGCTCCTATCTTGGCGGTAAAAATACGGCAACAGTTAAATTATGAGATATGATGAATCCTAATTCTCCATAGAGTAATAGCATAAGCTTATTAAGAGCAAAGAAATAATAAGTGATACGACGAAAGTCAGTAATCAAAGATAATAAAATAGGCTTATCCGACTTGGTCTGAGATGAAGTGATTCTTGTATGAACAAGAAAATAACGCAATACCAAACATATATAAAGAGCATGAATTATGGAAGTAAAAAATATCTATGTCCTAAATATTATGTACATTAAATTTCGGGGTTTGAAAGAGAACGACGAAGGATAAATTGTATAATATTACTAAATAACTTTTAATAAAAATAAAATTGACAAAATGGATTACGCTCTACGAGATAACATAAGTAGTAATGCAAACGCTTATCAAGATATATTTACGTACGTTTTGTATGGTTCTTGGTAATGTAGATTTTGGCTATTTTGACACATTTAAAGAAAGTATCACTTTTGTTTTTTTGTTTACGCCAAGGTACGGTTTATCACATCACATATCTGAAAGCACAATTAATAAAAAAAATTAATATTGAGATTTCGTTATAAAACATAAAAAATATGTTTTTCCTTTGAGAACAGTTATACTTCTATTGAAGTATGGATACAAAATATTATACACAAGTATTCGCTTATACAGATATATTCAACAAATCACCCTATTAAAAGTCATTTGATCAAGAAAAAGAATGAATACGGTCTTGTAGCGATGATCCCCACAAACCACAAGATTAATCTTACATATTCGGATATTACACATTCATCCTACAAAATAATGCTAATAGATGTTTATATAGCTTTAGTACATCATGGTCCTTTCTTTTCCTTTATAATACAAAAAAGTATAATCTGAATAGATCTTAGAAATAGTGTGGCAATAGCAGTCTCGTATTGTTCCTTCACCACACTTTTTTTTGTCTTCTCACGCCCTTGCATAGCAAAAGCCAAAAAAAAATCAAACTATGGGATTTAAACCGGTATATCCCTCTCCCGCGATGGTACAAGGTTGCTCCTTATATAAAGAAGATCCTATATTTCAATATACATATCTCTAAATTGGTATTCTTGAATTACTAAAAAAGCACTCTTACTAGAGAACCTATAACACGTATATATAGATAAGTTTAATAATAAACAATGGTAAAAGCGTACGTACATGATAATAATAATAGTGTGGATGCCAGAGAGGCTCACGATACCGGTGTCCCTGTCACATTGGAAAGACTTGAAAAATTAGGTGTCATCTACAAATATCTCGAGACTCAGCCTGATGTAGAATCACTAGCTAAGGAGAGGAACTACAAGAATCAAGATACTGTGAATATTCAACTAAGTACATTTGGTAATGATGAAAATTTATTTCAGAAGAAACTTGCAATTTTCTATGAGGAACATTTACATGATGATGAAGAAATAAGATATTGTTTGGAAGGTACAGGATATTTCGATATTCGTGATAGTCATAATAATGAATGGATAAGATGCAAAGTGGATCCTGGTGATTTACTAATTGTTCCTGCTGGGATCTATCACAGATTTGCATTAGATATAACTAATTATATCAAAGCGTTAAGATTGTTTAAGGATGAGCCTAAATGGGAAGCAATCAATAAGTCATCAAGTGCAGACGAATCTTCAACACGTAAAGCATACCTTCAATCAATTGTGTGAAGAAGAAGTTTTTTTTTAATCTGTTTAATACAACGAAATGACAAGTAAACATATGTAAAAAAACAACAACTATAATATAGTGTAATTGTAATATCATATCAATAGTAATAACCTATTTTAAAATATCATACATAGCTTACATCTGATTTGGGTTTGGGTCAGTAAATCATTGATATCTATCGTATGCGATTCATTTGGTTCTTATTTATAGATTGTGAAAAAAAAATAAGTATGAAAAAGTAAGCAAACCATCATGCTGAAAATAAACGCAGTAAAAAAAACAAAGAGAAGAAAATACAAAACAAAACAAAACAAGATAAAAGGTAGAAAAAGTGTATACAATATTTTATAAAAATAGTAAGAACAAGAACAGTTCATATAGTTACAAGGGAACGTCTATACATTTCCTACGATTTTCTTTTTCAGTTTTTAATACGCCATACATACATATTGTGTAACCTGTTCTGTTACTATTGAAAGGCTGCGATACCGATAGAAGTATAATTAATTGAACATTCAATAACAGATGGATGTACCTGTTCAGGATACGGTCGTTGAAGCGATCAAAACCGAGGAACCTACTATGTCTGATACATTATCATCGTATCTACCTAGAGTGGACCAATTTTATATCCCAGAATGGTTAACAATGCAATTTATTGCAAATAATTTAATATCGTTTACACCATTATTCTCATATGGTTCCACAGTAATTAGTATTGAACGAAGCCAAACCGCTCTTGGATTTTCTATTGATATATGTGCTACTATGATGATTGCAAGTATACTAAGAATATCATATTATTTAATTACGCCGTATGAGATCACATTATTACGTCAATCAATAGTGATGATATTAATTCAATTAGTATTATTACACACAAGTTTAAAATATAGGCCTGAAGAATATAAATATCATAATTTAAAAGATGTTGAATCAATGAATGTTTTATTACATGAGATATGGTTAGAATTTTTTGATTCAAATGATATGCTACAATATAGTAATAATAAACCACAACAATTAATTAATAATTTAAAGACATTATCATTTAAAAAATTATCTTTATTTAGTTATAAAGTCATATTAGCCTGTGTTTATAAATTTCTTAAATTTTTTGATCCAGGTTATAAACGTGTATTTGCATTTTGGCAATGGGCAGATAAAAAGACATATTGGAAATTTCTTGCAAGTTTTGCAACTTTTCAAATTTTATTAACTGTATTAATATCAAAAGTATTAAATTGGGAAGAATTAGCACAATTATTAGGTTCGATTATCGGTTCATTAGGATTATTAGTTGAATCATTATTACCATTACCACAAATTGCAATTTTATATACTTTAAAATCTATTCAAGGTTTTAAATTAATTCTTTTAGTCAGTTGGCTCTGTGGTGATACATTAAAGATTACATATTTAGTCTTTGGTGCTAAGAATATTTCAATTTTATTTTTCTTATTTGCATTTTTTCAAATGTCATTAGATTTTTACATTGCAGGTCAATATATTTATTATAAATTTTATTATCCAAAACTTCGTAATGAAGTTGGATTTCATGATCAAGAAATTGAAATGACAGATTTTGTTAAGGATCAAATTCTTGAACCTGTCAATACGGACAATGATGATTCTTCAAGAGATGATTTAGATATACAGCCAGGTCATTCTCATGCTCGTCAACCACAAACTTTCCAATAATCTTTCCCACTCCCACTCCCACTCCCACTCCCACTCCCACTTTAATCCTTCCGTCAGCATATATATACATACATATATATATATACACGCACATACAATATCTTATTTAGACATACATACACACACCAGTCATTATACATTAGCTTAGTGCCCCTCCTTTCACGTCTCTTCTTCTTCTTCTTCCCGTGCTGCTCCTCATGACGATGATGATGTATTAAGTCATCTCCTCTCTTTATTAAATAAACAAAATCAACCAATCAGTGCGGGGCGAGCGAAGAAGCTGAATGGGAGGGCCTTCTCTCCGTTGATTAAATAAACAGAGAGGCGAGAAAGCGAATGACTCTCGCTGCCCGGGAACTCTCCCTCCCTCGCTCTCTCGCTGTCTCTCTCGCTCGCTGTGTGTGGGCGGCGTGGGCGGACGGCGGGTGGGTGGGCGGTGTGGTGTGGCTTGAAGCAATCGGAATTTTCTCTTGAGGTGGGAAGGAGGGACTTGCTCTCCTCGATCAGACGGAAAAAGGGGATTTCTTGATTTTAGCAGTATATGTATATATTTATGTATATATATAAGGAAGGGGCAGAGAGAGATATGGAGACACAGGAAGAGGTCTGCTTTGTTCTTATCTTTCAGTTTAGTTGTTTAGTTACTAGAGTATACAACAGTACTATTCCTAAACTATACTACAATTACCCAATTGTCAAAAAACAAAACCAACAACTATTTTAAATCACTTATACTACAATAACAAAATATGAGTTCGTATATTTCAGATATTGCGACCTCCAATTCAAGGATTGAAGGTACTATCCTAAATGCTACTTCAACACATGATTCTATCACTTTTACGTTTTTCATTGAAGAAGCTTCATCAAAAAAACCCTTTAAAGTTTGTTTTAATAATTTATTTTTAAGAGATGCTTCACGTTCTCCAACTTCAGTTGATGCAAAGACTGGACAAAAACTTTTCACTACAGGCCAATTAGCTTTAAAAAAAATTCATACGATTCCAAATGTGATTAAAATTTCAAAAGATGCACAATCTGTTAATATTACTTGGAAAGATGGAGATTCTTATGACTACCCATTAGATTTCTTATTTAGATACAAAGGTTCAACATTCGCAACAAGATCCTTAAGAAATCAATCTTCAATGTTTAGACCAATCATTTGGAATAAGACAAGATTTGAAAATTCAATGGAACATTTTGAAACTGATTATTCAAAATTTATTAATGATGATAGATCTTTATTTGATGCTTTAATTAATTTACAAAGATATGGTTTAACTTTAATTACAAATTTACCAAAAGATGAATCACAAAATCCTGAATTATTAAAAAGTTTATGTGAAAGAATTGGTCCAATTAGAAAAACCGTATATGGTGAAACTTTTGATATTAATAACTTAAAAGAAGATGATACTCATATTTCTTCAACAAATATTAAATTACCATTTCATATGGATTTACAATATATGCAACATGTACCGGGTTATAAATTTATTCAATCAATTAAAAATGAAACTAAAGGTGGTGAAAATTTTTTTGTCGATGGTTTCAATATCGGTCGTTCAATTAGAGAAGAAGATACTGAAGCTTATGAAGCTTTACAAATCGTTCCTGTAAATTATAAATATGCTAAAGGTGATATGCGTTATTATGAATCCCGTCCTGTGATTGAACAAAATGATACTAGTGAACATAATATTGAACCTGCTAATTATGAATATTTAATTAGAAATGTTAATTATTCTCCACCATTTCAAGCTCCTTTCACTTATGGTATTTATAATAAAATTCCAAAGGATACAGATTCCGAATCAACTGATACAGATAATTGTATATTAACAGCACCAGGTAAATTAATTGAAAGATTTACTTTTAGCGATTTCATTAGAGGTTTAGAAATGTTTGAAAATCTAACACATGAAGAGAAAAATCAATTTATGATTAAACTACCAGAAAATTCTTGTATTATTATGAATAATAGGAGAATATTACATTCAAGAAATAATTTTGAAGCTAATAATGAAGGAGATACAAGATTATTTAGAAGTTGTTTCTTAGATGGTGATCATTTTAAGAGTAAAATGAAATATTTAGAAGAAAAATTTGAACTTTGATATTTATTCTCATATATATATAGATGTTTTTTTTTCACTCTTCTTTCTCACATTCATTCACATTCTTATCTGTATTTGATAACCTAATTTAATGTAATCATCCTTCTATTTCTATACATCTTTTACGTTTTCTTTAAAATATATATATATATTTAACAATTACAACCTATAAATACTATTATATTTCACACCCGGCGGCTAACATAAAATACAATACAAACGCATACAAAATACAACAGCAGCAACAAAATAGTAATAATCAAAAACTATGAAGATGTGTCTTAGTGATTTAATGAAACTTCACCATACTAAGAAATCATTAGCTGAAGCACTTACACCGAAATGTCGATTTATTAATATGGATACATCCGTTGAAACAGTCTCTTTTCAAGAAATTTTCTCTACTACAGTTATGTTTTTATTTCGTTCTTTAGAATATTCAACTGATCCATTGACTTTAATATTATACAATGGTAATAAATTGAAAAAAAGGATTCGTTTCCCTCCATTTGGTAAAGATTCTAATTCAAAATCGATTGGGAATAATATGGCTATATTAGTGAGTTTATTACAAACTATACTAGAAAGACAAAATAAATCAATGACAAGTACAATAAGAGATATTTTTTATTCTAATGTAGAATTGTATCAAAATCAAAAAAATGTTGTATATTGGTTAGAAATTATAGCTAAAAATTTTAAATTGAAATCAAGAGATAAATTAAATATTGTGGCTGCTCAAAAAGGATTATTATATTCAACGACACATATATTGGTGACATCAAATTTAAAAAATATATATTCAATTAATCGTGATACTATTGAATTAATTCCTTATATTGATGAATCATCGATTATTAAATTAAATCCAACCGTTGAATATAACGTGATTGTATTTGAAAAAGAGGCCATATTTAATAAAATTGTTACCAATTTAGTGAAAATTTCAACCGTTTATGAAAATACTATTTTTATTACTGGGAAAGGTTATCCAGATCATCTTACAAAACGGTTTATAAACAGATTATTAATATGTAATGAACAAGTCAAAATTAAATTGTACGTTGATTCAGACCCAGAAGGTGTCTGTATCGCTTTAAACTATATCAACAACTGTACAGAAACAAAAAATATAGAATATAAAGGATGTACGTTAGTTCAATTGATTAAGAAAAGAACTCAATTAATGAATTTAACTCATCGTGAAATATCATTGTCAATCAATATGATTCACAAAATAGCTAGAAAATCTCAAATTGATCGTACTAATACAGATAACGGAATTGTCAGACAATTACAACGTCAGTTGTTCTTCTTTAAGAAAGGTGAGATGAATGCTTGCTACGCTTAGTCAATATCCTTTTGGCTCTCTCTATTCTTCGTTTGTTGAACTTTCCTGATTTCTATTATTATAATTTTTACTTCTTACGTGTCATAGTTACCGCGTGCTCTACGGGAGTTTCTGAGAAAACACTGTTTTCTTCCTCCCATATAAAGAATGAAAAATATTCAATACTGAAATTCGAAGATTTCGTGATTTGAACAAACAGTGACAGTTTTTGCAGAAACTTGATTTTTAAAACATAAAGAAACTTGTAAGATCATATACTAGAACTGGCATTACGTTTTTTATTTCAATTAAAAGATTGTCTAACATTAAAAACACAAGAACATTTTGGGTGATTTACATTATTAGTAACGAACAATATGAGTTCTAAATTGTTTTTACTAACCTTGTTGTCAATCGTGACAACGGCATTTGCAGTCTCTTCAAAGTACTCTTCATTTACTATTACTTTACCATCATTTACGCAAGAATGTGTCTACCACGACCTTATTTCAAAAAGTGATGCACTAGTGGTCAGTTACCAAGTCCTAACAGGTGGTAACTTCGAAGTGGATTTTGAAATTACAGCACCAGATGGGAATAAAATCGTTAAGGAAAAACAAAAGAAGTACTCTGATTTCTTACTGAGATCATTTGGTCTAGGTCAATATAAGTTCTGTTTCAGCAATTCATATGGTACTGCTGTTAAGAAGGTTGAAATGACCCTTGAATTAGAGAAGGATATTCAAGAGGAAAGAGCTACCAACGCCAATAGTGAAGATGTTATTGCAAACAATGCTATTGAAGAAATTGACAGAAACTTAAATAAGATTTCAAAGACTATGAATTATCTAAGAGCCAGAGAATGGAGAAACATGTCTACCGTTGAATCTACCGGCTCCAGATTAAAATGGTTTTCTATCCTAGTTATGGCATTGATGGTCGGTATTAGTGTGATCCAAGCTCTAGCCATCCAGTTCCTATTCAAGAGTCGTTCATCCAATTTTGTATAAGGGTATAATGAAATATCTATATAGTTTTTACATAACTACCTAATAAAATGTTTACCACTACGATTAAACGTTTATTGAATATGAAACTAATTATCACCATATATATAAATATCACATTTCATTAAATCGACATTAGAGGAAGACGGCTGAACGTCACATTTTCTTTTTATACATAATAATATGTTATAGCTGAAGCTGTGAGGAAACTTAAATTAAACAAATTTATATCTGTTACAGTATCTCTCCCAAGACAGAGTACTCTGGTTAATTGACGTCTTGTAAGCCTTAACATTTCATTATGATCAATGGTTATTAAATTTCTACTCTTTAACCATTCCAGTCCTAAAATTCCAAACACACCAACATATAATACAACCACAGATACCTTAACAAATAATAAACCTGCCATTATACCACATATTGATCCCAAACAGAGTTGTCTGTAATAAGATTTACGACGCAACTTTTTCTCTTTTTTGGAATTTGTCCCAACGAGTTGAGTTGGAACAGGATAAGATACCTCTTTAACAATCGTTTCGTTATTAATTGGGTAATTATTAAACTGAAAAGTTGCTACACTAAAAATGGCTGCCGTTCCAACAGTAAAAACCCATTTCTTAGTTGATCCATTACCTTTCATTCCGTTGGAGATAACTAGGGGTTTCGTCCTAATTGATCTTGGAGAAAGACCAACTGAAAAGGAAGGAATAGGTACCTTCCCAACAGTTCTTAGTGATTGCGGAAATAATCTTGATTGAAATAAATAGGACATCATGCAGGCTTTTGCTTCTTACTGTTTTTGTTTGTTAGATGATAGTGGTCTTAGTGGTTTCTAAAGACTTCCTTTATTTCAGCGCTATTCGCGATGAGGCCTTTATATAAATAGTTTTCAATCTATCAATACATATAGAGGGACTGCATGAAAAATGTAATATAGTCGCAGATAAAAGGTATAGAACTCTGTGATTAATGATGATAACCTTATAGTAAATAAATATTCTTTATTATAAACAATGATATGTCGGAATTGTAATGTGTTTACTAAGATAATAAATGATAAATTCTAGGATTTTGCCTCGTTTACAGTTTTACGTCTTCTTGCACCTTCTCTGGCCCAAAATTCATCACGATATATCTCCCAACCTTCTCTGATCTCAGCGCTAAAAGCTCTTGGATTCAGAACAATCTTAACATCTATAGCGCCAATCCTCGGTTGACATCTCAATTTCACGCTGTGCCAAAATCTTAAGAGAACAATTGGTTTCCAAAAAGTTAGTATCTCTTCACAGAGCCAAATATTTGAATCTGAAAATGCATTCATCGTGAATCTTATCATGTCCGTGAGATTTTCATCCCATGATGAATGAACTTTAACCAATCTTAAATTAAATTGCCGTATACCTTTATTCGTAGATGCAAAAAACCTTCTGGGTATCACTATAGTTCTTTTATATTGACCACTTAGATGAAACAGGACTAAAGTGATTGAAATAAAACATATCGTAAACTGCAAAAAAAATCTATACACTCCTTTCACAACAACGTCACTGAAATATAATTCATATATTGAGAATGCTGCAACACCTGCTAAACAAGATAAAAACCCAGTATATTGCCATCTTAATTTTTTTTGTTCTCTTGCTTGATTACGTAAATCTTCCTCCATGATTAATAAGTTTCTAAATATCATTGATGTTGGTGATATCTGGTTAGAGTTTCGTCGACTTTTACTACTTGAATCCCTTCCAATGGATCTTCTTCTTGCAGATCGTGGCGTATTCTTAGTGACACTTGAACTTGTCGATGACAATCCCGACAGTTCAGGCGGACACATATAAGGAGTCTCCAAACGTTCATCAGTTGATTGATCTGATTTCATAGATACCTTAGAAGGTGTTATAGGCGTAGTTATGGCAGTTTTTTTGGCAGATGTGTTCTCTATGGTAGGATTATTTACAAAATCGTCACTGGTCAACTCTCCCCCACGTGAGCCATCTTGCTTGAGATCGTTTTGCTTATTTTCAGGAAGAGATACAGTTGGAAGTTTAACCGTAATATCTGCAACAATTGATTCATCTTTCTTGATGGGAGTTGTCGGATTCATGATACCAACGGATACTATTCCTTAAGTATTGTGTCACCTCTTAGTTTCGGATGAGTTCCCTAATTTCTAATTCAAATATAGTTTTAACGAGTGTCAGATACAATGGCCGTATTCAAAACTTCCCAATATATCTGTTAATAAAAACAATTGATAATCAATCGTTAGTACAACCGGTTCCACTGAAGAAGAAAAGAAGTTTAAATAAAGCTAATTTTTTACGTTTGTCAATCCTGTCTTGAACCTTCTCTTAATTTAACCTTTAAATTCCATCAATTTTTTTGTTGATTTTGAATTTCACAAGCATCGGGTTTTCTGTTGATGAGGGAACTCTACAAATAAACAGAAAAATGGCAAGTTCTGTCCTTTCTGCAATACACGAATGGCTGGAGGGTAGTTACTTCAAACCTGATTTAGATGGTTTAAGTTCAGTATTTCCAATTGAACTGTTAGTATTGAGCTCTTTCATTTGTTATTTAACACCACTTTCCAATTCTCTGAGGTTACAAATTGTATCTCCGAGCAAGATCTTAATTATTATAGGATACCGCTATCCAATCGATGACCTCAAAGGTTACCCAAACGATAATATAGCATCAGTTAGATATTAAATTTCGATAATTAACTTGGAATATTTTCCTATAGATAAAAGAGACAGTTGAAAAGAAGACATAAAAACACACTGATTGGAAATGCTAGATTTTATGGACTACGTCCTACGGGCATTTGAGAAGTCCACATCGTGGAATCGTGATAACAATTACGAAAATATTAATGTTACATCTGATACATTGATAAATTTTCCAATACCTACCACTTTCAAGTTTCAAACCTCAGATCGTGCTTCAAATAATACATTCAATACTCTAGAAATTACAGCTCACAAACAGGTTTCGGGATCGTTAGCATACCTTTACACCGATGCAATTGGGATGGACAAATACATACGAGGTTCCCAATCGAGGAGATTACAAGATGCTACAGATACTTATAGACATATCCAGCCTTTTTTTGCAAAACAATCTCAAAGTCTCTCGGAAAGTCATGAGAAATTACAATCAAATAAAACTTCAACGAATGATATTTGCCGATCGTTATATTACGGTAGGATTTATTACCCAACTTCAATCTTAGAGGCAATGATAGTTAAACGAATCAACCTTCATAATCAACTTACAATTAAATCATTAAGCAGTGCAAATAATAAATTAAATGTTATATTTGTAAATTGGCAAAAATATAAAAATGAAAATTTACAAGAATTAATATTTTCATCCGATGGGGCTCTTTGTGGGTACAGATTCCTTCATAATTTTATGAGTTCTCCATCTAAGTTCAATAATGCTTTGTATAATAATGCATCATTTTCGATGGGTGGTGAAATGTGGTTGGGGTTATCTACTTTAACACCTGGTTGCTCAACAAGCTTAAGGTATTGTACACATGCGGCTAACACCGGTAGGCCATTGACGCTAACGCTCTCTTGGAATCCATTATTTGGTCACATCTCATCAACTTACTCTGCCAGAACAAGTATGAATACAACGTTTTCTGCAAGATATGAGTTTAACCTATATTCGACAGATTCAAATTTATCCTTTGGTTGTGAATTCTGGAGAAAGAATCTAGCTGAATCACAGGAAATCAATAAGACATCATCAAAGACGGAAAACCAGAAGCATCATCACGTAGTCTCAATATTTGATGAGACTGATTATAATAGACATGACCAAAAAAATATCCCAGAGGAACAAAAAAAATTATTGAATGATATTACGCATACTTTTTCATCATCCCTGGAACAAATGGATAAAGAAAAAGCCATCATTGAAGATGTAGAAAAAAAATTCAACAACGAAAAATTTACCAATGTATGGAAAATGGCTACTTCTTTACGTGATCGTAATATAAGGATGTTATGGGAAGGAAAATTTAAAGGGTTCTTACTGTCTGCCGGTACAGAAGTATTTTTGACCAAAGATTACCTGAACTCGGTAATCAGGTACATCAATCAAAGTGATCCAGTTATCAATGAATCTAATATTGTAACACCAAAGACGCCTTCTCCCATTTCATTTGGATTAACTATCCAATACTCTACATAATCTCGAAATGATTATGCCTCTTGATAACTCAATAAACAAAATGCAATGGTCATTTATGCCTCATTAGTACATACTAAATATATAAGCGTTACTTTCAATATTACATATTCTTCTTTTGTCTTTTACCTCTCAAGGAATGTTCATAGTCATTTAGATCAATTCTTAGATCTTCCGCTCTCTCCATATCGTCATACCCATCTAATTGATACCATAAATTATATCCAGATAATCTTGTACCTATTTCTAATAACCGTTCCATCACTCTATGTACTTCGTCAAGTGGTTTAACGCTATTTTTAACAATCGGTTCAAATCTGGTAGGGATATCATACAAGGATAAATCCATCGTGCTAAACAACGGAATTGGACAACCATCCAAGAACAATGCTTCGTTCACTGTTTTTAACTTCTTCTTCCTTGAAAACTTGGCAATATCTTTCAAATTGTGTATTACAATCCATGATATAATAAACCTACCCTCATTTTCATCGAATTCAATGACACAGTCGTTAGGCAAACGATACCTAAAATTTGTAAACTCGACATATTCTAATACTAAGTGGGCACCCTCAACATATTTTTGTTGAAATGCTGTCAATTTTTGTTCCTCAGTTATATTCCCACTAATACTATCTCTCTTCGAATTCCTTCTTTTCTTATGAGGTTTATTCACATCTAAATCGTTGTTTTCACTTTTTACTTCGATAGTTTTTTCTTCATCACCCCTTCCATTCTCTTGATCCATAGATTCAGGTCTTGTAGCTACACTGGACTTCAGATCAGTTATATTTGATACTTCAATTGACTTGTTTGGTATAATATCTGAATCTTGCACAGTGATGCTTTCTTCTCCATTAATCGTTGTTTTTGTTGCTGACAGTTCTTTCGTTACTTGTTCCACTTCCTTTACTGATTCTTTATTTTTCATTAACTCGTCTTCTTTCGTTGACACAGTCTCCCTCTTTTCACCTTCCTCGAGGTCTGTGGAAGGAGAAATGTTTTCTTTTACTTCACTCTTGTCAGACTGATCGGACTCTGATGTTATCTTCAATGTTTCCACTTTAGATTCATCATTATTGCCATTCTTCTCTTCTTCACTGACTTTCTGATCTTTGTGTTCACTGTGCTCCTTCTGGCTCCTCTCATCTTTTTGAGGTTGGGACTTTTCTGGAATTCCGCTTGAACTTTTATCACCGTCATCTCCTGAAATGTTGTTAGGAGATTTGTTTTTTAGTGGAACAATCGGCAGCTTTGTTTTAGGATCCTGTGATTTACTGTTCTTAGGAGGTGGAGGTGCACCCATCTTTTCGGCAATCTCCATAATTTCTTTAAACCTTTTAACTTCTTCTTCTGTAGCTTCATTTTTAGCAACTCTGTTCATAAGTTTATTCAATGCAGGATCACTTTGAGCCATACGATTTAAGTTAGATATCATATTGGAACTAACTGGATTCGAATTCTTTTTTGTCTTAGATGTAGCGTTAGCCTTCGAATTTGCTTTCGAATTTGCTTTCGAATTTGCTTTTAAGTTAGCCTTCAAAGTTGCCTTCTCTTTCTTTTTCTCTTTTGCTAATTCTTGTTTTTTTCTTGCTAATTCTTGTTTCTGTTTTGCCAATTCTTGTTTTTGTCTTACCAATTCTTGTTTCTCTTTGGCTTTTCTCTCTTTCTCTTGTTTCCTTAACAAACGTTCTTCTTCTTTCTTCCTTTTCTTTTCTTCCTTTAATCGTATCTTCGTTAGCTCTTGTTCTTTTTTAACCTTTAAACGTTCCTCTTTCAATTGTAAGGATTTTTGTTCCTTTTCTTGTTTTCTTAGCAATGCTTGTTGTTTTCTGTCTTCTATTCGTTTCTTCTTTTCCTCAATTGCTTCTACTTTTTTCTCTTCTCTTTCTCTTTTCACTCGATCCTGTTCATCTTGCCATTTAGCTTCAATCTCTTCATCCTTCAAGATAAACAATCTTATATCAAATTTGTGTGGACCTGCAACCATTGTACAATCACACATTTTTTGCATTCTATCTCTAATACCAGCATTAGCGACAGGATTTGGATGATTAGGATCTCTCTGCGGCCGTATCCAATATAACTCGAACATTTCACCTTTTAGCCACGTCTTACGTGATTGAATTAAGGAGTTATAAAGTACAGCTGAGTCCTTCACGGATAATGGATGTGTTAATGCAGAATTATAATTTGGTGGATCGATGGATGCAGGTAAGAAATCTATGATCTCGAAGGGTCTTCCTTCCACATTTTTGGATGCATGCAATTCACCTTCATCATCATTCAAATCCGATACTTCCTCATCTGATTCTTGTTTACGTTTTCTGCGAGTTCTTGTAGATCGCAGCGATGGAGTTACTGGAGTCGGCGTTGGTGTGACAGATGGTTCCTCTTTTACTGCGATATCATGGGACCTTGTTCTTGTCCTAAGTACTCTTGACATCTTTGTTAGTACTTTTTAGCAAACAAATGGTATAAGTTTCAACTCTTATTTTATTATATTTTACTCTGTTCGGTCTCTTTCGAGGACTTGTTGACATTTAATATTAAAAGTTACGATTATCTTTAAAATGCTGAACGTGTCACATTATATACTTTATTTACCGTAAAACGTGATAATAATTTTCATCAAATTTAACAACCTTTAATGAAGACAAAGGAATAAGGATAGGGAAGTGAGACAAGAATATGTTCTACATATAATTAAGTAGAGACAGAAGTTTTCCACTTAATTTATTATTTGTTAAAAAAAGGGAGGAACTGTGAGCTAAAATTTTTAATTGTAATTGTTTCTTTCTTTTTATTTTACTATGAATGAGATAAGGAATGATATGAGTATGTATATATGTATATATATTTTATGGATGGGTGTATATTATTGATAATAGTTACAATGATTAGAGATAGAAAAAAAAATCAACTATTTTCTATCTAGTTAGCTGCAGCAGCTAGAGCTTGCTTAACATCATCCAATAAATCATCACCATCTTCGATACCGACAGACAATCTAACCAAATCGTCAAAGACACCAGTGGCTTCTCTAGCTTCCTTTGGAATACCACCATGAGTCATGACGGCTGGAACTTCTAGTAGAGATTCGATACCACCTAGAGATTCAGCCAAGGTGAATAGTCTAGTAGTGGAAGAGAACTTAGCAGCAGCTTCAGCACCACCCTTAATTCTGAAAGAGATCATACCACCACCTAGAGCATCACGGTGTTGCTTTTTAACGATTTCGTAGTTTGGATGAGTTGGTAGACCAGGGTAGTTGACAGCAATGACATTTTCGTTGGATGCTAAAAATTCAGCAATCTTGGTAGCGTTAAGAGCGGCTTGTCTAACACGTAAGTGTAAAGTCTTTAGACCTCTGTGAGTTAACCAAGCGTCGAATGGAGATGGAATGGCACCAACGGCGTTTTGTAGGAATTGTAATCTTTCGTAAACAGCCTTGTTGTTAGTAGCCAAAACACCGAGCACAACATCGGAGTGACCGTTAATGTATTTGGTAGCAGAGTGAACAACAATATCAGCACCGAAGTTCAATGGGTTAGATAAGTATGGAGACAAGAAAGTGTTGTCGACAACCAATAAGATGTCTTTGTTTAGAGACTTGATCTTATCGGAGACAGCTTGAATATCAGTGACCTTTAAAGTTGGGTTAGTTGGGGATTCAATCCAAACTAACTTAGTGTTTTCTTTAACTAAAGATGGTAGATCTTCTAGCAAGTTGTTTGTGAAAGTGGTGTCGACACCATGAGCATTAGCAACTTTAGTGAAGTATCTGTGAGTACCACCGTAAACGTCACCAATAGAGATGGCGTGAGAACCTTGTGGTAGAGATTGTAAGATAATAGCAGTAGTAGCTGAACCAGAAGAGAAAGCTAGACCGTACTTACCGTTTTCTAAGGAAGCAATTGCATTTTCCAAATTTTCTCTGTTTGGGTTTTGAGAACGAGAATATTCGTATGTACCAATTGGTTGAGCTGGAGCAGATTGCTTGAAAGTAGTAGACAAAGAGATTGGTTCAATGACAGAACCGTGAGAGTCAATGTGTTCACCAGCATGGATAGCCTTGGTAGCGAATTTGTCAGTAGCTTGTAGAGTCATTGGTATGTGTGTTGTAGTGGCTATTGTGTTATATAGTCTATTGATAGAAATATGATTTCTTCTTGTTAACTTGAAACAATTGTAGTTAAAAAGGTTTCTCATAATTGGAAGATATTTCGACCTTAGTTTTTAAAATATCACCCCAGTTGGCTCTTTATATATCATCATCCTCCCTGATGATGATCGATACCAAAAACCAAAGTCCCATACAGGATAGACGAATACTGCCTCTGGCTACTAATTCCATGTGTTTCGATAACCTTCTTCTCTTCTTCTTACTATCCATCTCTCTCTGCCTTGCTTACGTAAAAAAGCGACAGAAAAAGTGAAAAATTTCAGTTTCTTTTTTCTTCTTTCCTTTGGCTGTGGAAACGCCGCAGAGCTTTGGTCGTTTGCTAAAAACTGTGGAAATTCTGCGGCGACAAATTTTTGTATTTTGGTGTGGGTGTCACGTGCTTGGATGGTACCACTAGTGGTAACTACGAACGGGAAATTATGTTTTACTTGCATGCTGCCGTTTCATTAAGACACTAACTGATTTGGTTTAGTTTAGTAATGGGGATATATTACGTAATACTGTGGAGATGTGATGTAGTTGCCGTGTGTTAGTCACCCTTTAGCTGGGGGGTGAGTGCCGGAGATTTACTGGTGGATGCGTCATCAAGTTTTATTATTATTGGTAATGTTACTACTCTTATTATTTATGTATCATTATAAGGTGCTTACTAACTGATGTAATTGATTTACTGAGGAGGCGATTGTAACGTCTGTGGATGTTGGAGCCGTTGTAATTGTTGGTGTAACACCTCGAAATCGTCATTGATTTCAGAATCTCTGAGACTATTGAGGGAAGGTGCACCAGGAAACCCATAATAATATTTCTTAAGACCTTCTAAATCACTTAATTCATTATTCAATCTCATCCGATCCACTATCACTTCTAATTTATCTACAGGATTATTCCTATATCTAAATTCGATATTTTCACATTGTAAGTCCTCACTGATAGGTTCTCCCGGTAATAATAATCTAGCTGGTCCCGCATATCCCGTGATACAACTTAACGTCTTATCGGCGGTCTTTATTGGGACATGGTAATGCACTTCAGGAACCACGATGTCCATATCACGTCTCTCTTTGTTAATATCGTACCATCTTTGTGTAGTATTATCTAACAATTTATTCTTTGTATCACACATTCTCTTATGATAACCTTGATGAATAAACGTTCTTGTCGCACGGGTTTCTGTATCGATACATTTCAATTCATATCGTTGTCTTTGATACGCACGGCGTAATTTATAATCTCTAATGCTAGCAATCTTTTCATAATAACCTCGTAATTCTGGATGTGAACCTTCCAGACACATTTGCAATTCTAATTCTAACTTGTATAATTTAGTCTCATATAACTTTTGTCTTAATTCTGCAAATTGATACTCAATTGCTGTTATATCCGTTAATGCCTCTTGTCTCGTTTGTTCACTATCACCTGTATTTTCTTCTTCCTCTTCCATTTCATCTTCAACTTCATCCTCATCTTCAACATCTTGCTCTTCTTCTTCAGGTTCTTCATCCTCTTTCTCTTCCTTTACATCTGTGGTATTTTCAACAATATCCACAGGTGCGGTTTTAACAGTGGCAATTGTAGTTGCAATGGAAGGTGTTTCAGCGTTTTCAGGTTCCAGCACAGTTTCTTCAACAGTTGGAGTCTTAGTCTCTGAGTTAATTTCTTTAGTTGTCTCAACCTCAATCTCAGTTTCATTTAAACCCATGTTTTTATCATTATTTTGAACAGGGACAATATCGGTTAATAAAGTTTCCTTATTTACTTCATCCACCGATGGAGTTTTATCAGGTACAGCAGGTGTAGTTCTAGTATCATCAACTTCGTCCTCTTCTTCATCTTCAAGGGCATCATCAAGGGCATCCTCTTCTTCATCACCTTCATTACCAACTTCAATGTGATCTTCTTCTTCGATGTTAGGTGAAATGGTATCTTGCGAAGGATCTATTTTCAATTTCTTGTTCTCTTCCTCAGGTTCAGTTTCTTCTAATGATCTCTTGTTGTTGCCGATAGTGTCCTCTTCGACAATATCTTCACTTAGAGGTTTCACTATTGTTTCTGGTTCATCTGGAATCAACGCTGCTAATCTTGGAGGAACTCCCCCATTAGATACACCATTTTCGTTAGTATCACTATCCATCTTCTCAGTATCTGCGTCGCTAGATATACAATAATCCGATAAATTCAAATTACGGCCCAATTCTTCACTAACTTCTTGATTAGTGTAGTCTATATTGGTTAGGGCACTCTCTTCGTCGTCTTCCTTGAGTCTCCTGATAGGTGAACTTTCTTTCTTATGTTCCTTGATTTCAGAATTGGTGTCCAAAGGTGGTATGTTACTCACTGGATTCGGAGTATTACTATTTCTGCTGGTAGTGTTATGAAGTGCTAGATTGTCCACGTTGAGATCTTCTGTTCTCGTTGTAGTTTCTTTCTTCTCGGTATCACTCATTACCGTATTATGATATCCTGTATGATAAATTAAAAACAAACAATATCAAATAAACAAATACCTGCAATCGTCCAAAAGTTAGAATTATTGTGTTTTAAAGACAATGATATATGTAGGATTTGTCGGTTATTATTTGGATACTTATTTTGCCTATCCTTACACACAAATACAGAATATCTGTTTATATTATGATTTCACCCTTTTGCTCAAACAAAAATTTACTGCTCTTATTTTCATTCATTTTTTTTTACCCAAAACGGGAGTAGGAAAGGAAATTGAAAAGCTCTGCCAAATTTCTCTTATTAAGGGAATATTCTGTAAAAAAATTGTTACCCGGGTGAGATCAGAACCAGAATTCAATGTATAAAGGGTATAAAGAGATGGATCTGTGAACTGGAGGAGTAACAGTAAGATGTATTATGATTAGTGTTGTCACTCAGAGTGGTTTATCCTTTTTTGTTTCGGTACTTTGAAATGTTTTCGAGAAACGAAGAAAGTGTTCCAGTTAGAAAGACAAATTATGCATAGATTATGTGAAATTTAGAATTTAATTATGAGGAATTTGTTGCTGTGTGGTTCTTTGCTTTATAAATTACGTTTTGTATGGTATTAGCTAGGTATAATTTAGTAGCACGTAGATAAATATTATACATAGTTGACCATTTAGAAAAAAATAAAACGGTCAGCCAAAAGAAGTTAAACTTCTATACAGCGCGAGTATTGACCAACTATGTTCAAAGTCCTATATGTTAACAGTTCTTTTATAGTTTTGTGAATAGATCTTCAACAGTCCAATAATTACTGGAAATTTTAATTACCCTTCTAGGGTTGAAAGCGAGAGAGGATAAAGCTTATTTAAATAGGAAGTAGAATTGTCTTGCGTACCAAAGAGGACAAGCTTGTTAAAACTGTCGGAATTTACATGATAGAAGAATGACGTCAAGAATATAAAATATAAGAATAAAAGAATGATAAAGATTGTCATATTTGATAATGTTCAATATTTAACAATCCAAAATGAGAAAAGATAATAAAAAGACGCATTTGGAAATCATGCATAATTTCTACAATGCTAGTATTGGAGATTTATAATCACGAAATGTAACCAAATCCAAAGGTATATAAAGGGAACAATATTTCATACATTGGAATATTTTATTTCCCTGACTATTTTGTATATTATTTATAATTTGTATACTAAAGAAATCAGACGACTATACGTTGATTTCTAATAAATTAAATTTTGTACCATATTAAAGAAATGGATTCCTCTAATAATTCAAATATCCAACAAAAACTATTGCCCTAATAACTTACATACGAAAAGCAGTCACCAGTCGTATTCTCCCCTTAGAAGTACAATGTTCTGTTGATCTTTGTGAACGATTAACCACCTAATTAAAGCTAAAAGAAAGAAAGAACAGTATAAGTATGGAGCATGTCAAATTATGTGCGCCTGATTTACGTTTTTAGATAACGCTATTTGATTTTTAATTTGAGAATTGTAGCTTTGCCATTTCTGTTAATGTCGTTCCTTCTACATCTTGTGGGTTGTTTCCAAACTTCAAACTACATATAAAAGTAAAAATCATTCTATTGCAGTTAACGACTCTCGCTTAAGTCGTGTTCCGCTTACTCATTCCTACTCTCCACAAGCACCAATTGCTCTATGATTACTTGAAGTTGTTCATTTTCTTCAAAGACACAATTACAACCTTCAATATTGCCACTGGTGCCTAAACAGATGTTCTGAGGGATACTGCATTAAACAAAACAGCCAGCCCATTTCTATATTAACGAAAACCGCGCAAACTTCTCTAATGAATCCTTCATATGTATTCTCAACGTGTTGGAACAATGGTTCCTCTATTTGACTGGTTAAACCCCGCTAAACATTCAAATATTAGATGATCTTAACTAAAATTAGAAATTTTCCTTTCTTCAAATATTTTAATATCTTTTCAAAAAAACACAAAGTTAGGCCTTGTTGGCGCAATCGGTAGCGCGTGTGACTCTTAATCACAAGGTTAGGGGTTCGAGCCCCCTACAGGGCTATTCTTTTTGAAGTTTTTTTAAACCGAGCTTATCCAACACTATAACATTTTGCAACTTTTATTCTTTCGCAAAGCTTACCATCAAATGTTAAACTTAGGTATTGTTTGATTTAATTTTTTTTTAATTTAACAGTATATAAAGCAGGCTTTTCACCAAAAATTTATCCTACGGTTTGGAATGTAAAATTGCGATAAGTAAAGATATTTTAAATTCGTCCTCCCAGTGACAATACTAAATTGCGATATATCCCCTTTTGTATAACTCAACTGATCAAGTTTATTATACTTTGGATTAATTTATACCTTTAATATACATGTAAAAACGTTTAAATAGTACAATATTGCTAAATCTTATAACTGGAATATTAAATTCGAAATGACTCTTGTTCCTTCCCAGAAAATATAAAATTATCGGAACTTTTCATTTATAAACATTTCGAATTAATTCCAGATGATAATCTTAAACAGAGATACATATTGGTTAAGGTAAAATTTACCCTTAATAATTCTTTCAATATCTTCACGTGTGATATCCCAAATTAAGCAATACTTTATCCATATAACAGGGTTTCCTTGTTTGGTCAAGTTATGTAAGTATCTATATCTCTTTCAGGTCATTTCTCCTAATCATATTTAACTACCCATGTACTAGCACATCCACCAAAAACGGCAGGAGGTGTAACGGAATTTAAATGTATTATCTCATTAGCTTTACTTGATAAATTTGAATAGTCATTAATAATAGATTTATCATCACTTTGTTCTTCTTTCACTCTACCACAATTACCATGCTCACCCCAACCCCAGCAATAAACCGTGAAACCTGGAATTTTATCATCTTGAACCACTAGCATCCCATGTTCACTACCTGTGTTAATCTCGATCAATTTTGAAGTTGTTGTATTCATCACAGTCTTCTTGAAATAATCATTATCAAACATCTGGCCATGAACACCAAATCCAAATGAATAAATCTTACTTTGGTAATGAATATGGATGGATGACCACATTGTATAAACTTCCAATCCTTTTTTATCCTTCCATTCATCTAAATGGAAACTTTCAGGGATAGCTCCTCTTGCAGATACAATAGCTCCTCTATCATCAATCAATAGAAGAAAATTTTTCCCCATAGCCACTTGAGCAATTTGTTGAGAATCATTTTCATGTATGATAGTTGGTACAAAGATAGATTTACTCTTCGGAGTTAGTAATTGACATTTCGTATTACTACCCCATCCATAGACCATGGATCCGCCATCTGGCCTTTGAACCAACAAAGTACAATTCTGAAATGATGTGAAGAGCTCGCATTTGTAATCCTGCGGAAGACTCATGACATTTTGAAATGTCGATATTTTAGTGATGTTATCTCCGAGACCCAATTCTCCCTTAGGACCGTATCCACGTATCCAGACATTATTAGAAACATCCATTAAAACTGTAAACTCCCAACCACACGAAATATCTTTAATATTCTTCATATCTAGTTTTATCCATTTTGGTACGGTTTCCACCTGAGGATCATTAGATAGCTGACCCATGGCATTACTACCACATTCATAAACATCACCGTTACTCAATAGTAACAACGTATGATTACCACCGCATGCTATTTTTTTTACGGTGACACCTTTACAAACATCGAGAGACAATGATAACTGTGGGACGATGATATCATCGGCATGGCCCAAACCTAATTGGAAATTTCCATTTGATCCAAATGCATAGACTTCTAACATATTTCCAAAAAGAGAATTAATATAAAATAAGAGAGCTCTAATTTAACTGGTCTTTATTTTTTTCTTTATCTACATACTGGTACAAAGTGTTAATCAAAGACACCGTACAATATATAGTTCAGAAAGTGATGGTTTATATACTTTCTTGCAATAACCTACTCTACTTGTATCGTCATGAGCAGGCAGACACCCTTTTTATGTCACCTCCCTGCAATTACCGAAAGAGAGAGAAAGAGAGAGCTCATCGCAAAAAAAAAATTCAGAAAGGGAAAAACTGAAAAATTTCAGTTTATATTGAGCAAACGCGAAAATTGTAAAACTATTATGATTCTTAATAGTTAAATGCGTTATATAATAATATTAAAAAAGAGACGAATTTTATTTGCTATTGTAGTTTTAATTAAATCACATAAGAAAAAAGGGTTTTTGTTATATTTAACAGGGGAGAATCATCGTTAAAAAAAAATATTAGTAGTACTATTATTGATATATTATGACAGATAGTTTCCCAGGCGACGACGAGGTTCAAGTTCCAGAGACGTCATCTCCAAATAGTAGGATTCTTTCTTCATCACCACTGAAATCATCTGGCCAGGAAACCGTTAGGGATCAAGCAGCAAGTTTACGTAATAAATTCATGTACAAACCAAATTTACAGGCATCTACTGATGCAGCAGAGAGTACAGTGTCTCCGGCTGAACAGTTAACTACTTTACAAAAAGAATTTCCTGATTTCTCATCGACTTTGATTCAAGCTGTTTTTAAATCAAATGCATCAGATATTGGTAATGCGAGAGCACGTCTGAATAGAATCCAAGAACAAAGATCATCATGGTCAAAATCGCCGAGTTCCGCCATTAAAAATAAAACATCTTCAACAGCTAGATTAAACTCTATATCATCTTCAAATTCTAAACAATCAGCATCTACTAAAATTAATGTAGATAAACCAAAGAGTTCTATCTTTGATAGATATTCTACCTCAATGAAAAGGGCATATAAGAAACGTGAGGATGAAGATGGAGATTATGAGGATTATGATGAAGATGATGATATAGTAGGCGTTCATCGTGGTAAAAATGGGATGCTGTATGATCCTTCCTTATTGTCAAAGATTAGAAATAGCAAAAGCTTAAAGGCATTGTCGTCATCACCTGAACGTAATAATTCACCAAAAGTTGGTAAGAAAAAAAGAAAATTAGTTAGAGGTAGTGAGTTAGATAATGCAAGGAGTAAAATGCTTGATAATAAAGTGAAAAAATTAATGAAGGATGAAGGTGAAGGAGAATTTTTAGATGATGCCGATTCAGGGATAGAAGATGATCAATCTGGTAGTGATGTAGAATATGAGGATAAAAGTTCTGCAGCCATTGATATCGATGATCAAACTTTAGAGTTCTTAAACACATCTGATCCGTCAGATCTTGCAGATCTTGCCGACACAACTTTTGATAAAGCCAAAGTCATTGTATCAAAGAGACCCTTTTCAAATTTAGATCATTTTGTATTGCAAGAATTTTTGACAGAAGAAGAGATCACTAAGAGTAAAGAAGTCCAAACAAATGGTAAAGGTAAACGTGGTGGTCGTGGATACCGTGGTAATCAAAAGAAAGAAACGGAGAGATTTCTTGAAAAGATCAAACAATCTATTAGAGGTTATAATGCTATTGATTCGTTATTGAAAACATGTGCATCTTACGGTACATCTATTGAAAATCAAATGAAGACATGGGGTGTTGATTTGAATGCTAATGGCGATGCTAATTCTACTGATCCAAATGATAATGCAGGTATTCCAGTGATCTCTATTGATGATAAGGATGAGGACGATGAGGATGAGGATGATGACGAAGAAAATAATGATGATAAAGAAGGTAAACATCCAAAGAATGAAGCAATAGTAGAAGAATTTGATGAGACTGAAGCAAGTAGTACACCTACTCCTGCTCCTTCCAGTTTATCATTAAATGAAAAGAATAAGACTACACGTGGTCCAGACAGTGATAGCGATTTTGAGTTAGTTGAGGAAGAAGAGGAAGATATAGAAGATGAGGATGAGGACTACGAAGAAATTGCATTTTCCAAACGTCCTACGATGAGTAGTCGTACTCATCGTCGTAACATGAAACTGGCAGTCCAAAGAAAGGGCCCCGTGAAATATTTCAAGGGTAAACCACGTCTCTTATCATCTGATATTCAATTAAAGGATTATCAACAAATGGGTATCAACTGGTTAAACTTATTATATCATAATGGTATGTCATGTATCCTTGCAGATGATATGGGTCTTGGGAAAACATGTCAAGTGATTTCATTTCTTGCATATTTGAAACAAATCAATGAACCAGGTCCCAATTTGATTGTTGTACCGTCATCAACATTAGAGAATTGGTTACGTGAATTCAAAAAGTTTTGTCCATCAATGAAGGTGGAACCATACTATGGGTCACAACAAGAAAGAGCAGAATTAAGAGATTATTTGGAACGTACAGCTGGCCAATATGATGTTATTGTCACAACTTACAATTTAGCTGCTGGGAATAAATATGATGTTGCATTTTTAAAGGGTAGTGGATTCAATGTAGTAGTATATGATGAAGGTCATATGTTAAAGAATTCTATGTCTGAAAGATTTAATAAATTAATGAAAATCAAAGCTAAATTTAGATTATTATTAACAGGGACACCATTACAAAACAATCTTCGTGAATTAATGTCATTATTAGAATTTATAATGCCTACATTATTTATCTCCAAGAAGGATTCTCTAACGGCAATTTTCAAACAAAGAGCTAAAACTACCGATGATGGTAATGATCATAATCCGTTATTAGTTCAAGAAGCCATTGAACGTGCTAAGACAATGATGAAACCATTTATTTTACGTAGACATAAGGATCAAGTGTTACGTCATTTACCAAAGAAACATAATAAGATTGTTATGTGTGACTTAAATGAAGTTCAAAGAAAGATATATGATCATGCCATAACAAATGCCAAAGAATATCGTGAAAAGGTTCAAAACGGTACTGTAACAAGTGAGGATAAAGCTAATATGGATTCAAAAAATTTAATTATGACATTAAGAAAAGCTTCGATTCATCCATTATTATTTAGAGACATATATGATGATAAGACGGTTGATGCTATGAGTACAGCTATTCTTAGTGAACCTGCATATAGTATGGATGGTAATAAACAATATATTCAAGAAGATATGAGTTATATGACAGATTTCGAATTACATAAACTCTGTGGAAATTTCCCAAGAACTTTAGGTAAATATGCATTAAAGAATAATGAATGGATGAATAGTGGTAAAGTTGATAAACTGAATCAAATTCTTAAGGACGTGGTTGATAAAAGACATGAAAAGATATTAATCTTTTCGTTATTTACTCAAGTTTTAGATATTTTAGAACCTGTTTTAAGCACACTAGGTTATAAATTTTTAAGACTTGATGGTTCTACACAAGTTAATGAAAGACAATCATTAATTGATACATTTTATGAGGATAAAACAATTCCAGTGTTTTTATTATCAACAAAAGCTGGTGGGTTTGGTATTAATTTAGTTTGTGCCAATCATGTAATAATATTTGATCAAAGTTTTAATCCACATGATGACAGACAAGCCGCCGATAGATCGCATCGTGTAGGTCAAACCAAAGAAGTCTATGTATCTACATTGATTAGTCAAGACTCCATTGAAGAACAAATCCATCAATTAGCCAAAAATAAATTAGCATTGGACATGCATGTCAGTGTGGACAACAACGGTGAAAACAAGCAACAGGAAGCAGCCGCAGAGAACAAAATCAATGGCATCCTCGAGGATATCATCTACAAGAAGCCATAAGCTCCCACACCACCATCTTTCCCGGATGAACTAGATATTTATATTTATATATTTATATACATTGTTAACGTTACTGTTGTAAATCTCACGTTGTCATCCCCCCACACCCCCACGAAAATATATCGGTTCCTGCGGTGAAAACCCCAGAACATTCCTCCCCGACACATCACTCGGCACGGCGGCACCCCATGTGGCTGAGCCAACACCAAAAAGCTAAAAAAAGCTGCCGGTGACTAAATGTCTGTTTGAGTATATACCAAGTAGTGTATCGTTTGATTTAACTACTACGAGTGACCAACATAATATATCCACACTGCTACTGTTCCCTCATACAGTTCATATTCTATACATTAACTACAAATCTTTTTTTTTGTAAAAAGCTACTATCTTCAATCACTTGATAGATTATCACATTATCTACCGTGAAAGAATATAGCTATACAGGACAAGATCATTCAATTGTCTTACATAGATATCAGTATCTCTACATTACATCTTCTCAAATCCTCAAAAAGGAATAAAGACTGTAGAAGAACGTGCACTATCTGGTTATATCACTAATCTGTCTAAAATCCTTCAAGTCTCTATCTATCTACCTCAGAGTGTGTGTCTGCAGAGAAATCTATTGAACGTTCTATTATTTGCAAATATCCGCTCGCTGTGTGTGTGTGTGTGTGTGTGTGTGTGTGTGTGTGTGTATATACTATACTTTTTTGGGTCTTTTTCGTTACATTTTTTTTTCGTTTTTCGTTTTTTTCACCCTTTCCCGGTAATCAGTAATTTTTTTGCTTTGAGAAGAAAAGAAAGAAAGAAAAAAAAGAGAGAGAGCAAAATATACATACTCAAACACTAGAATTTGAAGTTAATTACATATATTTAACAAAGAATAGAAACTAATTCAAGTGTATATTTCCATTACTTTTTCCTTAATAGCAGTTAAAGAGAAATATTACACCTTCATACCACTGTTCTCGTCTCTCTGATACACGTTTGGTTCTATTTGTTTATTCTCCTGATTTTAAATAAATTACAATGAACGTAGGTGGTAAAGAGGGCCTTTCTATCCAGGATAGAACGAGAAATGTAGCTGAATTGTTAAAAGTATTAATGGATATTAATGAGATTAATGGTGGAACAAATGCTACAGCAGAAAAAATGAAAGTTCATGCAAAAAATTTTGAAAGTGCTCTATTTGCTAAAAGTTCTTCAAAGGAAGAATATTTAGATAGTATGAAAGAAAAAGTTACAGCTATGAGAAATACTAGAGACACAAGAAAGAAATCTTTAGCTAGTGCTAAAAATGTTCAAAATAATAATAATAATAATAATAATGGAAATGATCAAATGTCACAACAACAACAAATGAATGGTAATAATGGATTTCCAAATAATAATAACAATAATATGAATTATATGCCTAATACAATGAATATGAATTCTCAAATGTTTTTAAATCAACAAGCTCAAGCAAGACAACAAGCACAACAACAATTAAAGGACAGGCAACAACATCAACAAATGCAGCAGCAGCAGCAGCAACAGCAGCAGCAACAGCAACATATGCAACAGCAAGGTCAGCTAGGACAAGGACAACAGAGACATCAGTTGACTCCACAACAAAGACAATTGATTAATCAAATGAAAGTGGCTCCAATACCAAGAGAATTGTTACAAAAGATACCAAATATTCCTGCAGATGTTAATACATGGCAACAAATTACAGAATTAGCTCAACAAAAGAGATTAACTCCACATGATATGCAAATTGCTAAAGAAGTTTATAAGATTCATCAACAATTGTTATATAAATCTAAGATCCAACAAGTTAATGCTAATAATGTTATGAATATGCAACAGACAAAGCAGCAGCAGCAACAACAACAACAAATGCAACAACCACAACAGATTCAACAGAGACAAAAGGATCACCAACAACAGATGACAAGTAACAACAATAATAATAATAATAATAATAACACTAGTGCTAATGCTAATGCTAATAATACCAACAACAGCAATAGCAATAATGCAAACGTCGTTGCAGGGCAACAACAGCAACAGATGTTTAGAAACAGATCAGGTGAAGTCCCTAATGTTTTAGGTCAAATTAATCAAATATTCTCTCCAGATGAACAACGGGCATTGTTACAGGAAGCTATGGAAGCATGTAAGACATTCCAAAAGACACAGTTTGGTGCAAACATGACTGATGCTAACAGACAGAGTTTTATTAGAAAATATATAAATCAAAAGGCCTTGAAAAAGATACAATCATCGCGAATGGCTCAACAAGCTGCCGCTGCCGCTACAAGATCTGGTCAAAATAATGTAAACATGAATGGTAATAATGAAGCATCTAACGCTGGTAGTAACAATAACAACAACAATATTAACAATAATAATATGGTAGTTGGTAACAATAGTAGCAATAATGTTCCATCACGTGGAAACATGCAACAGATGAACAATTTACAAAATGTTCCCCAACAAGCTAGAAATACACCAATTTCCCAACAACAGATGCAGGCTCAGCAACAGCAACAACAACAACAACAACAACAACAACAACAAGCACAGCAGGCTCAACAAGCTCAACAGGCTCAGCAAGCGCAGCAGCAGCAGCAGCAAGTACCTCCATCACAAGGTCACCAGAGGACAAATTCACAAAGGGCATCAATGTTACAATTATTACAACCAACACCGCAAGATATCGAAACAGTTAGAAAGATTTCTACAGATGCGGCTAGAACTCCTTTGAGATTAAATGATTTAACAAATTCTATTAGTCCTCAAGAAAGAGAAGAAATTAAAAGGAAATTACAAATGAACCAACAATTGTTTGCTCAAGTAAGTAATTACGCACCACAAGTTTACGTATTTACCAAAAGTGAGGCGTTTTTGAAGGAAGTACTTCAATTAAGAATATTTGTCAAGGAAATTCTAGACAAATGTTCAAAGGGTATATATGTTGTGAAGTTGGACACTGTTGACAAATTGATTATGAAATATCAAAAATATTGGGAAAGTATGAAGATCCAGATTCTAAGAAGACAACAATTAATCCAGCAACAACAACAATTGATAAGACAGAAGCAACAGCAACAACAGGATCAACAACCGCAACAACAACAACCTCAATCTGGTAATAACATTCCTATCAATAGTATTCCAACACCTGTTCAAAATAATGCCAATATTTCTCAAGCTCAGGCTCAAGCTCAAGCTCAAGCTCAACGGATGAGACCAAATCAAAGGGCACAACTACAGAACAGACAATTGCAGCAACAACAGCAAATGCAATGGCAACAACAGCAACAACAGATGAATGGCAGCAATGCGAATACACCACAAATGAACAATAATTTTGTTCAAATGAATGGTGCTATTCCAAATTCCAACGTAATGAATGCTAAGATCAACGGTAGACAACCTTCTGTACCTATCCCACCGAATGCTGGGATGTCCAGTGAAAATGATAGCATGATTTCTCAAGCAACAGGGAACCAATTTACTACTGCGAATGCAACTCCAGATGTAATGAAAAGTAACTCCAGAAATGCTAGCGTTCCAACCTCTGCTAAGGTCTCTCCATCCCGTGAAAAGGCTGCTAACTCCAACGGCGCCAATAACAAAGGTAATAATAGTAAGAAACCATCACCATCTGCATCTACTTCATCTCGTAATGTGAAATCTTTATCTAACGTACCAACACCAAGATTGTCGAATGTTAGTGCAAGAGGAACACCTCAATTAGTTGGTAATGAATCGCTATCAACTAGTAGTGGTGAAATGAATCCAGTATTTAAGAAAGAAGAAGATGAATTACAATCATTGAACATTAAAAAGACAGAGATTGCATCTAGATTTAAGCACAGACAAGAAGCATTCCAAGCTTCTCCAGTGGATTTATTTTTGAGTACTCTTTCAGATACTCTTGGTCTAAAGGACGACGAATATGAACCACAAATTAAATTTTCACAAGATTTTATTGATTTAACTAATCGTACAGGTAAGAAAAAGAAATTAACTAAAGTTGCACAACGTGCCAGAGAACGTGACCCTGTTGATGTAAGTATAGTAGATGGTAATAAATTAATTATGACATCCAAATATATGTCTGAACAAAAAGAAGTCAGAAATTATGGCATTAATTTAGGTAGTATCGCATCAATTTTCAATGGCTTGGAGAATAATATCTGTGAAAAATTGAATGATTTAGCATTTATTGATACACCATCCAACAATGCCGATTGTAACACTAAGAAGAGGAAACTCGATGAGATGAACTTAACTCCGGATAGTATAAAATCCAATGCAAATGACTCCCCATCCATAATGAGTGAATCTAAACGTATTAAATTTGATTCTCCAGAGGATACATATGTCGCAACAGATGGTAAAATGAAAAAGAGTGCCGCAGGTATGAATTTCACAACAACAGCATCTGTTCCGACTACAGCAACGATAACTAATGATACAGGTGACGACAAAAAGGATATAAATATATGGGATTGGGATTATTGGGCTAATAAAATATAGCAATAATGAAGTAAAACTTATATTTTGAAGGTTTTCGAATATCTCGATATATTAATGCCACATGCCAACACACTTTTTTTATTTTTTTTAACACAGGAGGGAGGTTCGACCGTCTTAATCCTCGACAAGACAAGACACTTAAAATATTGTTTGTTCTCTACCTTTTTATCAATATTATTATAATTATTATTATTTTTTTATGACTATTTTTTTTTCGAAAGAAAAAGAAGGAAAAAAAATCATTCGTACATACTCTATTTTATATAATTTAATTTAAAATTTTACACACCGTTATGATACTCAAATATATGTATATATCTTATAATTAAATGATATTAGCTAATAAGGTCTTTCAATTCACTAATAGGAGGTTGTGAATTATTATTACTAGAAAAGTTATTGGTATTATTTAGATTTATGCTTGGAATTTCACTAGTCTTACAAAGACCAGATAAAAGGATTCCACTTCTATTATTAATATTTGGAGATATCTCAGAGACTAATTCAGTATTAGGTAATTCACTACTACTGTCATCTAAACTTGAACGACATAATTCAGGTAATAAATCGGTGGTGGTTCTAGTTGGTAATATGTCATGACTTCTTCTACTTCGTCTTCCTCCTCTTCTTCTTTCTTCAGGTAATTCATGGGATAGATCTGTTTCGTTAGTGATAAGGATAGTCTCTACTGCTAACAAAGTTGTTCCAATGATATTGGTTGAAAGAAATATACCTGAAAATAATGGAATTGTCTCTAACAATGCAGCTACTAAACCAAAAGAGGTATATGTACCAAAATATTGAGCAAAAAGATGTAATCTATCTTGATCATCGAATTTATTCAATTTTAATGTTTTAGATATGTATATTTTCGTAATAAATGGAGATATTAAACTATGAAATAATATAGGTCCAATAATTGGCATTGCAGATATGGTTAATAAAATGATTAATATAATAAAAGAACCAAAATATTTAAGTATTTTCATTGGTAGATAAAGCACCCAAAAATATGTACAACTAATTGGAACATAATATTTAATTGAAGTAATTCTCTCACTATTATTATTGGTTGTTGAATCTATATCTAAACAATTTTTAACTAAATTATTGGTAAAATGTGATAATCTCATAAACATCAAAGTTAAAATATTTGCATGTAAAAAGGTTTGAACCAAAGCTAAAAGGACTCCAATTGGTCCCAAAACGAAAAAAAATCCAACATAAAGTGGTGTTAAAGTTATCCAATATAAAGCAGTAATGACTGTATAACTTACCAAATAAAACAAAAAAGTACTAATCGTACCATATAAATACTTTTCTGGATAATATATTAGTTCCAGGAATCCTCGTAATGGATATACAAAAGGTTGATTATTGAATAAACCTTGAAAAAAATTAACAATCGCAATAGTGAACTCTTCTTGTGTATTAGCAATCTTTGGAATGATCACTTTTTCTTTGTACTCATACACAGGCAAATAAATGTTTGGATCTAGTTCAAAACTATGGGTGTTATCATACTTGTAGAAAAGTCCACCGATCCCTGTAAGTACTAGACTTGTCGCCACACTCATCTTCCAGGAAACAAATCAAAACAAAAATAAAGAAAATAAAGAGTGCGCACTACTCTTTTACAACGATTATAACTACCTTTCAATTCAAGTCTTTTGATTTAAAAAATTTTATTTCAATAAATAACCTCTAAATTCAATAAAACTAATTTAAATTACTCTACCTTTTTAATTTGTGTCACTTTCCCAGAATAATTTGTTACTGATTAATTAGTTTTGCCTTTTTGCTTATAAAATGTCAAAATGTCAAAAAACGGCAAAACTGATTTTTTGGTGAGTTCGGAGTTTGCACGTGATGTTCGTAGCCAGTGATGTTTGAACATAGTCATCTAACAATAATGAACTCATTGATTGAAGGAACGTTGTACGCTCAAGAATCTACCTGTTATGATCCTATGGTATGTATCATTACGCCTACCTCTTACCAACACAGTAACAGCGTTAAGTAATGGTATTTACAGAGAATGGCTCTCACAAATAGTGAAACCCTCTCATAGAGAGAGGGAAAAATAAGGGTTGGCTGTTTACATAATAAATTCGCCATAGAAAAATGTTGACAGCCAAAAGGAAAATGGAATGAAAAAAGAAGACAACGGAGCGAAGTAAAGACTGGAAGGGGGGGCAGGTAGTTAGTTTAACTGGTGGTAAGGATAAAAGATAACGACTCTTTGAAGGAATATTTACATATATGACAGTCTTTCTTTTTAAGGATAAGTAACCGTAAATATCTAGTTAGGTAGACTGCTTCTATTGTGTGTTTTTTTGCTTTAAAGAGAGAGAAAAAACCGTTTTAATTTTTGTTGTTTTTTATATTAGTTAAGGAATATACCCTGTACATAAACACCGAGAGTATTCACTAGATACAAATTATATCCCTTTCTGCCTTTAATATTATTATTACAAGTGTTTCTCATTTATATTTAACTTTTCTCAAGGAACAACCTTAAGAAACTAATAACAAAGACTAGAAAATATAGTATAGAGGGTTTAAAAAGAAAAAATATTTTTATCATAATATCCATCAATAGCATCATCATCTAATACATTCATAACTAATAGCATAACTGAGTTCTGATTTTAATTTTTAATTCCTTTTCTTTTTTTTTTGGCTTTGAATATTCGATATTATAAAATAAATAAATAGATAAAACTACACTGATATGCCATATATCGGAGCATCTAATTCTTCTCATAATTCATTTTTGAGTTTGAAAGAAAAACATGCTATTAAAAAAGTTGCACCTTCAACTACTGCATCAATAAATAGTTCACAAATTACATTACCTGAAAATAAAATAGAAGAAGAAGCAACAACAACAACAACAACAGAAAACCATCAAGATGATGACAAAAGTAACACAGATGAAGAAACAGAACAACAAGATAATAATAATACGTCAAACCCAGAAACTCAAGATGAAAGTATTTCTTCTGAAATATCTACAGTTGATGTAACACCTGTTTCGTCAACAACGAAATTACCAAATACAGAGAAGCCAATATTTAATAATATTAATAGAACAAAATCTATTGATTCTACTGTATCTACCTTAACAGATGTCGATTTACAAGAATTATACAATTTACCTAATGAATCTACTCATTCATATTCATATAATCCATTATCGCCAAACTCCTTGGCTGTTAGATTGTCTATTCTTAAAAGATCCTTGGAGATTATAATTAGTAATCCAGACATGTTGGAGGATGGAACATTAGTGAATAAGGATGGAAAAGATATAGAGTCTCATGTAAATGTATTAGATGGATCTCAAACATTAGATGTTCCAAAGATAAGGGACCATAATACTACTTCACCAGATGATAATATTAGTAATGATAATAATAATGATGAATTTAATGAAGATGATGCAGTTAGACCTTTAAGAAGTATGTCATTATCTGTAGCTGATAACATTCCAATATATAACTCTTCACAGAAGTGGACATCTCCGACAGCTGCATTAAATGCATTTGTATCTAATTATCAAAATAATTCATTTTCAAGGAAAAATACTGATCCAACAATTAAAACTTCATATACCATGAATAATATCAATAGAAGATCATTGGGTGATAACGGACAAACACTTTGTAATGAAGGTCTGAATCATAATAAAAGCATCGATCTTAATTTACCACTTGCACATAGAGCAAATTCATTAGCATTTCTACCAAAAATTATGAGCTCATACAATATGAGAAATAAGGTTAGCGGTTATAACGATCCAGGTTTTCGTAGGGGGTTTACATCAAGAATATCCTTTAGACAACCATTTAGAGACACTAGCACTGAAGTAATTAATCAAACGAATGAATTATCAACATTAACTGAACAGAGTCATAATGGTAGTGATAAAAATTTATTAAATCAAGACGGCACTGGTAATTCGCAATATATTAGTGAACAAAGAGAAAATTTGATTAATTTACTTGACTTATTGAATGAAACACTTGAAAAAAACACTTCTTTGAGGGCAACTGATTTGCATGCATTGTCATTATTTAATATTAAGAAGCCTGTTCCAGACAGAGGTCCATTGGATAATGACAGTTCCGAAGACGATGACTTCTTTCATACCGATGATGATAATGAAACAGAAAACTCCCTGAGATTGAAAAGAACATTACTTGATAGTTTGGCTCAACCATTCTATGAACGTAATATAACATATGCTGATGGGAATGAAACTCTTCGGAATGAGTTAGAGGGTTTTGAAGACCCACAACAATATATAGATACCTCAAAAAGTACCTCAGAAGATTACAGAAGAATTTTAAGAACGTTCGCTTCCACAAAAAATTCAGCTCCTCAAGCAATTTTCACATGTTCGCAACAATATCCTTGGCAATTTAAAGCAGCAAACGACTTGGCCTGTCTAATTTTTGGTATTTCTCAACATGTATTGAAGACTTTAACTTTACTAGATTTAATTCATTCAGATTCTCGAAATTTTGTATTGCATAAGATTCTTTCAACAGAAGATCAAGAATTAGCTTTTACAGGTGAAATTATTGGTATTGTTCAACCAGGAAACGATTCTTCATCAGGGACTAAAAATGACTTAGTTTGGGCCTCTATTTGGGCCAAGAGAAAAAACGGACTGTTAGTCTGTGTCTTTGAAAAGGTACCTTGTGATTATGTCGATGTTGCTTTAGATTTGGATAACTATGAAGTTACAAGCATTTTAAAGAAAAACAACAATAATATATTGGAAGAGTGTTTAAATTTTGGAGGTCGTTCTGCTCCTAAATTTTTACTTGGTGCCAGTGCTGATGATAAAACTGATGGAGATTCTGATGATGATATAAGTACTGATACATCAACACAAGATTTAACGAAACACGTCAGAAGACCAACGAGTCTCTTGTCATCTGTTGGTGACACGGAGAAGATCAACAAAAAAGAAGTTAAATTTGCTAACGAATTACAATATGTCAGCACTCTAAGCCAGTCCCTAGCTGACTTGGTTGATGGTATCTGTAATGGGGAAATAAAAGGTAAGGATGATGAATTATTACCCATGCCTGTAAGGGTATCAAACCATATTAATGTCATGAGATATTTCACATTGAACCATTTATCATCTAATATCCCATGTGCTGTCTCAGCCACTTTATTACAAAATTCGATTAAGTTAAAGGTTCATAGTTTACCATATATTGCAGGTCTTTTTGTTATTGATTCGCAATCGTTGCAATTGGTAAGTTTCAATAGATCTGTTTCAAAGAATATGTTTGGTTTACATTATGCCGAGTTGGTAAGTAAACCAATGACAACTATTATTCCAGAATTTAACGATATGATCGACTATATTTCTTGTAATTATCCAGAATTAGATATATCACTAAGTTCGAATAGAGGGTTGGTTCTAACAGAACATTTCTTTAGAAAAGTTCATGCAGACATGAATAGTGATCCAGAATATTTTTACGCCTCAATCGGTATTGATGGTCGCCATAGGGATGGTTCGTTGATTAAGGTTGATATTCAGTTACGTGTTATATCTTCCAGTGTATCATTAGTTTGGATTACCCATTCGAGAGATGTCAAGATTGAAGATTATCAAACTAACGCTAACCAATTAAGTATGTTAAAGGAAAGCGATTTAACCTATATTAGTAACAACTCTAGTACTGCCTCTTTATCAAGAAATCTGACACCAAAAAATTCTAACCACTCCATCAAATCTTCACAATTTAAAGAGTCTCTTCACACTGAGAATTCATCAAGAAGTTATACAGCTTCCCCAGTTTCTAGAGACCGCAAAGAAAATTTCTCAATATCGACCTCGTCCACTATCACATCGCAAGATTCGAAGGAATCTAAAGATGTTAAAGACATTATAGAAACTAAGGAAAGAGCAGGTAGCGTAGAGGAAATAAATGACCCTGAGATGAAACGAAAATTGGATTTGGCTAGGATGTATACAAAGGATAAAACTCAGTTTGTCAAAGAGGGAAATTTCAAAGTGGATCAAAGCTTAATTATTAGTAAGATTGGTACCCTTGTTACTATCAGTGATACTCGTGAAGGTTTAGAAAATAATGAATCATTCGCAACAGAAAATGAAAATACTGAGAACGATTCAGATTCGGAAGAACCTCCAACTACATTCTTAAGAGTACCTAGTACCCATATTGGTTCTCATAAACATACCAAAAAATTCTCTGATTTTTTTATATTGCAGAAAATGGGTGAAGGTGCTTATGGTAAAGTTAACCTTTGTCTTCATAAGAAAAAGAAATACATTGTTGTTATTAAAATGATTTTTAAAGAAAGAATTTTAGTCGACACCTGGGTTAGAGATAGATCATTAGGAACCATTCCATCAGAGATTCAAATTATGGCTACTTTGAATAAAAAACCACAAGAAAACATTTTGAGATTATTAGATTTTTTTGAAGATGATGACTATTACTATATTGAAACACCAGTCCATGGTGAAACTGGCTGTATTGATTTATTCGATTTGATTGAATTTAAAACTAATATGACTGAATTGGAGGCTAAGTTGATTTTCAAACAAGTTGTGTCAGGTATAAGACATCTTCACAAACAGGGTATTGTACATAGAGATATTAAAGATGAAAATGTGATCGTTGATTCCAAGGGTTTTGTGAAATTAATCGATTTTGGTTCTGCTACATATGTTAAGAGTGGACCATTTGATGTCTTTGTTGGTACAATTGATTATGCTGCTCCTGAAGTACTAAGTGGTGATCCTTACGAAGGTAAACCTCAAGATATTTGGGCTATTGGTATTCTTTTATATACCATTATCTTCAAGGAAAATCCTTTCTATAATATTGATGAAATATTGGAAGGTGATTTGAAAGTTATTCAAAATGAGGATATAAGTCAAGAATGTGTGAACTTGATTAAGAAGATCTTAAACAGAAATGTTCATAAGAGACCTGTTATTGAAGAAATATATGAAGATCCATGGTTGGTCATTTAAAAAATAGTCTTTAAAGTCTTTTGTAATTTTATATACACTTTAATTTTGTCATAAATATTCTATAATTATTGGAATATATAATATAAACATTTATCACTATTGTTTTTTTATTTACCAAACGAGCCTCCATTATAGGTTTTTGATTAAATGATAAAGTTAAAGAATTATAACAAAATATAAAAAAACGCAAGACTTACCACTGAAATTGAAGAAAATTGAATTTTATTAAGAAATACAGTGTTTCTTGCTGAATCCTAGTTCTCTAAAGAGCAATAGCATAAGTTTATTAAGAGCAAAGAAATAATAAACGGTATGATGAAAAACCAGTAGTTAAAGATAGTAAAATACGCTTATCCGACTTGGTCTGAGATGAAGTGATTCTGGTATGAACAAGGAAAGAAACGAATACCAAACATATATAAAGAGCATGGATTATGGAAGTAAAAAATATCTATGTCCTAATTCTTATCTGTATTAAATTTCGGGGTTTGAAAGAGAACCACGAAGAATAAAAACTATACTAATACTAATACTAAATAACTTTTAACAAAATTAAAATTGACAAAATGGATTATGCTCTACAAGATAATACTGCTAGTAATGCAAATGCTTATCAGTCCTAAATATATTACTTAAATTATATGTAGTCGACTTAAAATTATAGATTAGAATGAGTATTATATGTTTGGTATTTAAAGAATGGCAATAAAAGGCTACATAAGAGAGAAAGAAATTTGATATGATTATAGTTTTAACTCAGAAAGCTTCATTTTCCATCTTAATCTCAGGCTTAATCCTAATTTCATCTTCCAATTTAACAAGAGGAGGATCATTATCTACAAATGTGTTGTCAATTGAGGGTGATTCATCCTTAATAATATCATGAATTTTTGCCTCTTTCACTAAGTAATTGACCCAACTTTGATAATTTTTCATATGGGGTACCATATCCAGTAATTCTGCACTTGCCACTTTAGGACAAATATGATTATGAGAGTTTGATTTCCCAGGAATGAAAGGATTTTCTTCTGTAGCACATAGCTCACATACTTTTACCCTAGCTCTATCAATGGCTTGTCCATACCCAACCAATAAACTATTAATTTCACGCCATAAAGGTAAAGGTAGCCATTTTTGTAACTCTTCTCTTGTATCATTCGGCGTCTTACATTTTTTAGCGTCCACCCATTTAAACAACTTACAAAGTCTATCAACGTGCACATCAACACATATACCATCCATTCTACCCCAAGTTTTTTGTAAAGTTAAATATGTCATTTTTGGACCTACTCCAGGAAGTGACATCATCCCTTCAGGAGTGGTTGGAATCTCTGAATTGAAATGGTCAACAAGGATCTGACATGTCTGAGTGACATATTTCGCCTTTCTAGTATGGAAACCAACTGCTCTAATCAAGGTATCTAAAGTTGGTTCATCTATTTGTAACATTGCATCAAGAGATATACCTCTTGAACCGAAATTATCAAGACAATATTTTGTGATGTTATACATTGCCTTTGCTGTAACTTCATCCTTTGTCTGTGAGGAAAGCATTATACCAATTAATGTTTGTAATCTGTAGTTTTTAGGAACCAATTCTTCTTTGGAAATACCAAGTTGTTCCGCTACTGTTATTGATACTGAGGACCCACCTACGGAATCTACTGGTGCGTTAATACTTGATCTCATATTTCTTAATTTCAAATAAATATATTTAAAATGTTTAGGTAACTTATTACCATTTATTGGTTGAAACGCATCATCAGCTAACGGAATATCCCATCGTCTGGCTATATTACCAGTTCTTTCTCCAATCCACTGAAAGTAGTCCTTATTGTTTAGAGTTTTCACCCACTCGACGTCAACAGAATCCTCCACTAAGACAGCACTTTCTTCTTCTTTCTTCACTTTAACTTTTTTAAAATATTTTGAAGTTTTTGAAGTTTGTTCTTCCTTCACCACAGTTCTTGTTCTCTTTCTTAGTTGTCTTGTCATTATTCCTCGACAAAATAGTTTACTTCTGATTATTATATCAAAGGGAAATACTCTACAATGCATTAATTAACAAAACTGAAAAAACCGTTCTAGAAAAATATCATTTAATTATACGTTATTGAATCTTGTTTCTCAGGTTGATCCCTCTTCCTTCTAATTCCATCAGCTTATATAATGAAATTATTCACTTCAGAAATCTCCGATGCCCTTTACGCGAACTTTTTCGGGTGTCCTCACTAATTTCGCGCAGGGGGAGATACATATATTTACTTGAAAATGATAACACTCCACAATAATAGAAGTAATAATTAGTAATACATTTTGAAAAGCAAGAAAGCAAGGGAAACCGCCAAGAAGAAGATTGCATCATATTCAAGTTCAGTCATCGAGAGTGTTCGTTATGATTAATGCTATGTAAGTATATATATATCTATAACAATACCAGTAATAAAATTAGTATAATTATCAATAGGATAATCGTAGTACAAGGTCCATTTTCTCTTGCAGTTCGTTGAAATACTTCCAGTCGTCTTTTTGCTCTTTGTAAATTTCTATCACTAGTATCTACCATATTCTCTAAGTCAGTAAGTAAGCCAACATTTTGATCTTCTACTTCGTGATGAATATCTAGAGAGATTCCATGTGCTCTCTGAACGGATGTTGCGAGTGTATCTATATCTGCATCCTGTGTCATTAGTCGTTGTTGTTGTTCGATAAATAATTCTCTATTTGAGACATCTGCATCAATACCATTACCATTGCTACTTGCACTGGTTGATAATGTATCTTCTTCATTGTCATCAAAATAAGGTTTGAAATGCATATCGCTGGCTTGTATCTCTGGAGATACAGGCTTATTCTCCTGAGCATTATCAGAAAATCGTACTTTCTTCACTTCGCGGCTCTGTATGCCAGTCTCTTCTGTCCCTGATACATTAGAATTCACAATTGGAGCATCTACAAATTCTTTATCGAAAAAATATTGTCTAATATCAAATGAGGGTTCTTCAACGTCATTAATTGATCTTCGATACGTCACCATACAATCTCGTATACTTTCAATATCTGATTGTGATAGAGCATGCTTCTGACATTGATCATATAATGAATTTACCAATCTATATGTCTTCTGTACTTGTTGTATCAATTTTTCATTATCATTAGCAGATGGCGATATCCTAACAGTCTGAATTAATCTATTACGTTCTTCTACAATATCCGCCAATTTCTCGGTCTCATACGTCAATTTCAGCACATCCATCTTTAGACAATACAGAACAAAACTACCACCCCCTACTTAAAAGTATATAAATCTTAACCTATTCTCCCTTTCTTTAAGGTTTGATTAGTCAATTCAGATTGGTTCTGCCCTTTTTTGTATGGCAGAAAGGTTTTTTTAGCAAAGAAGTTTGTGAGGGAAAGAAAGAAAGTGTGCGAATAAAGGGAGGGTAACACCGAACCGCACGTGACAGCCACGGTTACCCTAACCGACTCAGAAAGGATTTACTGTCACTAACCCACCTTCATACCGTGAGTTCATAGTAAGCATACTGGATGGCCCATTACCTTGGATCAAGAACAGGGTATTATCGTGTTTGTGTCGGCACACACACTCTCCCCAACGTCAGTGTCACGATATATATAGTTGTACGGTTATCTGACATTTGTCTCAACCTCAAAGGCTCCTGTCTCAAGGTAATGCAGTCTACTCCACACCATTAATGTTAGCAAGTGCACCTACTTACATATATGTAAGTATTGGTAGTATTAAATAAATCGTAAACAATATATATATATAGAGAGAGAGAGTGTGTGTGTGACGTACCTCTCTTCTTTTACACACCCTCGCCATCCCACGACCATACCCATACACCTAGCTACATATCAATTACATCCCCCCCCCACACATACACAGATATGCTATACAACCCATCTACTGATTACGATCCTCCATGGTCGAAGTTCTCAGTTTTCATTCCTTTTAATCCCAGAAGCAGAAGAAAGACAGAAGAAATTCGCCACGGCCAAAAACAGAAAAAAAAAATTATTTCAAGATTTTTTTGTTGTTTTTTTGAGAGAGGAAAGGAAAAGGGAAAGGGACAACACTTAGAGGATATTCTAATCACACACACACATTCACATTCACGTTCGCCCTTTGTCATACAGTCACAGACAATCGTCACACAGGTACATAGGTTTTATATTCTTTGATACATTTTTGTAATTGTCAGAAATCTTCTTTGCTGTTTTTTCCTTTTTTCCAGTCATTGGTCAAGCTTTACAACTAGTGTTCATATATCTCTTTTTTTTTCCATTCCTTATCTTCTGATATACGTATATACATGCATACAAAGACCATTCCAGCTTGAATTAAACTTTATTTTTTTTCTCTTTTTTCTCATTTTTATTTCCTGCTTTGAATATAAAGACAGAATTGTATCTATTATATACATAAACAAGCTCAGAATTTTGTTTAGGCTAAAATTTTCTATTTTTATTCAATACTAGCAATAACAATTACTACAAAAACTCACTCCTTCATACTACTGCTATAAAGATTTAGATATTCCGGACATACACACAAGATATACAGAAAAAGAAACAAAAATACTATGAATGAACCATCATTGATGGGGTACCCTGGTATGAACCCTAATATTATCTCTGGGATTAATACTAGCACTAATACAACAACTAATACTACTAATAACAATGCGAATAATAACAATGGTCCAGGAACACCTGTTTCTGCATTACATTTGAATCAATTAATGGCAGGTTTAGGTCCACCTGGTTTATCTCATGAGAATAACAATAATAATAATGCTAATCATTTAGCAAATAATTCTAGACAATTATTAGAACAATTAGCTCAAAATAATGTTCCTACTTCAACTACACCAGTTCCAAACAATAATAATGCAAACACCAATAATATGATTAATGCAAACACTGTAGGTAATGATTCTAATCATAACACACCAATGTTAAACAATAATGTTGCTTTACAACCAATGAATATCAATGCTGGAAATCCATTATTTCATCCACATCTTGAAGATACAGCACTTTTGAATAATACAGTATGGAAGATGCAATTACAATTAGCCAGTGTCTCTATGCATTCAATGGGTCAACCTAATGTATACGCAAGGCAAAATGCAATGAAAAAATATTTAGCAAATCAATCCCAAAATCCACAACAACCACAAATGACTGAAGCTTCATTATCATTAGTTGATAAGACTCAAAAATTATTAATGGAATTTGCTGGCGCTGATACTTCTAAGGAGAATCCAAAGAATCCTAACAATAACAATGCGAATAATAATAATACAACTTCGAATAGTAATGATACTTCAATGATGACTGCCTCTACACCAACTCCAATGGCTACAGGAAACAACAGTGCGTTATCTACACCGACTACACCACAAGTAGAATTAAATAATAATCAAAGAGAACAAATGTCTCCAAATGTACTATTGCAACATAAGAAATTATCCCAATTTAGTATCGATGATGATGATGAATTAAACCCAACTTCAGATAAAAAGAATAAAGATGGACAATTATGGCATGCATTGGATTTATCTAATTTACAATTAATTAACTTGGATTCTAATATTTTCAAATATAAATTCTTAACAAGATTATATTTGAATGGTAATGGATTAACTCAATTACCAAAGGAAATTAAAAATTTAAAAAATTTACGTGTCTTAGATTTATCTCATAATAGATTAACTTCCTTACCTTCAGAATTAGGATCTTGTTTCCAATTGAAATATTTATATTTCTTTGATAATATGATTTCTACTTTACCTTGGGAATTGGGTAGTTTATTCAATTTACAATTCCTAGGTTGTGAAGGTAATCCTTTAGAAAAAGAATTATTGAAGATCTTCACTGAAAAATCAGTCACAGGTTTAATCTTCTATTTAAGGGATAATAGACCTGAGGTACCATTACTTCATGATCGTGAATTTATAGAGATTAATACAGATGGAGAACCACAAGCTAAATTTGAAACTTTAAAAGAAGCCAACTCTGTTTTAGATTCTGAATTGTCTAAAAAAAGTTTTACGATTCTTTCATACAATACTTTATGTCAACATTATGCAACACCAAAGATGTATCGTTACACTCAATCATGGGCCCTAAGTTGGGATTATAGACGTGAAAAATTAAAACAACAGATTTTATCTTATGATTGTGATGTTTTAAGTTTACAAGAAGTTGAAGCACAAACTTATGAAGAATACTGGGTGCCTATCCTTGAGAAACATGGTTACTCTGGTAATTTCCATGCAAAAACAAGGGCCAAGACTATGCAAGGTAAAGATTCCAAGAAAGTTGATGGTTGTTGTATTTTCTTTAAGAAAGATAAATTTAAATTGATATCTAAAGATGCATTAGATTTTAGTGGAGCTTGGATGAAACATAAAAAATTCCAACGTACAGAAGATTACTTGAATCGTGCAATGAACAAAGATAATGTCGCTTTATATTTGAAACTACAACATATTCATTCTGGTGAAATCGTTTGGGTTGTTACTACACATTTACATTGGGATCCGAAATTTAATGATGTTAAGACATTCCAAGTCGGTGTTCTATTGGATCACATGGAATCATTGTTAAAGGAAGATAATCCAAAACGTGATACAAAGAAATCTCCTCTATTGATATGTGGTGATTTCAATTCATACCCTGATTCCGCAGTATATGAATTGTTCAGTACTGGTAGTGTTAAAAATCATATGGAAGATAACACTCGTGATTTTGGTTATATGTCTCAAAAACAATTCAACCATCACCTGGCACTAAATTCATGTTACAGTTGTATTGGTGAATTACCATTTACAAATTTCACACCTTCTTTCACAGATGTCATTGATTATATCTGGTTCTCCACACATTCTCTACGTGTTAGAGGTCTCCTAGGTGAAGTAGACGAGGACTATGCTAATAAATTTGTCGGGTTCCCTAATGATAAATTCCCAAGTGATCATATTCCATTGATTGCTAGAGTAGAATTCATGAGAGGAAATAGTGGAAGTAGAAAAGTGTGAAAGAAATAAAAAATGCATAAAAAATTAGAAAATTTGTTCAGTTTTCCATTATTATGACCCCCATATACATTCAATGAAAAAAAAAACAAAAAAAAAATTCAATTTAATGACAACCTTTACTTACAATAACACTTTCTTACATTCTAGTTATGTAATTTAGTTAAGAAATATAAAAAAGCCGACAAAACAACTAAATCAACTTATCTCATCTCATTTTGATTTTGATTTTCTTTCATCTATCCCCCTCCAGACAAATTTATTTAGCCACTAAATATTAATGTTACGTTTATGTAAAATAGTCGACCAACTCCATTCCATCATTCTTTACATCACATATGTAATGTACAATAATATATCATAATAACAATAAATTATTCACCTAAATACACTTATATATAAATATATATATACTCTTGTCCTCTTTACCTTTCTTTATATTTCTATATTTGGAAAGGTTTTTATTTGTCGCCGCATACTAAAAGGTCATCTTCCGATGATCGAGATTAAAAAGAGCATTTTTGATATATTCAGACAGAATTTTATAGTAGTTAGATTGAGATGGAAAGAGAGAGAGAGATAGTAGGTTACGTTTAAACATATTGCTATTGGGTACTGAACCTTAAACTTCGTTATATTGAAATACTTTGCAACTTGCTCTAGACAAAATGGATAGAGAGACTGAATTCAACAATGAAACCCTCGCGAGTTTACCGATGACTAAGAAATTACAAAATTTAGTTTATCTGACTTTTCTACTTATTGGTGTAGGATTGTTATGGCCATGGAATAATATATTGAGTGCTACGTTATTCTTTCAAAATAATATTTTTAATGAGACAACAACATATGCAAAGATCTTTACTAGTTCAATGATGACTGTGTCAACCTTAACGTCACTGTTGTATAATATTTATTTGGAGAGAAGACAATATTCTTATGTTGCAAGAGTGGCAAGAGGTCTTATTTGGCAGTTTGTTACATTTCTGTTAATTACCCTATCTTGTGCTTTTTCGAAGAGCACAGGGATGGACTTTGCGTTCATTTATATTATGATTCTAATATCGATCAGTGCCATTTCTACCGCTTGGACACAAAATGGTATAATGGCAATTGCCAATGTATTTGGACCAGAATATAGTCAGAGTGTCATGATGGGACAAGCTGTAGCAGGCGTCTTACCATCCGTCGTATTATTAATCGTATCCATTGGGAAGACCGATGATGACACAAATAATGGTAGTAATAAAGGAATTTATTTCTACTTTTTGACTACATCTATAGTTTGTGTTTCTTGCCTTTTACTATTCTACAATATGAAAATAGATGAGAGATTTGCTAACATTTCAAACAATGACGCAACCGATGAAGATACAGTTAATGAAAGACAACCAGTTCCATTTAGTGTTTTATATTCCAAATTGAAATATTTAGTGTTGTCAATTATTACAACATTTATTGTAACGTTAATATTCCCTGTGTTCGGAGCTAACATTTTTGTTACAGGGTTACCTATGTCAAATGTACAATTTATCCCATTAATATTTACAATGTGGAATCTGGGCGATTTGGCTGGTAGGTTTATTGCAAATTGGAGGATGTTCCGTGATCCAGCGTTCACACCTTACAAGATATTTGTATATTCTATAGCACGTATTGCATTCATTCCATTTTTCTTTTACTTTACAATCAAATCTCGTACTACCAATGAAGATGGCCAAAGGGTGCACTCTGCAGTGTTAGACCTAGAATATATCTTATTGCAATTTCTGTTCGGGGTCACCAATGGTCATATCATCTCCATGAGTTTCATGAAAGTTCCAGAGTCTTTATCCACAGATCAAGAAAAGGAGGCTGCCGGTGGGTTCACAAGTATATTCGTATCTACAGGTCTTACTGTCGGTAGCATCGTTAGCTATGTATTTGCCTTTATGATCAGCAACATCACCAAAGAATAATAGTAGTAATAACGAACAAAAGAGAGTGAGAGGGGAACTTCAAACCAAGCCCTTTAAATGGTGAGCGATGGCCTTCTCTACCTCGTTAAACATGATAACTGGATCTGTCCTCTCTCGTTAAACTAATTAAAATGACGCGTTACTGAGATTTCTAATAATTGTTGCTTATTTACGCAAACATCATCAAATATAATTTTTCAGCAAAACGAAAAGTGAAAAATTTTGGGGAGCTTTCTATGCGTTGTTCACTAAGCAGATACTGGTGCTTAGTAGAGCAGAGCAGAGCAGAGATCTCTTCGTGATTGAGATAGAGAGAGTGTAGCCGAGTTGTACGAGAACTGCATTAGGAAGTTAATTCCATTCGGTCCCATATTCTCAAAATTTTTGACATTTCTCAACTAGTTGTTAATGATTATAACCATACTTGATCTTCTTATATTTAATTTACTTCATAATTTATTTATTTATATAGTTTTACATTATTAACTTCTGTAAGTTATTAATTAGAACACTTTTAATTACAAGAACATTGATCTGCCCTTTATCGAGAGTTTTTATTTGTTGATAAACTAAAAAGACATACATTAACGCTTAGTACGCAATGTCTTCCTCAACAGGGTTCCAGAAAGAAACAGATGACTCCCTCAGGAATAGAAGCAAAGTTTCTGAAAAGGAAGAATTGAATAATACATCTAATGAATTGGATGACAGTTCTAAAGTTTCAAAAATTAGTAATGATGAAATACGTAATCCACTGATTCGTATAGAGGCAATTGTTGCTCCTATCGTTTTTACATTATTGGCATTATTCGTAAGAATGTACAAAATCAATGCTAATAACCATGTTGTGTGGGATGAAGCCCATTTTGGTAAGTTTGGTTCATATTACCTTAGACACGAATTTTATCACGATGTTCATCCACCTTTAGGAAAAATGCTAGTTGGTTTGTCAGGTTACATTGCAGGTTACAATGGTTCTTGGGATTTCCCATCTGGTGAAGTTTATCCAGATTATATCGATTTCGTAAAAATGAGAATATTCAATGCAGCATTCTCAGCTATGTGCGTTCCATTAGCATATTTCACTGCAAAAGCTATTGGTTTCTCTCTTCCAACTGTTTGGTTTTTCACATGTTGTGTATTGTTTGAAAATACTTATGCAACTTTAGGTAGATTCATTTTATTAGACTCTATGCTATTATTTTTCACTATTGCATCCTTCTTTTGCTTTGTTAAATTTCATAACAGTGAAGTCCGTCCTTTCTCTTGTAATTGGTGGACGTGGTTAACTTTGACTGGTGTTTCGTTAGGTTGTGCCATCTCTGTAAAGATGGTCGGTCTTTTCATTATATCTGTTGTTGGTATTTACACTGTTGTTGAACTATGGAATGGTTTGGCCGATAAACAAATGTCCTGGAAGACTTACATCAGCCATTGGATTGCTAGAATTATCTGTTTAATTGTAATTCCGTTAGCCATCTTCATGTTCTGTTTTGTTTTACATTTCCATTTCCTTTACAAATCAGGGACTGGTGACGGTAATATGCCATCTTTATTCCAAGCTGGTCTAGAAGGTACCGAAGTTGGGTTAGGTCCCCGTGATGTTGCACTTGGTTCCAGTACTATTACTTTAAAGAATCAAGCATTCGGTGGTGGACTATTACATTCCCACGTTCAAACATATCCTGAAGGTTCCGAACAACAACAAGTTACTGCTTATGGGTTTAAAGATGCTAACAATGAATGGTTCTTTGATAGAATTAGAGATGTTAACACATGGAATGAAAATGAAACTGATGTGGAATATGTTAGAAGTGATGGTGAATACAGATTATTACATAAGAATACTGGTAGAAACTTACATACCCATTATGTTCGCGCACCAATGTCTCAACAAGCCAATGAAGTTTCATGTTATGGTAACGAAACTATCGGTGATGATAAAGATAACTGGGTTATTGAAATTGTTGATCAAAAGAATGATGAAGACGCTACAATGCTACATCCTTTAACTACCATTTTCCGTATTAAGAATGGTCCATTAGGTTGTTATCTGACCCAAACTGGTAACACTCTACCAGATTGGGGTTTCAAACAACAAGAAATTGCCTGTATTGATAAGGTTTCACCAAAAGATAAGAGAACTTGGTGGAACATTGAAACTAATGAAAATGATAGACTTCCAGAGAGACCTGAAAACTTTACATATCCAAAAACAGGTTTCTTAGAAAATTTCATCAACTTGAATACTGCCATGATGGCCACAAACAATGGTTTAATTCCTGACTATGATAAATTTGATATTTTGGCATCTTCTGCATGGGAATGGCCTACTCTACACGTTGGTCTAAGACTATGTGGTTGGAGTGATGACGTTGTTAGATATTATTTATTAGGTACTCCATTCTCAACTTGGGGTTCCTCACTTGCCGTGCTAGGTTTTATGGTATATATCCTTATTTTAGTATTAAGATGGCAAAGACAGTATGTTGACTTAAGTGACCCTAAACAATTAGATGTATTCCTAATGGGTGGTTTATACCCTCTTTTAGCATGGGGTTTACATTATACTCCATTTGTTATTATGTCAAGAGTCACATATGTCCATCATTACATGCCTGCACTATATTTCGCATTGATAATATTTGCTTATTGTCTGGAAACATTGACAAACATAATGCCTCACAATAAACTCGGAAATACCCTAAAGTATACCACATACATTATTTACACAACTGGTGTTGTTGGTTGCTTCTGGTACTTCTCTCCAATTTCCTTTGGTATGGAAGGTCCAAGAATTAAGTATCAATACTTAGCATGGTTACCGGGATGGACCATTACAAATGAAAACCCACATTAATTGATAGAAAATAAATAAATAAATAATTCAAATTTGCTACGACCGCCGTAACCATATCAATATATGTATTTTTATGCACGCTGGAAATTAAAATACAACACAGTATGTTATGAATATTATAATAGCAAGCTAAATTAAGTTTAGTCTGCGAATAAATAAATTAAAATAAATAAGTAAATGAATTGTTACATTTCTGGTATCTGGATCAGGAGACAGCACATTGCATATTGCAACAATATCATGCCACAATGTATCTAGGTGGAGTCCCATCTATGTCATTAATACATTCATATATTGGAGGAATATCTTCTTCCCATGAAAGATAAAAGTCATCTTTTGGCGTCTCACTAAGAACTAACTTAAATGTTGTTTTTAATTTTTGCATTTGCCCTGTTTTGTCAGCACATAAACGTTTTGTTTGTGTTTGCTTGTCATCCGTCTCATCTGATTCTTCTGTTGAAGCAACAGATTCAGTATTCTTGGTAATAAGGGATTCTTTTTCCAAACTTTTTAAAACTTCTGGTTTTGGTTTAATTGGTTTCTTATAAGGAATTCTCTCATATGATATTTCTTCTTCAAACAATGTAATTTCCATCATGACCTTGTGTTTAACGGACATATTTGATGTATGTAAATCTGTGGAATATATTGTACTCTGTAAGCCAGAATGGTCAATTTTAAAAGTAGCTTCAATATCATTATTTTCAATAAACTTTCTTGTAATATTTTTTTGATCAATATCAACTTTAAGAATTTGATACGATTGTTCTGTTATAACCTTTTGATCCTTAGTTTGATCAATATTCTCTATATCTGTTCTTTCAAAATATGATACTGAGGTTGATTTATTTGGTTGAATTTTTTCAAATATAGAAGATCTTCCTTGTTCTTTTGTTTGTTTTAATAATTTTTTAAATAATTTCTCTCTGTCATGAGTACTACAATATATTGATTCATACCGTACTATTTCAAATAGGTAACAATTTATGTTCTTAATAGACCATCGTTTATTTGGCAAATCTTTATTTATATTCCTAATTATAAGTTTCACAAAGTTTTTAGTGTTAACAAAAACCGTTTCAGGTAAATAACCTTCAAGGAGAGTAGTTGTTGGTTCAAACGTCCGCTGAGAAAGTTTTGGTCTATTATTTCTAAAGATTCTTGATATTTCGAAAGGAACTACATCAGTATATATTCTTTCCCTTTTTAAAGCTGATGATTTAAGATGGTATTTAATTGTAGTCAATAATTCATAAGTAATATTCGTTTGTTGACTTGTACCAATCCTTGAGGTGGCAGGTAAACTACCTTCAATATGACAAGAAAATGGAATCTTATGTTCCCCTTTCTTAAAGCTACTTGGTTGTATAAGCAAATTCCATTCTTTTATCTTTTTAATAGAACCTAAACTATTCTTACAAAATTTACATGTTGGTGATAATGATTGTTGAATAATTATATGCTGAACTAATTCTACAGTAACCACATTAATTTCAATTGTTTCTTTGGAGTTTACTATCAAAGAAAATGTTGCACTGAATAAAGAGCCAATTGAAGATTGTGGAATATCAAAGAGAGTACAATTAGGTGATTCCACATAAATTTTGGAACTTATTGGTTTTTTAATATCCCCTTTCACAATTGTACCAGATGAAATACATTTGGAAGTATTAGATTGTTGTATGGTCTCCAACTGATTAGGATTAGTATCGCAAACATTGTTATAATAATTTCCCCCGACACTATTTGAAATATTAAATAATTGAGAAGTAAAACTTTTGAGTATTGACATATTTCGTTTTGATGTTATTAAGGCATGTGGGAATATTTTCCTTTGTTAAGTGTTTATCTTATTCTGATATTGAAATTAATATAGGAGGTTTAAAAAAAATTGGGCAAAACTCGTTTAAATAAATGGTATTCTAGATCTAAAAACTTAGTACTAATATAAAATTAAATATGAAAAGTGTCAATACTTCATAAATATACGTATATATATATATATGAATATAAATAAGAGAGAACAAGTAAAAAGGGACTAAAGGGAATACGATTAAAGAAAGATATAAAAATAAGTAAGTGTGTCATGAACTCATCTAACCTATCAAAAAGGCAAAAATAAATAATGAGTAACTATAACAAGCGCAGGAGAAAAGAATAATACAATAGATAAAGGACATTTTGATAGATTCGTCATGTATTTTATTGATTTAACAATCAGCTGTATAGAAAACAGAAAAATCTAAAACAGAGGAGGTAAGACTCTTAAATCAACTAGAACACATAATACATATAATTTTATAGAAAACAAAAAATGGTTTGTAAGGGTAAAATAATTGAAATAAACAAACTTTAGTAAAAGTTCATTGTAATAATTCATGACCTTAATCAAAACTGTGAGAGAAGCGCATGTAAATAACATATGATACTAACCAAGAAAATCCTTGGGGAAAACTAGAAGGACGCATAATAAATGAATATAATATATAAATGTACACACATTTGCATAGACCTTGGGAATATATGAATTTATTAAAGAATGTAAAATGCTTTACGATGGCTAGAAAAGCCGTTTTCAGAATGAGCATTAGTTTCTGTTCTACAAAAGTTACTTGGTTATCCATCTATCTTAGTCAAAAAAAAAAAAATGTCATATTACATGACAAGAACACCAAAGTAATACATAATTTATTCAATGATTGAGATACTTTAGCGCTTATTAAACTCAAAACAAAAAAAAAAAGCTCCGATTACTCATACTTGTTAGATTAAATATTATAATTCTCCTTTCTTACTCCCCAAAACACATACACCATTAACGTCGCTTGGGAATACATCCCTACTGCGTTTATTACTGTCAGATAGAATCCCCTTTAAACGTTTATCTTTTGTTCTATTGTGCTTAAACAATTATATTATTATTTTAGTTTTTACTGACACTTTTTCCTCAATCGAACCCCTCGGAGAGTCATTATAATTTGGCCGGTACCGGTTCCAGAAAGTAACCAAAAACAAAAAATGTTAAGAAAGAGAGAGAATCTAGTACCTTTTGCACCAAATTTGCGTAAAACTAAAATGCAAAGTTGTGGTATGGAAAAATGTTGTTACGCCACAACTAAATGGGACAGGGGAGGGATGGAAGCGCTTCCCATTACTTTCTGTTCTGTTCCAATTCATTACCGGTCTCACTATCGGAATAAGCCATGGTAATTGTGCTAGCCGTCATTTCCCGATGACTATATATCTATCTATTTATTATACGCCTTCCCGACGGTACTTATGTGAAAAACCTTCCCGATATTGCACATATCAATTTATTTAATACATTTTTTGGAAGAGTGGGATGAAATATATATACATACATATATATAATTTGTGCTGTTAAAATTTTCTTGCTCCGATTTAATGTAATATCCCCATAAAATAATCATTACAGCCTTTCGTTTCTGTGATATTGAGTCAATCCATTAATTCTATGTATTAACTGACAAACCCTTTTCTATCTCAATTTTTCGTACAAAAATTGAGTATTTAATATCAAGTTTTCTTGTGGTTCGAGAAACATAACATATATCTTGAGAAATAATTACAGCAGATACTTCAATATCACTAGTAGTAATGATTATCAGTCACTAAATTCACGTGATCCTTTGAACATAAACTTTTCTAATTGCCTTCAAATTTTACGCGTTTTCTTGTTTAACTTTCTATGCAAATTTGCGAATTTTAAAGAAAATACTCCAAAAGTAGAAAGGAAAACACAATTTTGCGCTAACATCTTCGAAAAGTATAAAACGCAAAATGGGCGCGCCAAAAGTGATACTTTAAAAAACAAAATACTAAATATTTTGTTGACATATTTAGATTTTCTTGTATACGTAAAAATTATATCAATCAATGCATCGCGACATATACATATATTTTCTTCGTACTCTCTCCGCGTTATTGTGAGGATAGCTTGAGAGAAAGCGAAATAGAGAGAGCAAGGAAAATAAAAATAAATAAAAATAAATAAATAAAGAAATAAGCATCAAGTTAAATAGATCAACTAGACTAAAAACCTCGAGAAAAATCAAGATATCATAAGAGTTTTAATAGAAGGAACATATAGAAATTACTAGATTTATATTAGCATCATCTATTTTATTCATTCAAACCATTTCTCTTAGTTTTTTAGTTTAAAAATTTGTCTGATAATCATCATCATATCCAAGAGTGGAAGACATACGACAACAAAAAAAATATACAAATAACAATAATAATTCTATCCTTTTTTTTCGAATTCGTATACATTGCTGAATGAATATCTTCAGTCAACCCGATTATTACCCATCTCCGTCCTCTAATGTCATCACATATTCAAATCAATCAAGAAGTAGTACTCAGATAGATGAAAAGAACGCGTCCACTAGACGTAAACGATTATTAAATACAGATATACATGCTTTAATTGTTTATCTTTCATCACCAATTGACCCAGTTGATTATTCTGCATTTTCTGATTTCTTTTTAATTTATAGAAATTTTATTACACCATTAAAATTACATGAATTATTAATATCAAGATTTAAATGGTCATATATTGAAACAATATCACAAGATAATACACAAACTAAAATTGGTGAAATTTCTTTAGTTAGAACATTTGTATTAATAAGGCATTCGTTGCTAAATAATTTTTTACAGGATTTTATTGGTAATAAACCTTTAAGATTATTAATACTTCAATTTTTAAATGATGATTTTACTGCATTACCAAAAATTGTTCAACAATGTATAATAAATCTGAAAAAAATTTGGATTATGAAATCTAAACAAACTTGGGAAAATATAATATTTGATGGACCCGTTAATGGAGATTGGTTATTATTTCAATTAAAAGATGTTTCACAATTAGCTAAAGATCAAAAGAGGACAAGTAGATTAAGTTTTATGGCGATTAAAGGCTCATCAAGTCCCGAATTTCGCAATGAAAGTATGTTATCATTATACAAGATGGATCTAATAAATACCGATTATAAAGATCATAATACTTATAATAATAATGAAATTAATGATACAGATTCAAAGAGAACAGGCTCAATGTTATTATTCCCTAATAATAATTCAAATATTCAAACAATTAATATTATTCCGATGATTAAAAAGGAAACAGATTTAAAGAAAGAAAAACATATGACCTTGGTACAAAGAATGTCAAAAGTAATTAAAGATGTTGATTATCCTAAATCTCCCGAGATCAATAGAATTATACCACCTACACCAGCTAAAAAAGTAGAATTTATACTAAATTCATTATATGTTCCTGAATCCCAAAATATGAAAATAAATAAACCAAAACAATCTATTCAAAGATCATCATCACTTTCAAGAAATTTATCTCATACTTCTGCTATTTTTTACAAAGGTGCATTATCACTTTTAGCTAAATGGAAACATAATCATTCAAATCAGGATTCTGAAATGTTTGAAAAACCTGAAATGGATACATTTGTAAAATATGTTATATCAATTACATCTTTAGATCATGAAAATTCTAGTGATGATGGAATTAATAATACTAATGGAATTGCTAAATTTGATATTTTAAGTGCAAGGACAATTGATGAAGTTGAATATTTGATTTCTTTGGAAAATAAAATGATTCAAGAGGTGAAAGAACTTCATTCTAAGGATAATGATTATAGTATTACGAATCATAGGACTAACCAAATTATAGTTAAACAGAATACAGAATTTAGTGCCTTAGATAACCTGGACTTATATCAGACAGTGAATACAATCGCAAAATCTGTCATATCTTTATCAAATACCTTACAAAAGTCTAATGATAACGCTTTAATTAAAGGCACGAGTAATAATAAAAACACTGAAACTTTCCCATATTTATCACCTTCATTCGATAGAAGAAAAATCAAAAGTACTACAGCTACAATCTTTAATTCTAGTACTAGCGCTCTTATCAACTCTAATATCGATCAGGACGGAGTTAATGGCCCTCAAAGATTAATTTTCCATGACACAGAGGCCACTGATACTCACATATCCTCTTCTGAACAGCAACCGAGTGGCTCACCTTTAAAACATTTACTCCCAACCGGGACCGAAAGCTCAGATCCAGTAGACTACTATCGTTCCGAATCACGTATATCATCAGTAACCTACGATTCTGAACTATCAGCTACTTCACCAGGGTTGAGTAATGCGTTATCTGAAAAATCAGACGAAAGTACACCAGGTCTCGTAAGAGAATTGGGAGCACAAACGAGTAAAGGTTTATCCAAAAAAGATAGTCTTGACAATCTAAGAGAATTTACCTTCGAAGACGAGGATGAGAAGATAAATTCTGAAATTAATGAAGAACAAAATCTTGAGAGCTATGAACAGATAATCCCAGAAAATAATGAACAACACGATGACGGTAGTGATATCGAAGGCGATGATAATGATGACGATGATATGATTTCTGTTTCATTATCACAGGATGAAGATACTAACAGTATGTTAGAGGACGCTGATGAGATAAAACCGTTACGCTCTGTCGAAGTTGGGAATAACACATCAGATTTACTGTCCCCATTACCTTCTACCAAGAAAATAGCAATGAGACCAGCTAGTGGAAGAATTAGCATAATGAAAAGAAGGACTGTACACACTCCACTCTCGGATAGGATCTCAAACACTAAATCTCCAATGAGAAAGTCACTTTTGTTATTAAAGGATAATGACTTTCTGCAAAAAGATAACGCATTATTTGAAAATGAATTAAAATTGGCAAAATTAGAGGAAGTCACGAACAGAGATTCATATACCCCAAGTGTATCAACAAGCAGATTATTCAATTCTACCCATAACAGTCCAAAGAAAATAACAATTGACGATGGTGGTAGAATTAGATTATCTATTGCTCCAAGTATGAATTCAATCCAGAGTGGGAGCTCATTTTCTAGCAGTATGTCTCTATCGACACAAAGCCCATTACGTCATAAAGTATTAAATAATTTGAGAGACGAATTTCAAAAGGATAAGGTATCGCAAAGTTCATCAGATGTCTCTAATAATGGTAACAAATACCTCTTTTCTCCTGATAATGATAGTTTAAATGCAGCATCCCCCGAAAAGGATATGGAAGAACTGAAAAATAAATTCTTACAATCAAGTTCTAATAGTCCATCCAGGACTGAAATAAATTCCACAAAAGAAGGAACAACGGATGCTGATATATTGGTAATCCAAGAAAACATGAAAAAGGACCTCAACCCTACTAATTTAAAGGATATTGCTGATATGCCAGATGATTCTATGCACGACGATCCTGTAAATGTTGCCATGTTGAAATTAGAAGGTAAATATAGTAAAGAAGAAACCCAATTAAAAATGCAGAGCTCACCTAACGTATCAACGGTTAGCAAAGACGTTGGACTTTTAAATTTGGAACAAATTGTCTCCATACCAAGAACCCCAGGCGAGAAGCGCAGATCACTGTTAATAGAGAGAAGAAGAAAGACAATAATGACAATACCATACACACCAGAAACTCAAGGAATTCAAAATACCAATACCCAGGAGGCGCTAGGTGAAACAGAAATGGCTAAATTACAAAACTTAATGAAGTCCTACTCTATAGAAGATCCGAACTTAGAAATAACAAATAGTCAACATCACATTCCCTTTATTTTAATGTACGACTCGAAGTCTGTTGCTGAACAGTTAACTTTAATTGAAAAAGAATTACTAAAAGAAATAGATTGGAAAGACTTGTTAGATTTAAATATAGAATATGATGGTCCAATGGTGACGAGTTGGCTACAATTACTAATAGAAAACGAATCATTATCTGGGATTGATTTAATGGTTGCCCGTTTCAACTTAACCGTGACATGGATTGTATCCGAAATTTCGTTAACTCAAGATATTAAGATGAGAAGAAATACAATTCAAAGATTTATCCATGTTGCTGAGCATTGCAGAGAATTTCAGAATTATAATACTTTAATGGCGATTGTGCTTGCATTGAGTTCTATCACAGTACAAAAAATGATAGATGCTTGGAGATTAATTGAACCTGGTGATTTGTTGACCTGGGAGGAATTGAAGAAGATATGCAACCTTGATCGTAATTACAGCTCGATAAGACTTCTTCTTAGCGAAATCGACCCACTAACTGGCTGTATTCCATTTGTTGCTATTTATCTATCTGATTTAGCAATCAATTCAGAAAAGAAAAATTGGATAAAAGAAAATAAAATTATAAATTACAACAAGTTCGATATGAATGTCCAAATTGTAAAACATTTTATTCAACTTTCACAGTGGTCCAAATTTTACAAATTTAAACCTGATCATGAACTGTTAAGTAAATGCGTGTACATTTCTACATTGACAGATGATGAGATCGAACTTCTAAACAACGGTTTAAACCTTTAAGACTACAAGAATACAAATGAGGAGCGTTCCACATACAAAAACATTTACTGTACCTTCCCCAAAAAGACAATAACATAATTATATAATGAACACTTTTTTATATATAAATTATACATCCGTATGTACACATATATTTGCATTTGAAGTTATAACAACTTCTACAATATTTTTTTTTAATTAAATGATTATGTTCTTGTTGCTATTTAGCAATGGGGTTTCAATTATCTCTTGTTCACTGTTTTGAATGCGCCTTGTTGTTTAGGCGCACAAAAAATTATATATATATAGAAACGTCTTAATTAAAATTATTAGCCTTTTATTTTTAACAATTCTAATATAACAGTGAAAAATATTAAATGGTACAGAGGTGTAGACCAACAACCAAGGAACATAGACACTTCAATCCACAAAAATACCTATTTAATAGCAGTACTATCAACATTGGCTAATAAAAACATAAATTACTGCCATGGATAACGACAGTCATCCTCAAAAGAAGGTAAATGATACGCTATTTGATATCGACTTTGTCAGCCCCGAACCCATAAACAATGATTCTACAGACAAGCCGTTCAGAGTAACAGATGATCAAAGTATATCTAATATTAATCGAGACCACGTTATTCCAGAGGAAATAATTGATCTTGACAGAAGCGATAATATTATAAATGATGAAAATCCATTCAACGATCAACGTACTGTTGATTGGGATACAACCCATCTGGATGTACATGAACCAGATTTTTCAAGTGCACAAAATGGGGGATTCTTTTCAAGAATGTTTGGCAGAAAATCTGCGGCAGTATCTCAGAATAATTACAATTCCGTGACCACTTCAGATTTCGACGATAGCTATACGAACTCAAGAGATCAATTTAATATCAAAATATTATTCAATAAATATATTCTTAGGAAAAACGTTTCGGGTAGCATTGACACGACAAAACCAAGAATTATTAACATGAATGACAGACATTCCAATAGTGAATTTTCCTATTGCGATAATCATATTTCAACAACCAAATATAATGTTGCTACATTCCTTCCGAAGTTTTTATTTCAGGAGTTCTCAAAATATGCTAATTTATTCTTTCTATGTACATCAGCTATTCAACAAGTTCCAAATGTTTCTCCAACAAACAGATACACAACAATTGGTACTCTGATGTGCGTGTTAATTGTCTCAGCAATGAAGGAAATTATTGAGGACACTAAGAGAGCAACTTCTGATAAAGAGTTAAACAATTCCATTGTTGAAATATACAATGACGGTGAATTCATTAAGAAAAGATGGATTGATATTAAAGTAGGTGATATAATAAAAGTAAATTCCGAAGAGGCAATTCCTGCTGATTTGATTATTGTATCCTCCTCCGAACCGGAGGGGCTGTGTTATATTGAAACAGCTAACCTTGATGGTGAAACTAATTTAAAAATAAAACAATCAAAAGCAGAGACATCAGGGTTTATTGACTCTAGACAACTAAAATCTCTAACAGGTAAGGTCCTCTCTGAGCAACCAAACTCAAGTTTATATACATACGAAGGTACCATGGAACTAGGAAACCAAAGGATTCCACTATCACCAGAACAAATGATTTTAAGAGGTGCAACCTTGAGAAATACAGCATGGATAACAGGGTTAGTAATATTTACTGGGCATGAAACTAAATTAATGCGTAATGCAACAGCTACTCCTATTAAGAGAACTGCTGTTGAGAGAGTTATCAACATGCAAATCATTGCATTATTTGGTGTTCTTATCGTGCTTATTTTAATATCATCAATTGGTAATGTCATTATGAGTAGTGCGTCGAAACATTTGTCTTACCTGTATCTAGAAGGTACAAGCAAAGTTGGCTTATTTTTCAAGGATTTCTTAACCTTCTGGATTTTGTTTTCAAATTTAGTCCCTATTTCGTTATTCGTTACCGTAGAATTGATTAAATATTACCAAGCTTTCATGATTGGTTCAGATTTGGACCTATACTACGAAGAAACTGATACGCCGACTGTTGTCCGTACTTCCTCTCTAGTCGAAGAATTAGGGCAAATTGAATATATATTTAGTGACAAAACTGGTACTCTTACAAGAAATATCATGGAGTTCAAATCTTGTTCTATTGCAGGCCACTGTTACATTGAAACTATTCCTGAAGATAAAAAAGCAAGTATGGAAGATGGTATTGAAATTGGCTATCGTAGTTTTGACGATATGAAGGAACGTCTATATAGTGGGAATGATGCAGAAGAATCTGGTACTATAGATATTTTTTTGACATTATTAGCTATTTGTCATACTGTTATCCCTGAAGATATTGGCAATGGACAAATAAAGTATCAGGCAGCTTCACCAGATGAAGGTGCTTTAGTACAAGGTGCCTCAGATCTTGGTTTTAAGTTTATTATCAGAAAACCAAATTCTGTTACTGTATTGCTGGAATCTGGCGAGGAGAAACAATTTGAATTACTTAATGTTTGTGAATTTAATTCCACTAGAAAAAGAATGAGTGCTATATTTAGATTTCCAGATGGTTCAATAAAATTATTATGTAAGGGTGCCGATACTGTTATATTAGAAAGACTTGGTCCAAACAACATGTATATTGAACCAACCACAAGACACTTAGAAGACTATGCATCAGAAGGTCTAAGAACCTTATGTTTAGGGTACCGTGATATTCCAGAGCAAGAATACATCAGCTGGAAAACGACATATGACGAAGCTGCTACTACTATGGAGAACAGAAGTGAAAAATTGGATGCAGCTGCTGAGCTAATTGAAAAAGATTTGACTCTGATAGGTGCTACAGCAATTGAAGATAAATTACAAGATGAAGTTCCTGATACAATCCACACACTTCAAGAAGCTGGAATTAAAATTTGGGTTTTAACTGGTGATAGACAAGAAACTGCAATCAATATTGGTATGAGTTGCCGTTTATTAGGTGAAGATATGAACTTATTAATTGTAAATGAAGAAACAAAGGAAGATACAAGAAAGAATCTTGTTGAAAAAATTAACGCATTACACGAACATGATATATCTGAACAGGAGAAAGACACATTAGCCCTTGTTATCGATGGTAAATCCTTGGGTTATGCACTTGAGCCAGATCTTGAAGATTATCTGCTATATATTGGTAAACTCTGCAAAGCTGTTATTTGTTGTCGTGTATCCCCCTTACAAAAAGCTTTGGTGGTTAAGATGGTTAAAAGAAAGACATCATCACTATTGCTCGCAATTGGTGATGGTGCCAATGATGTTAGTATGATACAAGCTGCTCATGTTGGTGTAGGTATAAGTGGTATGGAAGGTATGCAAGCTGCCCGTTCTGCGGATATAGCTGTAGGTCAATTTAAGTTTTTAAAAAAACTATTAATTGTACATGGTTCATGGTCTTACCAAAGAATATCTATGGCTATTTTATATTCATTCTACAAAAATACAGCTCTTTACATGACACAATTTTGGTATGTTTTCGCGAACGGGTTTTCGGGGCAATCCATCATGGAGTCGTGGACCATGAGTTTCTATAACCTGTTCTTTACAGTACTACCTCCATTTGTAATGGGTGTTTTTGATCAGTTTGTTAGCAGTAGACTTTTGGAACGTTATCCTCAATTATACAAGCTGGGTCAAAAGGGTCAATTCTTCTCTGTTACAATTTTCTGGTCTTGGATTATTAATGGGTTTTACCACTCCGCTGTTGTGTTCATTGGTACCATTCTATTTTATAGATATGGATCTGCCTTGAACATGCATGGAGAAGTTGCTGATCATTGGACATGGGGTGTTTCTGTTTACACAACCAGTATTTTGATCGTGTTAGGAAAGGCTGCGTTAATCACTAATCAGTGGACAAAGTTCACATTTGTAGCCATTCCGGGTTCATTTCTCTTTTGGTTAGTTTTCTTTCCAATATACGGTTCTATCTTCCCATATGCAAGTATTTCAAGAGAATATTTCGGGGTTGTTCCACATACCTATAGATCCGGCGTATTTTGGTTGACTTTATTAGTCTTGCCAATGTTTGCACTGCTAAGGGATTTTGCATGGAAATATTATAGAAGAATGTATGTACCAGAAACATACCATCTTGTCCAGGAAATGCAAAAGTACAATATTAACGATTACAGACCACATATTCAACATTTCCAGGATGCCATTCGTAAAGTGAGACAAGTTCAAAGAATGAAGAAACAAAGAGGGTTTGCATTTTCACAAGCCGAGGAAGGTGGACAGGAGAAAATTATTAGAATGTACGATACGACACTTAAGAGAGGTAAATTCGGTGAATTGGCAGATGCTTCCGCTAATGTATTTGACGATAATGCAATCAACAATGACACATTAACAGGGAATTACGAGGTAGTAGATGATATATCTTTACCAGAGAATCCTTTTGCTGATACAACCACCCAGAAAGACTTTTTTTGATCTTTAAAATTTTTATTTATGTAATATATAACAAAAGAGTGACAATCTAATGTATTCTACCTAGTTATCGTAAATATTAAAGTACACATTGATGCACAATTCAACTTCAGATTCTTCATGTTAAAAAACCCTAAAACTTCATCAATTGTGACGTCTTGGTCGTTCTAACACATGTATATCTAAAATAGGCCCTAAATTTCTGATTGGTCTATACTTAAATTTGATTTCAGGTTTAACATCTTCGATGGTTTCCTCCATATCAATATCATTCTCATTATCACTGTCATCGACAATTGTCCTTTTTGTCTGAGAACTAAACCTTTCCATTATCAACATACGCCTCTTATGAGGGACATTCATAGTGAAGGAGTATTTAAAGATTAATAATTGCCGTATACTTGCTAGTTTTGCTATATTTTCAATAAATATATCTAGCTTCCATTTAGACTCATAATGTAGCAAATACTTAAATCTGGAAACTCGACTAATTGTAAGTATACTGGATTTTATAAAATTATTTGAATCTGAGTCTAAATTATCCTTTATTGGTTTTAATATTTTTTCCTGGAAATCCACTTTTTGTCCTATCCTTATTTTTTGTAATATTGTTTTTGATATGTTAGGTGATGTCAAGTCATAGAGAATAAGGCGAATTTCCTCTTTAAGTTCATCACACAGGCTAGACATATCCGTATTCGACAGGTATATTCCTGTGTTAGGTGACTTCAATGAAACAATAGAGTTGTTAGAAAGCAATGGCGCTTCGAACAGCGTTGTGGCCTTATCATTATTTTGAAGTATTTGCTTTCTGTTAACAAATATCCGTAGTTGCACTGCTATATTATCAGATACTCTCAAAGTAGCCAAACTCACGACCATTTAACATAAAGTATATTGAGATATGTGAACCCTTTTGAGTGGTTTTATCGCCTATCTCTATTGCGATTATTTCACATAAATGAAATATTATGTCAAGTATTTTCATATTTTCAGGCATCGCTCCATTTTGTATATAGAATTTTTTGACTTATTTAGCAAAAACCTTTATTCATATACTAATCCATAGCGTGCAGAAAATGAATTTTTAATTGTAAATTGAATATATATATATATATATACGTCAATGATATATGCAATATGAGGAATGTCTTATTTAAAAATGTACGAAATAATGTCAGAAATTATGATTAGTGTGTTTTTAATGTTACATGGTTCGATTTGCATCTTGAATAGAATTAGACAATGGAACCGATTTATCTAATTGTGAATTAATGAAAATTGCCAATACGATTATTATAATGGCAGTCACAAAGTCATAAATAATATACTTGTATTTTGAAAATATACTCATGCTCTCTCTTGATGTTATCAATGAGTTCTCGACGAACAACAGTCTATCCATTCTTTTAACTACTTCCTTCTGTCGATCTAGATTTTCTTTGCAATTCTTCATTCTCTCTTCTAAGGACTCCAGTTCCGCAACACTCGCCCCAACAGATAGTTTCAATTTTGAATGATATGATGTTGGATCAGATTCTTCAAAATCTCTTTCTAACTCGATGAGATATTTATTACTGACAATATCTTTTAATCTAATAACACGATTTTTCAGAGCCTCCAATTCTGAATGTACTGTATCAAAATCCTTTAAACTTCTTTGGAATTCACTCTCTCTCTTCAATGCACTTTCACGCAGATTAACTTTCATTGTTGTTTCAACATTATTCAAGACATATGCAATATGATGTTGATAATAATCAGCATCTTCGTAATCAAGTAACAAACTAGACGTATTTTGAGCAGACACATTTCTATTACTTAACGATTGAAAGGAGGACACACTCGAAAATGATGACGTATCACTATCATCAGAAGAATCTGTTCCTGTGGTATCTGATGATAATCTTGACACAGGAGATAATCTCTGGGGAGAAGGTGACCTATTTTCATTTCTTGAAGGTGATAATTCTAAATCATGATATAGTAGACTTTGTAAAGACTTATCAGAATCATCTGTGTACACTGGTGTAATTTCACTCATATTAATTTTACCAGCAGCATTCGTCGTTGAAGTTGAATTATTTGATGGGAATAAAATGTTAGACATATTTGTAGTCGATGCCGTAGGGGGTACCATAGATTCTAAGAACTCATTTACTAATCTTTTCTTATCATTGTTGAATGAAGCAGATCGTGGATTATCTTCTGCTCTAGACTTTCGATGTCTATGTATTTTTTTATTCAAAGAAGAACCAAGTCTACTGGTGGGTAGATCACTATTATTTTCACCAGAAATAACTATTGGACGATGCCTAAATACATAGTTTCCCAAAGAAATATCACTGATATCGACATCTTGAGTTAACACATCTCCATTAGCACTACCATGTGACAATACGCCACGAGTATTCGAACCATTACCACCACCACTTACCTTGCCATCAACAACACCACTATCGCTTCTACTATTTTGATTACCTGATGCTATCCCCTTTGAGTCTCTTATATCAAACATACAATCGCTGAAAGTACCTGTAGTTGCAGATGTATAATCAGGGTTACCTGCCCTTGCTCTCTTATGATGTGCATGTCTCCTTTCTCTATCTTGTATGATATCCGCTTGCATTGGTTCAAATCTTGAGATCGACGCTCCATCTGATAACTTACTACTAATTTCTATTCTTGGTACTTTTGGACCACTGGTATTACTACCTGATCGACTTTCTGACGGCCGTATAAATGCTTTTCTTAATGAGGATATATTATCATTTGGTTGATCCTGCATACGTTGTATCAATCTACTCATTATTGTTGAGTACAATGTTGTTCAACCTTCTCTTCATGTTAAACAACAAAGAAATTCCATCTTGAAATGTCCCTTGCTTTTCTACCATTCCCTTAGAAAGAGCCTTAAAGAAAGCCCCCCACATCAAAAAAACTGGATTACGTAAAAACACCGAGAGAGATGTCGTGAAACTCGTTCAAAGCGATATATAGCACGTGACTGTAAATATTTCCAAACTCTAAAAAGAACAGATTCAGGGCTACTTTGGGCTTCGGCGGCAAAACAAAATGATAATAACTTCAAAGAGAAAAAAGAAGAACGATAAAGGAATTAACCCTCATTATATTTTTATTATCACAAGTTTCTCCTTTCTATCTCTTTCTTTTTTTTGAAATTAGTGAGCCTTCAAGCAATATTTAACTGAATACATCCCAATAATCGACGATTAAAATCGAGTCAACCCATTCGGTTTTCATATTTTTTACCATACATTCTCAAAATGGAGTTTCAATAAAGAAAAGGAACACCTCTAACATCCATTATAACTATTTCCCATTTTTTTCTTACTGGATCAGTACCTTATTTTTATGATTCACAAGGAAATAATTCAGATTACAAGATGATTTGATCAGCTAGTTGAAATGTAAATCAATTCTTCGTTAATTAAAATATAAATCGAATCTGTTACAAATATGAAACCTATATGTTGGTAATATTTCATATTGCTTACTCACTATATGGTGTGTTACCCTAATAGTGCTAAAATATTTTTTTTTTTTGGTGTGGTTCGTTTACCATCGCAGAGATACGCGCACACCATTTGTTTTTGTTTACTGTGTACTGCGATTGTTTATATTTTTGGATCCAAAGTGTTGATAATGAGTGATGGCTTCGAGAAACATAACAAAATTAGTTTTAATCACATCATTTTAGAAAATTACACATCTTGCAGAAAAAGTATTTATTGAGATCCCTTTATGAAGGTTCTTCTATATCTGATATTGAAATATAACAATAGATAGATCAGAATACGCAACTACAATATTCACCTAATTATTTTGGAAGAAAGATGTCGTTTACTGTAGGTACAAGATGTTGGTACCCAAGTAAAGATCATGGTTGGGTGGCCGCTGAAGTTGTAGATGTATCTCATGCTAATAACATCTACTACCTTAAGTTGCAACTGGAAGGATCAGAAGAATTAGTAGAAATAAATACACAACAATCACTGGCAGAACTGGAGAAATTATCTAGTATAGATGCTACAGCAGCAAATGGTGTATCAAAACCACCAGGAAATGAATTACCTCTATTGAGAAATCCATCCATACTTGAAAGTACTCAAGATTTGACATCACTTTCTTATTTGAATGAACCTGCTGTGCTACATGCTATTAAGAGTCGGTATTCAAAAGGGAATATATATACTTACTCCGGTATTGTATTGATTGCAGCTAATCCATTTGACAATGTTGATAAATTGTACTCACAGGAAATGATATCAAAATATGCAAACACTCAGAATAGAGACCGATTAGAACCTCATATCTTTGCCATTGCAGGTGAAGCTTATACACGTATGATTAATGATGGACAAAACCAAACTATTGTCGTAAGTGGAGAATCTGGTGCAGGGAAAACTGTATCTGCTAAATATATTATGAGATATTTTGCTTCTATTGAACCTCAGATGTCGCACGATGGATCAGCTAGAGAACAATCTAGAATGACTGAAATCGAAGAGAAAATTTTGGCAACTAACCCTATCCTTGAAGCATTTGGTAACGCAAAGACCACCAGAAATGATAACTCTTCTAGATTTGGGAAGTATCTTGAGATTATGTTTAATGAAGAATCCAGGATTGTAGGTGCTAGGATTAGAACATATCTTTTAGAGAGATCAAGATTAGTATTTCAACCAGAATCTGAACGTAATTATCATATTTTTTACCAAATGATGGCAGGTCTTGATTCTGAAACAAAAAATATATGGCAATTATCTAATGTTGAAGATTTCCATTACATGAACCAAGGATCTAATGAGAGTAACTATACCATAAAGGGTATAGATGATAAAGTAGAATTTGAACGTACGAAAGAAGCCTTAAAAAAAATTGGTATAAGTGCTGAAATGCAAACTGATATATTTCAGATACTGGCTGCTTTATTACATATTGGTAATATTTGCATCACAAAGACAAGAAATGATGCAACGTTAGCGTCAGATGAAAATAGTTTGAGTGTTGCTTGTCAACTACTAGGTATCGACAATGTAGGATTTGCTAAATGGATTGTTAAGAAACAAATTAATACACGTTCAGAAAAGATTGTATCAAATTTAAATTTCTCGCAAGCAATGGTGACTAAGGACTCTGTGGCCAAGTTTATCTACGCTGCTTTATTTGATCTGATTGTGCATAAGATAAATGCCACATTAGAAAATGGGAACAATGATTCTGTTAATGAGACTGTTAAATCATTTATTGGTGTCTTAGATATCTATGGTTTTGAACATTTTGAGAGAAATTCCTTTGAACAATTTTGTATCAATTATGCAAACGAGAAATTGCAACAAGAATTCAACCAACACGTGTTTAAATTGGAACAAGAAGAATATGTTCGTGAAAAAATTGAATGGTCCTTCATCGATTTCAATGACAACCAGCCTTGTATAGATTTAATTGAAAATAAACTTGGTATCTTATCCTTACTAGATGAAGAATCTAGATTACCAGCTGGATCTGACGAAACTTGGGCAGAAAAGTTATACCAATGTTTAGATAAACCGCCTACCAATTCTGTCTTTAACAAACCACGTTTCGGCCAAACTAAATTTGTGGTTCGTCATTATGCTAATGATGTCACATATGATGTGGAAGGCTTTATAGAAAAAAACAGAGATACCGTTCCGGAGGGACAATTTGAAGTTTTACAGGCAACCACAAACAAAACTCTTAAGTTAATTTTGGATCACTTAGTCCAAAAACAAGAACAAATGGCAGAACAAAGACAGGAAGATGATAAAAAACCAGGTGCTATTTTCAGACGTACTACACAAAAGAAACCAACACTGGGGTCCATGTTTAAGGCCTCTTTAGTAGAATTGATGAAGACAATTGAATCTACTAATGTTCACTATATCAGATGCATCAAACCAAATACAGAGAAGACGGCATGGGAGTTTGACAACTTGTTAGTTCTTTCACAATTAAGGGCATGTGGTATTCTAGAGACCATTCGAATCTCTTGTGCAGGTTTCCCATCCAGATGGACTTTTATGGAATTTATTGAAAGATTCTATTTCCTTTCCCCTATGGAGAAATGGCGTCCTATAATGGGTAACGAATCTGTTAGTAATGAAAGTAAAATTTCATTTTCTAAAGATCTACTAAACGAGTTGGTAGATGATGAGATGAAATACCAAGTTGGTACAACTAAAGTTTTCTTCAAGGCAGGAATACTAGCTCAGTTGGAAAATATAAGAACCACAAAACTTGTCAAGGTATGTACAGTCATTCAAAAGAATATCAGAGGGTTGAACTGTAGAAGAGAATATTTGAGAACAATTAGATCGATAAAATCTGTCCAAGCTTATTCAAGAGGTAGAGTGATCCGTGATTTTGTTGATTTCGAATTAAAAACCAGAGCTGCTATCTTGATACAATCTATCCTTAGAGGACGCACACAATTTAATTTTTTTGTCGATGTTTTACGAAGTACTGTTAAAGTGCAATCATATGTGAGACAAAAACTCGCTAAATTAAGGGTTGAGCTTCTAAGAAGGGAACAGGCTATCACGAAAATCCAAAAATTGATTAGATCAAAAATGACACAAAGGTATCACTTGGCATTAAAGAAAAGTACGTTGACTATACAATGCCACATAAGAAAAACTATTGCACAAAATAAATTAATTCTTTTAAGACAACAATACAATGCTACTAACTCTGAACAATTAGAGATAGAGAGGTCGTTTACCGAATTAATGGAAAAGATCCATTTTGCGTTGAAGCAAGATAACGAAATAATTAACCTTCTAAGTGGATACGAAAAGAACGGGTTGAAGGATTTACTAAATTCAGTCCCTGGTTATGAACAAACTCAAGAAGCTTTAGCATCAAAGAGCAACGAATTAGATTCCCGGGTCATCAGAATCCAGTCTTTAGTTTCAGGATATTCAAACTGGAAGGATAATTTAATGCAAGAAATCAAACAATTTAAAAAACAAAGTGTCTCTAGTCTTGACAATTCTAATCTTAACAAACAACTAAATGAAATGACAAAAGAAATTGATGATCTAAAGACAGTATTAATGAAAGGTAACACTACTGGAAAAACCACGAAGAAAGAAGTTATCGGCTTAGGAATTGCATCTCCGATTACCAATTCACCAAAGATTGGATTTAATGAATTACATGACTTAAGTACAATGTTGAATGACATGAATATCATTAATCAAGAGATCGGAATTATTCTTCGTAATATAGGTGAACTTGTGCGCGAAGATGAACAAATTTCAAAGTCACATATCTTGGCAAATATCACCAATTCCGTTCTGGAATCCTATTTCAAAATAGGAAAATACAACGATGCTATTTCCTTTGTTAAAGAGAATGTAAGTTCAATATTTGAAGTTTTCTCAACATTTAGAAGGGATGATTTGGTATCGCATGGAATGTTTTGGGTCTCTAATATCTATCACATTTACTTAAATCTGACATCCATTAGACAAAATGAAAATGGTAACCGAGCACTGGCAATTCACAAGATAGAAACCGAGTACAAAACTCTATTATCTCATTGTTTTGACACCTGGTTGAAGAGAGTTATACAGGTGATAGGCCATCAATATATGCTATCCAGGGCTTTACTTGGTTCTCCATCAGCAACTGTAAACCACGATGAACGCAACGATGGAAACGAAAACCTAACGAAGATAATTGAATATTTTGAATACGTCTACCGAAAGGTCAATTCTAGCGGTATTCCTCAAGAAGTGGCTGATATAATAATTTCTAATATTTTATCATGTATCGATTCCACTTGTTGCAATTATCTTTTGAACAAATTTCATAACCTTTCTTGGAAAACTGGTGTAAGAATTGACCAAAATATAGGTGCAATTATCGAGTGGGACGAATCTCATAGAAATTCTAGTATTGTTGGATGTGGACAACTACCGCTATTAAAACAAATCTCCAAACTATTGCAACTTAGAATTTCTAATGTGTATGACATTAACTTTGTTATTGAAGTCTGCTATTCATTAAATGTTACCCAAATTCATACTATCTTAAAGAAATACAAACCAACAGAGTACGAACCACCCATGTCTTCTGACGTTTTGAATTATCTTTCTAACACCATTAAGAAAAATGGAAGGGCTAAGGAAACAATAACCTTTTCTGAAGATACAAAGGCATTGCCGGACCCCTTTTGCGCATCTAATGGATTATCCCTTACAAGCACACCCCGGGCTGCGCACACCCTTTTTGAAGTTACAGACTTAGCTGATGCAACTCCAATTGTCCATAAGATTATTACCATGGCACAGTGATTTCACTACCAGCATTTAACTAAAGGCAACGCCTGTTGACTCATTTATGGATACGATATAACGGATCCATTTTAATCATTTTTATTTATAGATACATAACGATTATATAGCATAGGAATCACACAGATACACATTCAATCTTTATTGATGCCTCGAACCCAATTAGAAAATATCAAACTATCTATCAAGTACCCACAAGAAAGTGTTGTAGCTTCCCTAAAGTAGTTTATATCGATCTTTTTCTCTTAAGTAAGATTTCAAATATTCTTCCTTTTTTACCTTTCTGAAAAGTGTTAGTTGTGCGAGATTCGTTTGCCTTGGATTTTTGTCGGCTTCCCTTGCATAAACGCGATACTTCTTAAATGTGGCTACCACGATCAACAACGAACTGCAAGATTAGGAGAGATATTTGCTATCCTTATTGATCATACAAACTATCCTCAATCGAACAAACCAAGTAATTAAACGCTTTAGAGCCTGCTATATCGAGGAAAGTTAGCTGGAAGTAGTCTTTTATCATATTGTCCGTTCGTATATTGACCATAAAATTTTTTGTTGAGTTTTTCAATCATCAGATTTTAGGAGGAGCAGCATACCCATAATTTATATAGAAACGATCATTACCACAACACAACTACACAAAAACAATAGTCTACAGGTAACTGCGATTTAAACTGTGTTTACTTTCAAATTAACAATTTTTTTTAGAAGAAATTACTAACTCTTAAATTAGTAGTTTACCCTATTTTTCAGTTCCCAAACTTAATTGCAACCTACCATCAACATCTCCTCTAAATGCATACCAAAGCTGCCGTTTTAGCTACTACAGGTAGTCGAAAGATACCTATGTCAATGGACACCTATGACGTTAAGATAATTCAATATAAAGCAGCATTATTCAAGTTACAAGAGTTACAACGATTGCTTGGCATTTTAGAGAAAAATCTTAAAAATGACGAAAGAAATAAAATAATTCCACTGGTGAATTATGTCTTAATAATATGCGAGGGACCTACTTTTAATGTATCACCAATAATACGAAAACGATACAGATTATTATGTGAGAATAAACTTTGCAAAATCAATGATATAAATCCACAATTATCAACCCAATTAACTGACCTTCGTTATTCTTTATCTGAAGTAATAGGGGCCGATGATTACGAAAGCTTACGTGAAAGCGTATACAGTACTGAAAAACAATGGGCATTACTTGATTGCTTGAAAAGAATATCAAATAATTCAATCATCATATATAATAAGAAACTAAGACAGTTACTTCTCGAAAGAAATAGCACAATAAATAGACCTTACGAACTGTCTGAGTTTAAGGAAAAACAATTTAACAATGGTACATTTGATTTTACTTCTGTTGAAGATATAATAAAACCAAACGAGTTAGCATTATCTTTAGATTTAGCAGTACTAATAAACGATAGAGAAAGGGATACATCTCAAAAATCTTTTTTGAAGTTACAATATCAGGTACTGACCAAATTCAATACACATATGAATAAGAAAGTATTCCCTCCCTTACGATCGTTCTACAACAAATTACAGAAGTATAACAATCTAATATCGAAGAATGACGCGGACAACAACCAAAATGAGGCAACGGAAACATTATCACATTTTAGATTCTGCTTGCACAGAATATATGCACTTATGCTTAGAAGTTATTCAATATCATGTATCATCAGGTCTATGTCGAGAGAGATATATTTAGCCAACAGATCGTACTTCACCGCTCCAATAACAAAGTTGTTAACAGGAAACTTGTTTGAATTCGAGGAATTATTGGATAACCTTGACACATTGTATACCAGTAAGGAAAACCAGAAGTTTGATAATTTGGTGTCAATTCTTGAAGAATTATCAAACAAAGGCATAAAATATGAAAGGACAAATTCAACAGATACGATAACAGCGTTATGTCATGAGAGTATTAATAGTTCGATACACTTTATACGGTCACAATTATCAACAATTATCAAGCTACAAGAGCATTGGAAAATAATAACTGATAACTCACATTTAAAACATAGTTTCGATGGAATGGAGGTTGATCAAATTGAAAAGTTGTTGAATGAGAAAAGATCAGTTGATCAATTAGCTTATTTAGAGAGAATAAAGACAATACAAAAAGCTAAGAACAGTAAAGAGATAACTTCATCAATGTCATCTAGTACAACTTCCTCAAAAACACCATCAGCTACTGTGACACCATTATTAAGCTCTTTAAACATAAGCAATGACGATATAACGCCTATTGATTTGAAAAAGAAGGTATACAAATCCAAAAGTTCATCGGGTTCGAATACAGGGTCTCAACTGAGTATCAATGGAACAAAATCCCCAATATCTTTGAGTCGGAGAGCCTCCATGGATAAGGGATCAAGAACATATACTTTAGCAATGTCTCCTTTGAGTAAAACAAGTAGTCCTCGACATACTAATGAAATTTCAACTGGTCCACAGGGAATTAATTCACCTCAAATATCTAGAAGGTCCTCTGTAATAGCAGTTGCAAGAAATCCTCAATATTTTGTCGACAAAGATGGATATCTTTCTCCATCAAAACTGGAAGGTTCTACTAATGGTAAGCCAACAAGAAAAACTACGGTCCGAGGAAGACCTAGATCTACCTCATTACAATCCTCATTTTCGAAGGGTAAAGGTAGAGTGAATCCTATGAGTACTCTAGATCGACAACCTCTTAATAGTATACGTTCCAATTCACTAGAAGCATCGGGTGCACTTAATAGAATGATAATCCAAGATGCTGCCAAGAAATCGATGAAGAGAGATGGAAATACCCAGGTAACCAAGAGTATCAAATCCCCACCTCTTGTAAGACAAAACCGCAGCAGAAGTGGAAGTGCTTCAAAACATATAATGAACGGAGTAAACCCAGAAAAGCTCCTAAACACACCTTCAAAATCAAATCTAGGAGTTCCTATGACATCTCCTTTAACTAAAAAGAGATCCAATCTGTCGCAAGAAGTTACACCTGAGATTCATGCTGAAAATGATACGATCTCTGCTGTGAGAGATAAACCTGAAGCATTACAATTTTCCGATATTGGAGATACTGGAAATGACACAACAACTAATGTTGAGGACGTAGAATTAATAAAGAAAGTAAGATTTGTAGGGGTTCCTCCAATGTCTCCAGCCGAGGATCCCAAACCCAAAAGGAAAGGTTGGTACAAAAAGCCTGCCCAGTTACACTATCCTCCTGCACCTCCTCAAATTAGATTACTAAGAAATAGACTTACTCAGGAAGGTGTTGCCTTTAGAACAAGTCTAAGAGAAAACTACCAGGAAAATACTACAGAGAACTTTGATAATGCAACATCTGAGAGTCAAAGTTCTAATAGAAGATCTACGATGTTTTTCAATGCAGATGGTGAGTTGAATAATCCATTTAAAGAGACTATCAGTCGCAAATTTGCTTCAAAAATACGTAACTCACTCAGATCATGATAAATAAAACAATATATAAAGGGGAATCCTTTTCAATTCCTTTTAACCTAATTCTCAATACATAAATATTCCAAATATACCAATATCTCTTTTTTCTTCTCTATGTTTCTTCTCCGTTAATCTTGTATTATTGTTACCAATATATAAATCGTTCTGCGATTTTTCCGAGTAGGAAACAAAATGAAAAATTATATATATCAACATATAGAAGTAAAACCTCATCACTGCTAAAACAAAAAACACAAAAAAGATAAAAAAAATATTAAATATAAATATAGATAGGTACCAGTTGGAATCCAAAAATCCAGAGAGAAGTAAACGCCACATACTTTAACACTTTGTCAGTGATTCTTAATTTTTATCAAATTTAAACTATCTCCAACTTCAAAGAATGTCCTTCAGTTCATTACTTCCAGCACCTCTCCATTCAGGGACTCGAAGCTCACAAAATCAAAGGAATAGACATAAAGAAGAATCAAAAGTAAATGCATTATTAAAAGATGAGGACAATAATATAAATGACGATGAGCCTAATGAGATAGATGTTATTCATCGTCAAATAGCTTCCAATGTGAAATTTGAAGATTTTATACCCTTAAGGCAACGTAATTTTGCTATGGAAATTCCATTACCTACTGAAGATGCAATTAGACAAACAAAAGAGAAAACTCTTGCATTTCTCAATCGATTACAACGGGACGATTCCAAATCGAGTGGGAACATAATTGGGAAGAAAACGGATGCTACTATAATGAAAATTGGTAACCGTTCAGTGAAAGTTGTTACTCCGGTACAGGATCCTTTGCAACCTTCTCGTTTCAAGAGGACAGGCAAGATATATACACCTAATGTCAATCAAGACAAAGGCCCAACTACGATTTTACATGATCTTTCATCAACTACAAATCCAGGTAAAGCTATAAGTGCAGAAGAACGTTCTAAATGGAAGATTCCAACTTTTGTATCTCAATGGAAAAATCCTAATGGATATACAGTCGATAGAGTTACAGGTAATGGTGAAGGAAGTGGAATTAAAGATATAAATTCTGGATTTAGTGAATTATCCGAAGCATTAGAAGATGCTGATCGAAAAGCCAAACAACATTTACAAGAGAAGAATGAAGCTAAACGTATTGCATATGAGAATGAAGTTGCTGAAAAGGAGGCAAGATTAAAAGAATTAGCCAATAGAAGACGTTATAATGGTAGTCATAATAATGAACCGTTACGAATTGAAAAACCTACTACTCCATCTCATGTAAATAATAAGAAGAGTAATGATAATAAGTCTAATGGTATACTTATTCAAAAGCTTCGTAATATTGCTAAACAAGAAGGAAGAGATATTAGTGAAAAGATTATTCTTGGAACTGCTAAAGCTACTGCTGTTCCTGAAATGAATTATGATTCACGTTTATATATGAAAGGTGCACAATCTAGTGCGAGACGTCATGGGGAGCAACTTTATGATAATCCGTTATTTGCTCAACAAGATATTGAATCAATTTATAGAACAAATTATAATAAATTAGATGATCAAATAGAAACAGAGTCAGGTGAAGGTGATATTATGAATAAAGTCAACAAAGAAACTGGTAATATGAATCGGGGACCCATTGAATTTACAAAAGCAATTGCTAAAGAAGATGAAAAAAATAAAACTAATAAACCTGGTTTACAAAAGTAAATAATTATATATATATTCAATTATTCAATTATTCAATTATTCAATATTATCATTATCTTCATTAACATTTTGAAAATCGTTTGAAAGAAAAATTTTAAATTTATCATTATTAATATTATTATTTTTCTTTAATGATTCTAATAATCTATTACTTCTAATCATTGCATATTGCTCGATTTTTTTGATTGTTCCACTAATTTTAACTGGGTTAATTATGAAATTAATATCATTCTCAATATTACTTAATTTATTAATATAAAATAATGATACTAATAATAAATCAACATCTTCTCTATGACATCTTAATATACCAGTAGATGTATTATTAGAAAAATATTTTAACTGTAATAAAGAATTAACTTTCCCATAACCATAATCCCCTAGATGTAATTGCAAAGAACGTCGTATCTCTTGTAATATTAATTTTCCTGATATAATTTCAGGCGAAGATTTATGACCAATTAATATTGGATTCTCTAAGGATTCATTTGATGATAATTTATTTGAAGGATATATGACTTCAAATAAAACATATCTACTTTTCAATCTAACCATCTTACTATCGTTTCCCTTAAAATTGTTTTGTTCTGTTAGACAATTTCAATTACTAGATGACTACTAATTCTCATACATTTTCTATTGCTTAAGTTATACTAAGCAGATATATGGATGGCTTTACTGAGCTTTGTTTCGCGCTGATGTATTCCCTCTTTACTATGGGAAGAGCGAGATAGAAAAATTGAAAATTTTTCTTTGATTGTTTATGTTGCTCTCAGTGCATCGAAATTATTATTACTATTAACTACCATGCTTATAAGAACGAAGGAATCTGTCATTACAACAAAAATAAAGTTGGCCGTATATCCTAACAACGTTATACAAGAATTATTTTGACACACAGCATATGGGATTGATACTTTTCCCCTTTTTTTGCACTATAATCCATTCGATGTGTTTGACAGATTATTGAAAGATCAGTCGCATTTCGTACACAGCGACACACTCGCGAGCCCTACTCCCGTAACCCTAAAGCAGATTGCAGCGAGGCCGCGCAAAAATGGCCTGAAAGTGTGCGGTTGTGCGCCGGTTTCTGGGGGCAGTTTCTTTTTTCTTTCTTTCTCGGCTCGAACGGCCAAGAGCCCATGACCCAAAAGAGGATTGCTGCGGCATTTTCTGGGGCTCGGAGCATTGGAAGAGGCTGTGCAATATTTTTGGAAGCATTTCCATTTTCTTCTTCACACAGAAACGCCCGCAGCAGAACACGATTTCCGAAAGCATTCCCGATTTTTTTAAGGGGTAAAAGAATGAGGAGACCTGCTGTGCGTGCAGGGGTTTCTGCGTGCGATGATCAACACACACACGCGATTCGTATTTTTCCGCTGTTTCCCGCTCGCAGTTTCTTTTTTGTTTCCCTCATTAGCAAGGACCCTGAATGTATTTTTAAAACGAAAAAACAATTTTTCAGTTCGATTCGATTGAAAGAGAGAGAGAAATGTCGTTTGTTCTCATTGTTGCTTCATTGGACAATGGGCCAGAAAGGTGAGGGGGGAGGGAGTGAGAGAGAGACAGGTGAGAGAGGCGAAGGTTAGAAGTCCGTTATATTAAAAATGTGTAAAGTGGAATTATTAGTAATACGAAAGAAAATCTATCAATTGAGTTCTTTTTTATTCTTATTTTCTTTAATTATTTTTAAAGAACACACTTCATTTATAAAGAAGGCAGATAAATTCAATTAGGTTTGAATCCCTTTCCATATTTTTAGATGCAATTTATTTTTTTTCTTGAATTTCAATTGATGTCTTTATAGTTATCAATTATTAACAATAAAAAAAAAAGAATACTCACACATAAATATATATATAACAAATTTAACAAATTTAACAAATTTAACAAATTTAAGATATGACTAATCAAAATTTTTATAAAAATCAAATTAGTGCAAGAAGCTCACCAAGTGTATACGAAATTGATTTCCCAGGGTTTGTTCCAATTTCTAAAAAAAATTATGGTAGTGATTCAGATACAAGTAATTTAACAAGTACAGGAATGACATTCCCATCACCACCTTTATCACCAAAATTAAATAATCTGGATAGTGAAAGGGATGAAAGAAAACTTTCACTTAATTTAAATTCAAGTAGAAAAAATTCAAATAGAATTAAAAAAGATTTATTAGTTAAACCTGTTTGGGAAAATAATACAACAACAAAACAATATATTCATTCAACAAGAAAATTTTTACAAGAATATAAATTTTCTAATAATTATAGAAATAATATTTTAGAATCAAATAAATTTGAAACAATACCACCTCAATATATGTTAAAGACAAGAAAAAATAAAATGTTATCACCTAGTGGTACGGAAGGTATCATTCCTTTAAGAGTAATGGCATTACAACAACAACATCATCATCATACAAATAAAAATAGATCGACTAAAAGAATACGTTCTTCTACAGGTTATAGTCATGCTAATACTCAAAGACCAATTGCAAGTGCAATCAATCATGCTCAACATTTAGCTTCTTCAATTGCGGTAACAGAGGTACCACAATATGTTCCAAATATGTCATGGAGTAAATTAAAAGACTATTCTCCTTCTTTAACTTCTATTCCAAAGGATAATTTAAAAGCTTTAAAAATTGAATGGAAAGGTTCACCAATGGATTTATCAAGAGATCCATTAAAAGATCATTTACATCCAGCTGAATTAGTACTTGCTCAAATATTAAGATTACCATGTGATTTATATTTAGATTCAAAGAGAAGATTATTTTTAGAAAAAGTGTACAGGTTAAAGAAAGGTATGCCATTTAGAAGAACTGATGCTCAAAAAGCTTGTAGAATTGATGTAAACAAGGCTTCAAGATTATTTGCGGCTTTTGAAAAAGTAGGTTGGTTAAGAGATTCAAATTTTACAAAATATCTATAAATCAGAAAAAACACATAACATAAAATGACATTTTTATAATTTCTTTCATAATATATTCATTAAACACACACACACACACACACACACACACACACACATATATATTCATTATATATTATTATTATTATTATTATTATTATTATTATTATTATTATTATTAATTTTTTAATGGTTACAATTCGTTAAATAAACTTAAATCTGGATCTTCAATTTGAATGTTATTAATATTATTATTTGTAAAAATTTGACGGTCATTAGTTTTGGACACATTTGAACGTGACTCCAGAACACTATTTGCGACAGTTTCAATATATTGTGCTCGTGACAATAAAGTCTTATGATTTTTATCACCAATTGAATTGGAATTTTTACTTTTATTATCATCGAGTACCGATTGAACCAATTGGGTTGAACAATTATCTTCACTTTCAGTATATAATTGTTTCAATTGTGATATTAAAAATCCCATTGAATCATCAATAGGTCGTAATGACTGAAACATGTCTTTGAATGGAACATTATTATTAATACCTTCATCGTTATTATTAATTAATTCATTTAATGATTTTTCAATGAACAATTTAAATTTTTTAACTTCTGTTTGTAATCGTTTCACTTGTTTAATTCGATCTCGTAATAATTGATTTCTTAACAATTTCGTTTCAAATTCTATCATTTTCTCTTTGAATAACTCCGGATCATTAGAAATATCTTTATCATGAGACAACCAATCAATATCCAACCCACTTTGATGTTTTAATAAAAATACATTAGATTCTAATAATTCCTGTGGAATCATCAATACATTTCTTAATACATATAATTCAAGTTTATCAAAATTTTTATCAACAGTATGTTCTAGTAAAGTCTCCAATTTAGCAATACCTACTCGTATCTCCTCAGAATAATCTATACCTTCAATATTACTTTTCCTTAATAAATATTTCTCCATTGCTGCCGTGCATTTGTACATAATATCATTCACATTATTTATTATTTCATCTAACAACGATATCGGAGGATACTCTAGATGCTCCGTTAATATTGCCGTGGATTGTAAATTGGGAGCAGGCATCGTTTTTAAACTTTTTATAATATCCTGGATCAACAGTATTACCTTGGGCCCTTGTTGTCTTTTCCCCAAAATCAAAGTCTGCCCATGCAAATTCATTTCTTATATAATATGTAAACAAAACCTTTAATTATCTCTCTTTTTCTTCATGTAAACAAATTATTCGCGATGACTATTACCCGAATATTCATATTCGTACATCACGATCTGAAAAAATTTTTTTCTGAAAAAAAAAAATTTTGTGCGATGAGCAAAATTAGCGCTAAGATTTTGATAATATTATCTAATGACGAGAAAGTGATGAGATGGGATTTTTTATTTAACTTACAACAACAACTATTCCATATTCTATACGTGTGTGTTTTTCGATTAAATTCCTATTTAAAGGCTAAAATCAGCAAGACAATTTGATTAGTTTTCATAGTGCCTTTATATCTCCATTGAACCAAATAAGAAAGGATCTCATCCAACGTTCCTTGTTCTCTTTTTGAATTTTGCTGATCTCATCAATTTTATTTTGCAAAGATAAAAAAAACATTATTCCCTTCCATTTATCCCAAAATACAATTATAGGTTTAAAAAAAGAAATATCTTTTGGTTATCACTATTTGAAATTTTTAGGAGCACTAAGAAACTGATATATCGAGACATTGCAACAAATTATCGGTCATGGATATTAGTAAACCTGTTGGTTCAGAAATTACTTCCGTGGATTTCAGTGTCTTATCCGCTAAGGATATTAGATCACTTTCTGCTAAACAGATTACAAACCCAACAGTCTTAGACAATTTAGGTCATCCAATATCTGGTGGTCTTTATGATTTATCTCTCGGTGCGTTTTTAAGAAATTTATGTACTACTTGTGGTTTAGATGAAAAATTTTGCCCTGGTCATTTAGGTCATATTGAATTACCTGTTCCATGTTACAGTCCACTTTTCTTTAACCAATTGTACATTTATTTGAGAAGTTCATGTCTTTACTGTCATCATTTCCGTTTAAAGTCCGTAGAGATTCATAAGTATGCTATGAAATTGAAATTATTACAATATGGTCTTATTGATGAATCTTATCAATTAGATGAAATTACTATTGGTGATTTACAAGATTTCATTGAAGATGTCGATGAGGCTGAAGAAGATAACACTTTAGAAGATGATGATAATGAACCAAAGAAGAAATTTTCTTCTAAGATTGACCCAGCTAAATTAGTAAGAGAATTGAAGAACAAACGTACTGAATTTGTTAACATTTGTATTGCTAAAGCTATCTCATGTGGTAAGACCACCGAGAGAGGTACTTTCACTGCTACTGTTAGTGATGAAAGAAAGAAATTGATCCACGATTTTCACAAGAGATTATTATCTAGACCAAAGTGTGACAATTGTGGTATGTTCTCACCAAAATTTAGAAAGGATGGTTTTACCAAGATTTTCGAAAATGCTTTAACTGATAAACAATTGACTAATAACAGAGTTAAAGGTTTCATTCGTCAAGATATGATTAAGAAACAGCAACAAGCAAAGAAGTTGAACGGCGAAGATACTTCTAATGACGAACCAGATTTTGATATTGGAAGAAATCCAGACTCAAGACCAAAGACTGGTTCTACATATATCTTATCTACTGAAATTAGAAACATTTTAAATTCCGTATTCAGAAAAGAACAACAAGTTCTTCAATATGTTTTTCATGCCAAACCAAATCTGTCTAAAAAATATGTTTCCGCCAACTTATTTTTCATGGATGTTGTGGTTGTTCCACCAACTAGATTCCGTTTACCATCTAAACTAGGTGAAGAAATTCACGAAAACAGTCAAAATCAACTTCTGTCTAAGATCTTAACAACCTCTTTATTAATTAGAGACTTGAATGATGAAATGTCCAAGTTAGAAAAGGATAAGGTTTCTTTAGAAGATAGAAGAATCATTTTCAGTAGATTAATGAATGCTTTTGTTACCATTCAAAATGACGTTAACGGATTTATCGATTCTACTAAGGTCCAAGGTAACAATGGTGGTAAACTTCCAGTACCAGGTGTTAAACAAGCCTTAGAAAAGAAAGAAGGTTTATTCAGAAAACATATGATGGGTAAGCGTGTTAACTATGCTGCTCGTTCTGTTATTTCCCCAGATCCAAATATCGAAACTGATGAAATTGGTGTCCCACCAGTTTTTGCTACTAAATTAACATACCCAGAACCTGTTACTTCATACAATATTGCAGAATTACGTCAAGCTGTCATCAATGGTCCAGATAAGTGGCCAGGTGCATTACAAATCCAAAATGAGGATGGCTCCTTAGTCTCTTTGATTGGTATGTCTTCAGAACAAAGAAAAGCTTTAGCAAACCAGTTAATGACTCCATCCTCCCAAAATGCTGCCACTCATACTATTAATAAGAAGGTTTACCGTCATATTAAGAACAGAGATATTGTTATCATGAACCGTCAACCAACTTTACATAAGGCTTCTATGATGGGTCATAAAGTTAGAGTGCTACCTGGTGAAAAGACTCTTCGTATGCATTACGCTAATACTGGTGCTTATAACGCTGATTTTGACGGTGATGAAATGAATATGCATTTCCCACAAAATGAAAACGCTAGAGCAGAAGCCTTTAACTTAGCTAACACCGATTCTCAATATTTGACACCTACATCTGGTTCTCCAGTTAGAGGTTTGATTCAAGATCATATTTCTGCCGGTGTTTGGTTAACCAATAAGGACAGTTTTTTCACAAGAGAAGAATATCAGCAATATGTATACGGTTGTATTCGTCCAGAAGATGGTCACTCCACAAGACCAAAGATCATCTCTGTGCCTCCAGCTATCATGAAACCAGTTCCACTTTGGACTGGTAAACAAATCATTACTACTGTTCTATTAAACGTAACTCCAGCCGATATGCCAGGTATTAATTTGACATCTTCCAATAAAATCAAAAACGAATACTGGAGTAAACATTCCGAAGAAAACACTGTTTTATTCAAGGATGGTGCACTTCTATGTGGTATTCTAGATAAATCTCAATATGGTTCCACTAAGTACGGTATTGTCCATTCTTTACATGAAGTTTACGGTCCATCTGTTGCTGCCAAGACACTTTCTGTTCTAGGTAGACTATTCACCAATTATATCACAGCAACAGCGTTCACTTGTGGTATGGATGATTTACGTTTAACTGATGAAGGGAACAAATGGAGATCTGATATTTTGAAAACATCTGTTGACACGGGTCGTGAAGCTGCTGCTGAAGTAACCAATTTACCAGCAGATACTGCTGCCAACGATCCAGAACTATTGAAACGTTTAGAAGAAATTCTTCGTGATGATAATAAATCTGGTATTCTAGATGCTGTTACCTCTTCCAAGGTTAATGCTATTGCTTCTAAGGTTGTTGCTAAATGTGTTCCAGGTGGTACTATGAAGAAGTTCCCAGAAAATTCCATGCAATCTATGGCTCTATCTGGTGCTAAAGGTTCTAATGTCAACGTTTCTCAAATTATGTGTTTGTTAGGTCAACAAGCTTTAGAAGGTAGAAGAGTTCCTGTTATGGTCAGTGGTAAAACATTACCATCTTTCAAGCCTTATGAAACCGATGCCAGAGCTGGTGGTTATGTTAAGGGCCGTTTCTACTCAGGTATTAGACCTCAAGAATATTATTTCCATTGTATGGCTGGTCGTGAAGGTTTGATTGATACCGCTGTTAAAACATCTAGATCTGGTTACTTACAACGTTGTTTAACCAAGCAATTGGAAGGTGTTCACGTTTCTTATGATAACAGTGTTAGAGATGCCGATGGCACCTTGATTCAATTCTTATATGGTGGTGATGCCGTTGATGTAACAAAGGAATCTCACATGACAAAGTTCAATTTCTGTGTTGATAACTATGATGCTTTCTTGAAGAAATATGATCCAGCTGCATTAGTTGAACATCTAGATGTTGAAAGTGCTTTGAAGTACTCCAAGAAGACTCTGAAGAACAGAAGAAAACATGAAAAAGAACCACATTATGAACAATCTACTAAATATGACCCAGTATTGGCAAAATACAATCCTGCCAAATACCTTGGTTCTGTATCTGAAAACTTCCAGGATAAATTAGAAGGTTTCTTAGATGACAACTCTAAATTATTCAAGTCTAAAGATAACATTAGTGAGAAGAAGTTCAGGGCTTTAATGCAATTAAAATATATGCGTTCTCTGATTAATCCAGGTGAAGCTGTTGGTATCATTGCTTCTCAATCTGTCGGTGAACCATCTACTCAAATGACATTGAACACTTTCCATTTTGCTGGTCATGGTGCTGCCAACGTTACCTTAGGTATTCCACGTATGAGAGAAATTATTATGACCGCTTCTTCTGCTATTAAAACTCCACAAATGACTCTACCAATCCTAAAGGATGTTTCTGATGAAAATGCAGATACTTTCTGTAAGTCTATTTCCAAGGTTGTTCTATCAGAAGTTATTGATAAGGTCACTGTCACTGAAACTAGTGGTTCAACTGCTAATAATACAAACGCTCGTGCCTATGCTATCAATATGAAATTCTTTGACTTTGCTGAATATAGTGAAGAATACGATATCTCTAAGGAAGAATTACAGGATGTTGTTTCCGAAACTTTCTTACATGCGCTAGAAACCGCTATTATTAAGGAAATCAGAAAACAAAAGAAGACTGCTCTACCCGATGTTGGTGTTGCTGTACCAAAGGTTCAAGAATATTCAGAGTCATCCAAGAAACTCGAAGAAGATAATGACGAACAGGAAGCTCATAAGAAGACGAAACAAGCTGTTTCTTATGATGACCCAGATGAAGATGAAATTGAAACTATGAGACAAGCTGAAAAGTCTTCTGATGAGGAAGACTTGGACTCTGATATGGATTCTAGCAGTAGTGATTCCGAATCTGATGATGAGGATAATGAAGATATTGAAGGTGTATTATCTAGAGCTATTGATGAAGCCAATAAGAATATGAGTAAGACTCAACGTGATAGACAATCTGCTATTGTTTCTAATCACAGATTTATTACCAAATACAACTTTGATGATACTGAAGGTAAGTGGTGTGAGTTCAGATTAGAACTAGCCGCTGATACCGAAAAGTTGCTGATGGTTAACATTGTAGAAAATATCTGTAGAAAGAGTGTTATCAGACAAGTTGCCCATATTGACCGTTGTGTTCATCCTGAACCAGAAAATGGTAAGCGTGTTTTGGTTACTGAAGGTGTTAACTTCACATCAATGTGGGAGCAAGAAGACTTCATTGATGTAGACGGTATTAGATCAAATGATATTGCTTCTGTCTTAAAGACGTACGGTGTTGAAGCTGCTAGAAATACAATTGTTTACGAAATCAATAACGTTTTCTCTCGTTATGCTATTTCTGTCTCCTTCCGTCATTTGGATTTAATCGCGGATATGATGACAAGACAAGGTTCATACCTGGCCTTTAACAGACAAGGGATGGAAACTTCCACCTCCTCCTTGATGAAGATGTCATACGAAACCACCTGTCAATTTTTGACCAAGGCAGTCTTGGATAACGAACGTGAAGAACTACAATCTCCATCTGCAAGAATTGTTTTAGGTAAACTAAATGGAGGTGGTACTGGTTCATTTGATGTTCTAGCCAAGGTTCCAGCAAGAGCCTAATCTAAGTGTTGTTAAATTAAACTTTCAACATTGAGGATACAAATATAATATAAGTTAAATTGAATCGTCATCAATAACATCACCACAACAGCAGCCCTAGAAAGGGAAATAGGCTTGCTGTATGTCATACCATAATTGAGCTGTCAACAACTTATTATATAAGCATGTACATTAGAATATAGAATAGGTAACATTACAAAATGTGTATTTATAAAAGATTAAGAAGAATATAACATATCTTAGGGTATACATCTCGTATTAAAGCTATTATGAGCAGAGCTGTAACTTTTTAAGAGAGCCTCTGAAAATCACTTTAAACGTTAGGTAACTCGCCTTGCTTGTTGTCGCTGAAAAAAAATTAAAACGAAACAAAAAAACATAGACTACTTGTCGATGACCTTCGTTGTGAATTTTGCCGAAGTTTGAACAATATGATGCAATTTTAGTTAATAACGATAGAGAGATATAAGAAGAAAGGTGACGAAAAGGCCCATTTTAAGTTAGTTAAAACTGATAATATTATCTAAATAAAATCAACTAAGAAACTCAGCAAATATGTCTACTACAGTTGAAAAGATTAAGACCATCGAGGAGGAGATGGCCCGTACGCAAAAGAATAAGGCTACCTCTTTTCATTTGGGTCAGCTAAAGGCCAAGCTTGCCAAGCTAAGAAGAGAACTTCTGACAAGTGCTTCCTCAGGTAGTGGTGGTGGTGCTGGTGTAGGTTTTGATGTTGCAAGAACAGGTGTTGCAAGTGTGGGTTTTGTTGGGTTCCCATCAGTGGGTAAATCTACACTTTTGTCAAAACTAACAGGTACTGAATCAGAAGTTGCGGCATACGAGTTCACAACTTTAGTCACTGTTCCTGGTGTTATTCGTTATAAGGGTGCCAAAATCCAAATGTTAGATTTGCCGGGTATTATTGACGGTGCCAAAGATGGTAGAGGTCGTGGTAAGCAAGTTATTGCTGTTGCAAGAACATGTAATTTACTTTTTATTGTATTAGATGTTAACAAACCGCTTAACCACAAACAGATTATTGAGAAGGAACTAGAAGGTGTTGGTATAAGATTAAACAAAACACCACCGGATATTATTATTAAAAAGAAAGAGAGAGGTGGTATTTCAATCACTAATACAGTTCCATTAACACATTTAGATCACGACGAGATTAGGGCTGTTATGAGTGAATATAGAATTAACAGTGCCGAAATCGCTATCAGATGTGATGCTACAGTTGATGATTTAATTGATGTTTTAGAAGCACCTTCCAGAAGATACATGCCCGCTATTTACGTGCTAAATAAGATCGACTCTTTATCTCTAGAAGAACTAGAATTATTATACAGAATCCCAAATGCTGTTCCGATATCGTCTGAAAGAGAGTGGAATCTAGACGAGTTATTACAAGTTATGTGGGATAGATTGAACTTGGTTCGTGTCTACACTAAACCTAAAGGTAGAATACCTGATTTCACAGATCCAGTTGTTTTAAGATCAGATCGTTGTAGTGTTAAGGATTTCTGTAACCAAATTCACAAATCGCTTGTTGATGAGTTTAGAAATGCACTTGTTTATGGTAGTAGTGTCAAGCATCAGCCACAATATGTGGGTCTGTCTCATACTCTAGAAGACGAGGATGTTGTTACAATTTTAAAGAAGTAATGCAGAGTTCAATTGTTGCTCGTCGCATTTTTGCATATTTGGTGTATATTATTGTGTTTAATACTGTTGGAGTCCAAGAAAAAGGAAGATAAGTGTACTTTTCTATAGTTTCTTTGTAAATTGCATTTATATATATATTTTTTTATATTTTACAAGAGAAATAAAAGCCACGTTTCATATTGTTTGTAACATTTTCAGGTAGCCAATCATTTAAGAAACTGTAGCAAACATTGAATCCTCTATAAGAACTTTTATTATGATGTTGCAAGCAAGGTTAAACAAATGGGCTATATTAAATTGACTCAATTGAATATTACAAAAATAAAGCATTCGTATTAGATATATTGACTCCAGGATACTAAACATATTCATTGAAATACACACAAACATCGGATCTAGTAAAATATTGTACCTAACCGCAGCATAGCATTCACAATACGGAATAAACTAAACTTCAATGATTGCCTAGCAAAGTGGGAATAAGACCATGCCATGTTCGTTCCTAGTTGTTTAGAGCAGTGATAAAATATAATATTTCACAGGTATCCACACCATGGACATAATGTATATACAATATTATGATAAAAAATGTCCCTTTGCTAAATACAAAACATTTCTCCAATATCGAGCACCTGCACTTTAGGAACAGGACGTAAAATACATTCAATGAGAATATAAATATCTAATTGTATAATTCGAACTTAAATATATCAACTATTTTCTAAAATACACTATTAATCATCATCTTAACGTTAAATTGATTTTGAAACTTGTAATATGCGTCACCAGTTAAAATATGTTTTAATTCACAACCCCAAAGTAACTACTAATACATGACAAAGCAAACGATATAGATACTTCTATGTCAGATTCTTCACAAATGATTACACATAACTATTTATTTAAAATTACTAGAAATTTGATATGTAATATGAGATATGCATATAATTATATATAATTTAATTTCAAGACGACTACATATTTTTAATATTATATTATACAATTCCCTGGTTACCTCTGTACCTTGCTCCTAATAAATTTAACTAAACTTGAATATCAAATATTGTTCCTGTCGATAATACTGATTGTTTAAATATAATTGATAAGATTACCCGGACATTATACTTGGGTTAAATTGAAACCAAAGTAGTTTTCTCGCAGAAAATGCTTTTGTAGCTCAGTCGGAAGAGCGTCAGTCTCATAATCTGAAGGTCGAGAGTTCGAACCTCCCCAAGAGCATTATTTTTTGCAAGTAAAATTGTGCTTTTTGACATTTGCCATTCGATTTAACTGTGAAATTCGAATGGCATAAGGACCAAATGGCATTTCTTTTTGGTTCCTAATCTGAAAGTTTTGTTTATGTATATTCATATTTTGTATGGGTACAAACTGAGAAACATCGATATTGTTTAATTATTTCCCTTTATTTGGAAAACTTCTTTAATTGCGAGAGAAACCTTAAAGTTGAAAGTAATCAAAATATCACTTATGAAAAATAGTAATAAATTATTTTATTTGTATAATAATTTTAGTGTTCAACTCTTGGGACAAATAAATCGAAAAGGCATTTTTAATTAATAGACACCATACATATTTTTAAATAATTTGGGTGTGAGTGCCCATGGACAAGGCCTGTTTCCACAGTCAATAATTTGCACTAGCTTAGTTCAATACTTGCATGTTCAGTAATATCTTGATTATTAATTAATTGATTGAATGGTGCATTTACATACATATATATATAAGTATATATATCTTCGTCTATAATATTTATTATTAAATGTCTGGTTCGAGATAAATTAAACTTTAAAAACTTCTTTATTAATTTTGCATAACCAAAATAAATGTTTCTTAAACAAAAGTTTTAAAATACCATATACGATATCCAGTATGGTATATTTTGGTAAAGGAAAACAATTTATTAAAAAACCAGATGGTTGGTAAACTTTGGAAAGAGTGTAAACCAAGAAAAAAAAAATTGTTTTCATGAATAATCTGATTCAGCGTAGAGTGTAATATTCACGGGAATACAAAACTGTCTGAACCTCCTTCAATATAGTTTAAAGTGGTATGGAATATAATTTAAGCGTTAAAACAGTTTGAACTATCTAATTGTGTCGCCAAAGTAGCTTTCAACTTACCATTTTCCTCTCTTAGTTTTTGTATCTCATTAAGAAATAAATGTTCATTATCTTGTAAATATTGGATGTAGTCGACAGCTTTATCCAGGATTTTACTCTTGTTCACTTTAGCATTACATCTACCTCCAGCAATTGAATTGGATCTACTGCTATTCATTATATTACTGACTTCGAAAGCTGTATCGTTAGCAGCAACCCATGGAATTATTTGTTGAAGTTTAGCAATCTTTGTATTAATATTTATTCTATACCTCTTCTCAATTTTATTGTGAGCAACCTTCTGATCACTAGTTAGCTTCTTTCTATTTTTTTTAGTAGTCCCAACCTTGGCGGTCTTTGGATTTGAAGAATTTGCTGAGGATGTACTACTTGATCTATCATATATATCTTCAACCATTAAAGACTGCTCATCCTCAGTTTTAATATTCATCGAATCAACATTTTCTGTTGATATTTCTATTGGTTCTTGAACGGTAGAACCACTGTTATAATTATTAAGGTTTGTGTTTACCTTACCATTTAAATTATTACGAAAGGTTCTTTGACTTCCTATGTTATCCATATTGGTTGTATAATGTGGGGAGTCCTCGATAGATGTAGCAGACGATGAAATTATCGATTCTAATTGTGCGTACCATCCAGCTGGCTCCTCCAAAGAAGTTAGAGTTTGATTGGTTGGTGTAGCATTTAATAAGCCGTTAGACACCATGTCATTGATGATATCTGTTTGTTTCATGGTTGGTGTTTGCGCAATATTATCGGTCCATATATCAGATCCAAATGGCATCTGGTTATTATCTTGGAACCTACTATTGCCGTTGAATGTATTATTGTGTACTTCCATTGATTGTTATTGTTGTTTTAGTTGTAATATTAATAAATTATGTTTATGTTTGGGTTTCTTTTATTGTTTAATAATTAAATGATATACTAATAGAAGGTAATAAAAAGGGAATATATTTGATGAGTATAATAAGAAGGAAAAAAAAATTTTACGATTGTAGAATCAAAAAGTAAAATGGATAAATAATGGAAAGGTAGTTTTACTTATATAGGTTTCGTAAATTGAATAATTCTAAGTACATGATTAAAGTAGTTGAAACTGGAAAAGAAAAAATATATTATGAATCTTGGAAAGGTAAAAAAAACTTAGCGCATTGAGTTACGCAGCATTTACAGTTGTATAGTCGTTAGTTATGAAACTTTTTAAACTACATACACAAAATTTAAACTGCGTCTGGGTTAAACAATAGTTAAAATTGAATACATTAAAATTGTTCAGAAGAGAGTTCGTAGTAAGCTGAATATAACCGGAATAAAAAGAGAAGTCCGGAGATTTGGTTGGATTGGTATTTAATTTACTCTTCTTAATTTTTCACAGAATATATTCAGTAGAAGAGTCAATATTTTGTAAACAATTTTATTTTTTTTATGATCACTAGCTAAGAAATATTGTTGGTATTGTTATCGTTTTTCTGTTATTTCACCCCTTGTTAAAAAAAGAGTTGATAGTGATGCTATTTTAATGGCGAAATTAAAAAAAACTGGAAAGAATGAACTGCATAACTGAAAGGCAAAGTCGGTTGACGTAATAAACTTTGTGGAAAATATGATCGCACAATCGTTGCTTTTCGGTAAAAAGGAAAACAAAAATGTTGGGAACTTTTTTTACTTCTGCAGTGAAATTCCGTAGTGAGAACAAAATAGACCTTCATTTTCTGATATACTTTTTTTCAGTAACTAATTAAGTAAAATAAGTTTTTGCCTTGTCCGCCTCTTTCACTCTAAATAAAGAAGAGATGGTTTATGAAAATAATAATAATAATAATAATAACAAAAAGAAAAAGAAAAAGAAAATAGAACTAACTAAGCGGGGCCTGTGAAAAGAGGAAAGGAAGGTATAAAATTGAGAGGACTTGCGGAGTCTTGAAAATCATATTTACCAAAATGGAGAAAAGGTAAAAAAAGAGAACTTTCTTCTTAGCATAATGAAACAAGAACAAAAAAAAAAAACTGAAATTTTAAATTTTTCTTAAGAAAACCTCGCGCAGGGACAGATCCTTAACCAATTAAATCCTCCCGTAAATCTCAAAAAATATTGACAATAAAAACCCCGCATTGAATAGATTGTTGGACTGTAAAGAACAGAGATCCATATGAATACTATCTGATAATAATATTAGGTACATGTAATTTAGTGGGAGAAAAACAGGTATTTTTAAACTTTATTATATTCTGCACTTTCATGTAATTATGTAAATTTTTACAACCGATAATATGAAATGTACCTATTAAGTAATCTTGGGATGCAAGTGGGGAAGGTATAACTTTAGCATTCTCTTTTTTGTTTTTTTTGTAAAGTTGTTCTCGTGTTTAGTATTTTATTGTTTTAGTAAAATGATAGAAAACACATTCAAGTTAATACTAGCTAAAATAATAATAGATACCACGAAAAAAGCAGGAAAAAAAAATTAAATAGTAAGTTCAATACATATTTTTCAACATACCGGTACCGGAGTAACGAATTCTATTGTGTTCAGTATACGATCAACAATAGAATCAGATCAAGTTTTGCGTTCTGTTGATAACGCACATCAAGGGTAAAAAAATAACGATCTAGTACTTGTTTCTTGGGTTAATCAGTGGCATATCAGTTTGTAGTCATTGGTTGTTTAAGCTATTTAGATAAGAAAAAAAACAATAGAATCACCAAAAAGTAACTAAACGATGGTCGAAACACTAATAATATAACAGCCAGAATTAGAAAAGAATATATATATAAAAGAATAGTTAGAAAAGAAATTAAAGTATAACTGGAGTACATCCGTAAATAAACAAAATAGTACAGGAAAATTTAAAAAATTCGAATTATAGAAAACCTTAAAATTTGGGGATAGAAGGGAACAGAGTCAAAAAAAAAAAGGAAGGAATAATAAATGATATTTGGTAAATAAGTAGGCGACGTGGGAATTTAATTCTTAGGCTATTGTTAGAGAAAAGAAATGTAAGAAGATCAAATTTCGCTGGCGAAATTTTCTTATCTAATTTGCCCCTTGTTGGTTTAAAGAAAGATATTGCGCCAAGTTCCCTTACCTTCTCCATTTTTACTGAATGTTTTACATCTCTTGGTTCCTTTTCTGGAGTAGTATATTTCCGCAGCCAAAAATGAGAAGGAAAAACTGCAGCACTTAATATTTAATTTTCTGTCAGATTATTCCTGTGGCATAAGAAATATACATATATAACTTTAAAATAATAAAGTTAAAAAACTAATACGTAAATAATTTAAGGTTTCCCCGATGGAAAAATAAACTTTTTGAGAAGATTATGGAAAAAAAATTTTCTAATGGTCTTCTATTCAAAAGGGATATGCATGTGAATGATCAGTTTTACCAATTTTTGTTGACCAGCATCATGTCAATAGCTTCTGTGCATATCACAAACTCCGCGGAATTCATTTGCTGCATCACTTTAAGGAACTCTTTTTTCTGGATTCTCAAAACTGGGCTTTATACAATTTGTAATCTTCGACATGATGTTCGTCAAACATCTTTTTAAATTTTAATTTCAGCACTTTTAAATTATGTATTTAGGTCAATTTATTAATCTCACACAACAGTTAAACATTAGTAAGTATTTGATCAAAATGTTATCAACACAAATAAGAAACATAAAAATAAAAAAAGAACCATGGTGGGTTTTAATCACAGTATTTAACTATTACTTGGTTGACTAGTATTGCATAAATATTAAAAGCAAAAGAATATGGAATACAATAGAAACAAAAATGTTGGATAATAACACTGCCAAAAATATACCTCTTTAGTTCATTCTTATTCCCAAAATAGAACTAAGTGAGAGTTAAACGCAACAGCAAGTAAAAATAAAAAATTAAAACCAGTACTTCTTAACCAATTTCAAGATATTATTTAGGTAAAAGAAGTCTATCAGTTTCTACCAACATATAATTCATCATTGTTTCAGTTCTTTCTTACCTTGTCTTTAGACGGAATTATTGAAAAAGTAAGAACATAAGTACATGTTGCAAACAAACAAAGAAGTAGATTATTGTCTTATGTCTACAACTATTTGTATCTTTTCCGATAATCACGAATGGCTGGGCCAATTTGATCAAAGAAAAGACGCCCATTCAAGGAAAATTGTATAGTTTGGTCAATATTAGTGTAACCATCTAAATGAATTTAATAATAAAACAGATCGTACATTTTGTATTATTTGTTGGGTGCCCATACCAGAGCTAGATTTCTTTTTCCTGTGTTTCTTACAGTTCTATTTTCATTATCTCGCAAAAAGACAGACATGTATGCTGTGATAGACGCTGACCAATGAGTCTTAGCTTATATTACCTAAATATACACACGCTCTGAAACATTTCGTTATTGACTCAAAGATAACAAAATATTCAAACCAATGATTGAGTATACTGATAAGATAACTCAAGTAAGATTGCGGGGAAAGTATTTCCTATTTTTTTCTATCTCTAATTTTGGTACTACGGGGAAGTAACCTAAGTTGTGTGGCTGTAACTATTTTTTAAGGTTTAAAAAATCATACGCAATGGTGACATAATAGCGAATATGTTTTGCTTTTTTTTCTATGTTTCGAATTCTCTGTAATTTTCTTAAAGAAATTGAGAGAATATAATTTAGCCGAAATAAATATACAAAGGTTAAATATCACTTATATTTTTAAGCTTTTAATGTAGTTATATTATTATAAAGAATGCATAAAACGTTAATCAGACGATTGATAAGTCTTTCGAACGAGTCTAGCTAGACAAGAATATTCTCATTTGTTTTTTCTAATTAACAACATAGAAGATCAGATTTTCTTTTTTGTTGCATTTTTTTTAAAAAAATTTATATCTTGACTTAACATGTATATCATTCCCTTATTCACCAGGTGTCTCAACAAAGTCTCGCAGCCTGGCTACTGTAACGTTCATATATTATAGTATTTTTACAGCTAACTGTATTTTCCTAATCTTACAGCCGATATCCGAAAATCTGTACGTAGAATTTTTAAATTCACAATTAATTTATTTGTTTACTAAATTTATTTTTGGATTGGAAAACTTACCACTCCGTAAGATAATTCTAATCTGTATGTAGACTCTTTTTTTTTACATAATTTTAATCTTTATTTCTTATAAAGTTTTTATCATTGAGATCTCTTCAAATTAAAGAAAACATTACCCAAACTTATATTTCTAAAATACATACCTTTGTTTCAAGATAAATTCTCTCTCTTATTTATTATTAGTAATATCGTTATTATTATTTTTAAAACGTCGTTGGTAGTGAAAACTGTTTCAGAGGTTTCAAAAATTTTAAAATTTTGAGATTGGTATTAATTACTATTAACAAATAGTGTAATTACATAAGGTTACCAAAATAATTTAAAATAGATGGTACTTTAATGCAATATGGATATGCGACAGTGTGACAAATACATACATATATTGAAATAATTATTCTGATTAATGAAATATCAGGCCCTAATTATAAAAGTTAACACCATCCCTACTGCTTTAACCAGAAAATACAATTACAAAAATTGACAAAAATAATAACCAAAAAATGTCGTTAATTTCAAATATACATATATATCTATATATTTTAATCATAATTTGTGTATAATATTTAGGAACCTCTCTAATAAGGTACTCTTTAAAGTAGAAAATTTAATAAGAAAACTAGAAAAAATAACCATTTTAATTATTAATTAATAAAAACAAAGTAATTCATCAATATAAAGAAAAAAGTTAATTCAATACAATATTTTCAATAAATTTAAACAGTAGAGACTTGTAGAGTGTTAGAGTGACCGGAACCAGCCTTGAAACCTTGAACGGAGACGAAAGTGTCACCCTTCTTTAGGATGTTCAATTCTTGGGCCTTTTGGATACCGAATTGGACTCTGGCGTCAACATCTTCGGTCCAGTCGGAACCGGCAGCCTTGGTGTAGACGAATGGGAAGACACCTCTGTTTAGGTGGGCCATTCTAGCGGCTCTTTCGTTTCTGGTAACCAAGATGATTGGACATTCTGGTCTGTACTTAGATAGAAGTCTTGGGGTGGTACCAGAGGTGGATAGAACAATGATAGCTTGAGCACCTTGTTCGAAAGTAGCGGCAACAGCGGAAGCAGCAACAGTTTCAGTGGTAGAAGTTGGCTTTGGAGTGGAGTTTCTCAAGTCATCGTACAATGGTAGATGAGCAATAGCAGATTCAGCAATCAAAGCAGTGTCAGCCATGGTGGTGACAGCGTTGATTGGGTAGTTACCCTTGGCGGTTTCACCAGATAACATAACACAATCAGCACCATCTAGAATAGCGTTACCGACATCGGAAACTTCAGCTCTGGTTGGTCTTGGGTTGTAAGTCATAGATTCCAACATTTGGGTGGCACAGATAACTGGCTTACCAGCTAAGTTACACTTGGCAATCAATTTCTTTTGGACAGCTAGAACTTCTGGAGCTGGGATTTCAATACCTAAATCACCTCTGGCAACCATAACACCGTCAGTAACACTTAGAATTTCATCGAAGTTGTTAACACCTTGTTGGTTTTCAATCTTAACGATGATCTTGATGTCCTTACCATCTTCACCTAGGACTTCTCTAATAGTTAGAACATCTTGAGCGGTTCTGATGAAAGAAGCGAAGATCATGTGAGCACCGTTCTTAACACCGAATCTCAAATCTTCCTTATCCTTTTCGGATAGAGCTGGTAGATCGACATCGGTACCTGGTAAGTTAACACCCTTGTGAGAACAGATCTTACCGGCGTTCAAGGACTTAACCTTCAAAGTTTGACCGTCAACAACTTCTAGAACTTCGAAAGATAACACACCGTCATCGACGTAGATAATCTTACCCTTGGAGATAACCTTGGTGATGTTCTTGTAATCAACGAACATGACCTTGTCATCACAAGCCTTAGCGTACTTGTCATCAGTAGAGAAGATCATTTCGTGGTTTGGTGGAATTGGGTAGTCAACATCGTTAACAGTGGTACCAGTTCTGATTTCTGGACCCTTGGTGTCCAAAGCAATAGCTAATGGTCTACCTGGGTAAAGTTCTTCAGACTTTCTAGCGTTGTCAATGACGGATTGATGGTATTCGTAAGAACCGTGAGAGAAGTTCATTCTGACAATGTTCAAACCAGCCTTTCTTAGGTTGACTAAGACTTCTGGGTTGTTGGTCTTTGGACCAATAGTACCAATGATGGCAGTCTTTCTTAGTTGCTTACCGGCAACAACTTCTAGGTTGGTTAGTCTTTGGATTCTGGAGGACATTTTGTATTGATGAGATCAGATGGATGATTCGATTTCTTTTCAAGAACTAAGAAAAAACAAGAACTAAAAATAAAAATAAATAATAAGAAACAAGTATGAGAAAGAATTGAGAACAAATCTAAAGAAAAATAATACGTAAGTAATAAATAAGTAAAAGAAAGAGAATATTGCTAAACTTCTCAAAAGGATAATTGATTAATGTATATATATCAAGAGTTAATGGATTCGAAATTGCGATGTTTTTGATAAAAAAAAATTCAATTGAAAAATTTTCCAGCAATTCATATAATATGTCTGTTCCTATTTCAAAAATAAGAAAGAAGAAGATGTAAAAAAAGCTACATTCATTACGTTGTTAAAAATTATCGCCTACGTATTAGCGGTAGTAGTTAATTTTTTATCACGTTCATAATTTATTAAGTATTCCTTATCCAATTGATATATATTCATCACCAAATATTCCAAGAATTAATTATTTAATGAAAGAAATGTTTTATACGTAGTTACCTCTCAATCTCTATTATTAAGTAAGAAGTTGGTCCTTTGGTGTATTTTTTTTCAGGTCGTCAGGTTAATATAAGTAATTTTGGACAGTTGCTAGGTAGGTTTCTTAGTTTAATATTTAGCAATTATTTTATTTTCCTCAGTGCATAGGAACCTACCTACCATACACGAGGCAAGATAAAGTGATTAGGTAGGAAATATGTCTGTTTTGCAAGAGAAGCTACCACGAAGCAAATTCAAACCTTTGGGTTCCAGTATCTCTCTCTTGCATGTGTACGATACTTTTTGTGTGAAGAGCAACAACCAATTAATTGCTTTTTTTTCCGTTCCCTTCGCCCCTTTAATTCTTATGTAAAGTCTTTTGTGGTCGCTGTAGGTTCCACAACTTACTGACCACCCATACCTCGCACTGTTTGTATATATACGGGCCATTATTTTTCATAGGAATCCTGGGGATAGATAACACGCGAGGAGGGACGGTTTTTAATAAGTTTTTATTTTTTATGTTGTTGCGCCCATCTATGACATTGTGTACGTGCCTATATACAAATTCAACAGGAAACAAGCAATCAAGCAAAAATGGTTGTCGGAACAATATCCGCCTATTTTCAAAATAAATGAAGAAAAACAGTGGATGCCAGGGGGTGTGGGTGTATGCAGTACATAAAAAATACAAATTTCACTTATTTAATTTATTGCTAGGGAGAAAAGATATTTTAAACGATGAAGTTTGTTGTGACTTGTTATCATTGTCTACGTTGAGGAGAAACAGTTTACACTTTAAAAACTTGTATTTATTCCTTCAGCGGGTATTATTTGGAATTTCCGATGAATTAGGAAAATTACCGCTCAAGGAGATTTTTTTATTGATTTTAAGGATGTTACTACAGAGTATCAGTTTCCTTGATTATTATTTGTATTGTTAAGGAGCACAGCTTGAAGTTTTATTTAATAATTATTATTGTTTAGCAGATTTATTTAAATTTTTAGCATTTAGTACTGATGCAACTAATCAAATTATACAAGTAAACAAAAAAAGAATTTCAAAGAAAGATGTTTTTCACTTGATATAGTAAATAGGAACATGATATAGTAAGCTTATGTCTTTTACCGGAAAACTGGGAATTAGAGAATAATAATAGTATATATATTTACTGTAGGTCAGGACTAGGTGTCCGTTGCCAGCAGCAGAGATCCTTCCCCTCCTATCAGAGAGAGATGTAAGAAAGTGTAATATATAATTCTATTTAATTTGGAAAACGGGTTCCTTTATATACAGAAATTTTCAAAGCAATATCGCATTGTACGAAGATCACTGTGTGTCACACTTCTATATAATTTCCAACATCTTTAATTATTTGTATTTTCGTGATGTATGGTTACAAATTTAGACAGATATAGCTTTTAATTGAAACTGATGAAATTTTTATTACTAAATTCTATATATTTACTTATGAACATATCATCAGTTTGATTGATTATACTTAATTATATATTATTCAATTAGTTAACCAAATATATATTAAACAAAATTGGAAATTTATGTCAACCCATATATCATTTGAAACGACACCCCACAAAATCAGCTTTGAAAATCAACATAAAACGGCTGAAACATAATTAAAGAAGAGAGAAAAAAAACACGATTTAAAGACCGGGGAACCATTTTTGCTAAGAAACTCTCTGAGGGAAAGTATCGCAGAGAATACAGAAAACACATGTTTGGCAGGTGAATTTAGTCATTTTATACGAGATATATTTTTTAATTTTTTTGCGTTTTCAATTTCTTAGGGAGAGAGGGGAAGGAAAGTAAGGGAACTTAAAGTCAAAGTTTTGGTGACGGTGTGTAAAAGAATGAAAATAAAACTAAAGAGTTTTAGAAAACTTTCCAATAATAAAGAGGCGATTAGTTTTAAGATATTAGATAAATTTATTATTCATTTATCATTTAATAATAAAATAAAACAGAAATTTTTTATTAAAATCATTATTTGGTTGTTAAAAACAAACAAACAAACGGAAAAGTTTGAATCGATATTAAACACAAAATTTATAATTCTTTATTATTGTTATAATGGGTTGGTTTTGGAGTGATACCCCCTCAAAAGGTACAGAGAATCAAATAGTTAAACCAAATAATATGTATGACGGTGATATTTCTTTATGTCCCGTAATGAATCCTAATGGTGGAGAAGGATCAAAAAATGATTTGAATGTAATGAATCCACTAAATTTTATTCCTAAGGATGTTTCTGCTACAGAAAAACATCCTGATCAAGAAATGCATTTAACAACAGAACGTACAATTTCAACAATACCAAAAGGTAACGAAAATAGTAAATGGGAATATCCTTCCGCTCAACAAATGTATAATGCAATGGTTAGAAAAGGTAAGATTGATTCTACTGATAAAGATGAAGTTGATGAAAATGCTATTGAATCAATGGTTGAAGTTCATAATTTTTTAAATGAAAGTTGTTGGTATGAAGTATTAGACTGGGAAAAACAATATACTAATGAAACTAATGTTCAACCAAAATTATTAAGATTTATGGGGAAACCAGGTGTTTTATCTCCAAGAGCTAGATTACATTATTATATGAGTTATATATTTCCATCTCATTTCGCTAGAGAATTACCATTTGATAGACATGATTGGGTGATCCTAAGGGGTGATCCAAATTCAAATGATTCAGAATATCCAGGTTATAGAAGAGTTAGATATGTATTAGATTTTTATGGTGGTCCAGATGATCCAAATGGATTCCCAACATTTAGTGTTGATGTAAGACCAGCTTTGGATAATATTGGAAATGCAAAGGATAGATTTGAGCATTTAACTAATAATATCACAAAAAAATATTTTACTGAAAAATCAACGTCATCAGATGTTGAAAAGAAATGAGATATTTTGTTTTGATGATCCATTAACACACAAACAAACAAAGTCACACTCATATACTCATTCTTGTATCAACTTATTCTATATATCATTTCATCATTTCAATCTGCATTGTATTAACAATTCATTACGAAGTTGATGAAACATTACCCTTTACAATAAGAAGGAGGGAAAAAAACAACAACATACAAATATGGCTATGTTTACTGTGCTGTTCTAATTCATAATAACTTGTAAATAAATAAACATTAGAACAGTACCAATTGCATCTTTTCAATGTGCAGTCGAATTAACCCCGAAGGCTGAGACTGTTACATATTCACATAACCTCTTTATATAGTTACGTTAACCAAGGGTAATGCTACAAAATGTTCAGTACTAAGTAATAAAATCATAATATCAATTATTTTAAGGCAGATCATTTTATATTAAGTCCCACGATCATCTCATTTTGGTCTTTTTAATGCATAAATGACCTAGTTATGTTATTCAAATATGTAAAATTTGTTAGGAATCCCATGAATGACAAGAGCCAACCAGCGAAAACTGTATCGAACTAGTAAAAACACGCACAAAATGGCGAGAGCGAAGATTTACATAATACAGAACCACTCTCCAGAACTATTAACGAAAAAGATAAAATACGTGAAATTCATTAATACTTGCTTGATTCACAAAACTTCGTAATCAATAGTATCACTATAGCCACGTTTTATCTTATATGTCTAGAAATGATATTAAAGTAATTCTCAATGTAATTCTATCCCACCCTTTACCAAGAAAAGAAAAAGAAATATAATTAGTTTAGAGAGGTGGAATATATATTATATGCTTATATAATCTCAAACACCCGACTTTAAATTCCATCTAGACCATTCTAAAAATTTTGTCATTCCAATAATGGTGCCGGTACAACATTGAAAGAGGGATATCAAAATTATTAACGTACGAAGATCAAAAATTTTCTTGTTACATTCTTTCCTAAAGAGGAACCATTACCGTGTTTGATCAAAAATTGTTCTAAAAAGTCTACTTAAAAACAGAATCGAAAATAACAAAGATAGCAAATTCTTATTAGCATACTTCTTAAATTTTAAACCCGGTAAAATAACTGATCATCACTATCACACGTTTCAAATGTCAATAAATGAGGCGTGCAATATAATGCACAGTAATTCAAAATTGAACAAGGGTTCTTTTAAGAAACAAAATAAACCTTTTAAAAGCGATATATTACTACATATCCCGGTTTCAAAAGCTAAGAATGCTTTACATGGCAATCATGAAACAAGCACCTCTTTTCCTAATATTGATCTATTTTTACTACCTTGAAATTTTTTAAAACGTTATTCCCGGAAGGTCCATGCAGTTCATTCCTTTGACCTTAAGGCACGTGTCCCACCATTTTGATTGGCGAAATGAAGCTTCAAATGAAAAAAAAGAATTGAACCAGCCTGCATGCCACCAAAAAAACACTAATAAAAAACTTGCTATTAGGAAAACTATTACATTTAACAGTGTAAACTCTGTACTGCTACGTCGTGTCCTTTTCTTTTTTGACGTGACCGCCATTATTATGGTCGACATTTCGCTACATTTAATAAGTCAATATGTGATTTACCTCAATAGAATTGCAGTATAAAAAAACAATAGTGAATGATTCCCTGTAGAAATTGAATAAAAATATTGTAACCTCAAAACAAAAGAGAAACATGGCAAGTAAAACTGCCATTCAATTTGGAACGAGTTTCCCTTTACAGTCTTTTACTACATTTAGTAAAATTACTCTATGAGGTAATAAAATGGTAATCAGTAATAATAATTATAGCAATAGAAAGGCCATATATTTTATCTGACAAACCTAGTAAAAAGTTTTTAAAGAGAATAGAGGGACAAATTTCATACGTTTATATTAATTTGCAGCTGTCATTTTTGCTGTGGAGGATAGTATAACCGTTTCTTAGGTTCGGTATCCTGTTTCTTTTCTCTGTAATATTTTTTTCTGTTTTAAACTTCTCGAGAATGAACTGAAGAATACAGAAAATATTGCAGAAGACTAAGTCCCGGGGCCGTTGTTCCCCACGGAACAACAATCCAAAAATAGAGTCATTTCTTTCTGCAGGAAGAAAAGTTTTTCTTGCTTCATAATACAGAGAAATACAACACCAAATTCCGGGAATTTTTTTAAATATCTACGTGTCACTCTCTTTCTCCGTTTTTTGTTCCACGGAGTTACAAAATCTTAAAATTTTTGTTTTTTCAGAGAGAAATTCCCAAAGCATCAGACGTACAGAGTAAAATTTTCATTCAAAACTTTATTTAATTAATTTTGTTCTTTCAAGGGAAAGGTATTGTGATTTTGCAAAAAAGTCCCGTATAAAGTTTAAAAACAAAAGAATGATTTACGAATAACGAGGGACAAGTTTCATAGATACGTCAAAATTTACTAAAAATGGTCGTACGATTGATTTCTTGTTTTTCGTTTCAGGGCGCACTTTGTGTTAAGTGCCAAGTCATTTATTTATTAAATAGCAGCACATTAATATCGTCTCATTATTAGTATCCTAGTGTTATAAATGTGCTGAAGAGATCAATACATATACAAGTACAACAGAGTAAAATATTATTGTACGCATTAACAGTGTCTAACTAAAGCGTTCAATGTGTACATTGTTATTACGGCATAACAATAGTAAGTTCCTATATTTACATATATCTTCCTTTTAATACCGTTAAGAGTAAATCAAAAACAAATAGTCAGATCTGACCTGATATCATACAGTTACAATACAATATAGGTCAACTATTATGTAAGAAGTGTCAGCTTTTAATAGAAAGCCGGGATTCTGTAATACTTTAATGAAACCGCCATAATAATAACACAAACCGGTAAAATGAGAAATTTGGTTTGTCTTACGCTTGACGTACTTAGATTTATTTTCTTTCTTTTGGATTTTTCTGTTATCTTCTACCACTGATATATTCCCTTACAAATGCAGAACAAAATATGGGCATACATAATAACATGATCGGTCGAATAACTAACGATAGACTTCATACCTTCACAAATAAACCATTCACAAACATATTATTACTTGAAGATAAGAGAAGAAAAAAAAGGGTACTGTCAAGTACAGTAAATTAATCTAGGGATTTACAAGATAGTAATAGGATGATAGAAGAGGCTGGATTTTATCTAAATTACTTCAGGACCACAATAAGTAGCATACATTCTTGTTTGAATATATACGATATACCTAAATTGAGAAGAAAATCATTGTTAATTCCGGTGTAATAAAATATACAATGACAAATGTAAAAAAAACATATACACTGATAACCTACTTTCACGGAGATTTACTCTCACATAAAGTTTACAGAAAAAGATATACTAATGTGAAATTATTTCCCTCTGTACGAGTATTAAATCTAAGTAGTTTTGATATATACCCATATTTGGAAATAGTCAGCCTCATGAATATATTCGCCGTAGACAAAACATGCAGAGAAAAAAAATTTTAGAGGTCACCTCCAACACACTTCAACTTCCTCTATGTAAACATTTACTCGTACTAAATTGCATTATACTCTATTAAATGAATTTTTATTAAATAAATATTAGGTTAAGCGAGTGATAAAATAATTATACTGTAAATCAAATTTCAAAAAACAATCGTTGTCAACGTATATTCAAACAATGTTTGACAATCTCGAAAATTAGTATAAACTAGTGTCAGTTGTCATTGCACAACAGTTAATCATGCTAATTTAATTTTTATACCTCTAAATGTATTGTCAATAAACTTCAAACAAAGCAAATGGATTTAACGCAGTATATGATTTTTTTTACCAAATATGGTAAGTTGCACTTATCGGGGGTGGCCTACAAATAATTAATGTAATTGAAGATAGTATTGCTTTCTTCTTATTTTCTCTGTTTGATCTTGAAGGGTACCCCCTTATGTCTATCCAAAATCAGTTACCACTTAAAATGCAGTAGCGATCACAAAAAATAAAAATAAAATTTTGAGATCTACGGAAAAAAAAGAAAAAAAGAACAAGAAAAAGAAAAACACTGGAAACATCGTTGATATTTTCTTTACTGCACACAACTATCCGTAGAAGTTGGTGCTATTTTCTGGTTAAGTTTTTCTGTTACTGCATATGAGAATATCTTCGTACAAAGAGGAAAATATGCAGGCGGCCCCATACAGCTTAAGTTGGAGATATCCTGCGTGGGGGAGAGACAAAACATACTGCAACCAATTCTTTTCAAAAATTTTTTTTTATTTGCAGTGAATATTTCCCGTTCAAAAATCAAAACCAAGCAAGGTAGGCCGGTAGCCCAAACCATAAAAAAATGTGAAAAATTTGGCAACACGAAAATTTTTTTTACGCAATTAACAAAAGAGAGAGAGAGAGAGTGCTATACTTCCGTCAGTTAGGCACATACATACCCAAAGATATTACTGCACGCATGCCAGTCCTCCGAGAGCAGTCGGTATCAAAGAATTCTTCTCAGTTTATCTCTGACCTATTGGTTTTATTGCAGCAACAGGAGGAAAAAAAATTTTTATTGAGAGAGAGAAACCACAAGAAAAACTTCCTAGTATATTTTACCAACTGGTATCTCAGCAACAGCCCAGCCTAACATTTTTCACTACAGAGTAGAGGAAAGATTTTTAAAAAAATAGGGGAAAAATGTGCTTAATTTATTTTAAAAAGGTCCCGACTTCTCTCCTAAGCAATTAATGAGATGGGTTTTTACTTAATACGGGATTGAAATTGACAGACATTACTGGAATATCAATACATATTATATTCTTTTCTGTGAGTGATTACTTCTTTAGAGTAAGAGAAAATGAGGTGCGTCGTCGTAGTCTCCCACTAATAATTCTTTACTTTAATGATTTCTTTATTGTGGAAGTAATCTTAAAATATCATTTTTCCCATTCCTGGAAAATACTCAACTGGAAAGCCCGTTATCACATTTTTTTTATTAATGAAAATTATTATCTTTCCTACTTATTCAGAGTTTTATATATTTTCTTGGTGTGGGAAAGACTACTTGCTGCATACTTAGCTTTATCATCTGTTATACAGTAATTTTTCAAAACGAAACAATTGTCCGTTTATCTTTTGATACATATCGTCTATCTGCCTCCCTCCCCCGCTCGTTTTGAATTCTTGTTTTAGGCAGTCTTTTCTTGTTACTGTCTAATATCTTAAACTTTTCTTTTTGACTTAACTTGGAATTTTTTACGTCGTTACTGTTGGTAGCTAATGTTAATCTTTTATTAAGGAAATATTTTGATTTTCTAAGCTTTTCCTACCAATATGATATAGTCCTCTTTGCTGCCTACTACTGTAATTGTTATCGTTGTCGCTGCCGCCGCCGCCTTCTGTATTAAATTTTATATTTTTTTTCAAGTCGACGCAGTTAATTTTAATCTTACTTAATTTTTTTTTTTTTATTGAATAATTACAGAGCCTATTCGGAAGTAATAGGTGAATCAGACCACTGTAGAACTGAACATGCATACACAGAAAATTAGTTCAGCAAGATAATTCATTTAATATATACCTGTTATTAAGTCTTAAAGAATACAATACCTTGAGGTTTGGATAAATATATATATATATATAGATCATATTTATGATACTTCTATATTTTTTCGAATTTGATTCTTCTAATATTTAACTTCATTTAAAAATTAATATATTCTCTTCATTAGTATTTGAATAAGATCATAGATCAGAAAGAAGAATTGTTCAAGTTTTGAAATTATTTTCTTTTCTTGATACTGTACGTATAGTTTTATATATTTTGGGGAATTATAAAACATAAAATATAAAATATCAGTGTCTAAATTAAATTTACAAGTATATTTTTATACCTATTATTAAAAAAAGTCATTATTCATTATCCCATTAATAAAATTCATTTAATTTGCTTTTTTTTGTTTTAGAAAGAATTTAACATTGCATATATCATCCATTTATTTTTTTCTTACCATTATTCCTTTCATTTTAATAAAACAAATCATTATTATTAGAATCCATTCATATTATTTCAAATTAAAGTTTTTTTAAAAAAATTAAAATTAATAATTTAAAGAATTATAATCGATTTTTTTCTCTAATCTTTACCAACACAATAACTAAACAAAAATTAATATTTCATTAAAATTTAATGCAATTGGTTCAAATTATACAATATTCATAGAAAAAGTCATATTTTTATTTGAAACCCTACCTACCCTTCTCTCTTTCTTTTCTCTCTATCAACATTCTTTTGTTTGTTAACAAAAAAAATCTATTACCTTCACTTTCTAACGTCATATTTTTATTTCCTTCTTTTTTTTGCTCTCTTTGGTTAAATTATTATTAAATCTTGTCCAACATGAATAATAATACTAATAATCCTGCTTCAAATGCCGTTAATTTACCATACTTAGCTTACGTCCGTAGAATGGTTTCTACTAAAAAATCAGAAAATGTAAGTTTAGTACGTCGTGAACTACGTTCTCATCATAATTCAATGACTGAATACTCTATAGATCATTTCCATCATCTATTCAATTTGAATGCTGCTCAAGATAAATCTAACAGCTTATCAAATTTTGAATTACAACCCCAAATTAATACTAAGATGCGTGCATTAATCTTTGATTTTATTATGTATTCTCATACAAGATTGAATCTTTGTACTGCTACATTATTTTTAACCTTTGATATCTTAGATCGTTATGCTTCGAAATTCATTGTGAAGTCTGGTAACTATCAACTATTGGCTTTAACTACATTATGGCTAGCATCAAAATATTGGGATGCTAAACATCGTGTCGTTAACTTGACTACATTATGTCAACTATGTTGTCATCAATATTCAAAACAAAATTTCAGAGATATGGAATTACATATTTTGAAATCCTTAAATTGGGATCTTTTCCAAACAACTACATATGATTCTTTCATCGATATGTTATTATTCATGAAAAATAATGATATGGAAAATCCTTTTGAAATTCAAGACACTTTTGCTGTTTCATCAATTTTAAACTCTAATTTGAATATTAATGAAATTAAATTAGGTGCTATCATCGTTTGTGAACTTTTGTCATTTGACATTATGATCACTTCCACATACGATACTTACACATTAACCAAAGCTGTTATCACATTACTTACTTTGTCAATGAATTATCAATATTTTAATAAATTTGAAAACTTAAATGATATCTGTAATAATGATCAAGAATTGGTTAAGATTATGAATAAATTATTACAAATTTGTTCTGGTGATGCTAATTTCCCATCAAGTTTCAAATTCAAACATTTTAACATGAAGAAGAATGAGGGTGAAACCACTGCTAATGAAAACGAAAAATGTTCGAACAATGAAATTAAACCAAGTACAGCTGAAAAATTGCTACAACACTTAACAAATTACAATCATAAGGTACAAGCTGATGAGTTTATTCGTCTGCAACAAATGGAGATGTTCAACGATCCATTCTCTACTATGTTTAGTGACACAAACTCATTCACAATCACAGATCACGATATTGACAATGAAAACGAAATATCGTCTACTGTCATGTCAACTCCTAGACCAGGTTCGATCACTCCAGTATCTTCTGTATCGTCCTCATCTAGTCCGTTAATGACCTTGTCAATTGGTAGTAAACCTTCATATGTCGGAACACCTATGCTTAATGCTTTAAGTCAAAGCAGATCAAACTCTATTTCAACGTTGGCTGGTATAGCACCATATCTAACAAGAAACCGTTCTATTCATGCTCCTATAACGCCCACAACGCCCACAATGTTTAGGAAACCAAGTATCAGAAAGTTAAGTACAGCATCTAAGATGTCTGCTATTTATCCAATACATCAAAGAAAGAGATCTTCTTCAAGCAATGACGTTCAATTCGAACAATACGAGAATCATAATAAACGTTAACGAACGTTATATTAACCAGCATTTTTACGTTACTGGCCAACAGTTTTTTTTTTATCATTTTTATTTCGATAACGACTTAACATGAATGATAGTTTCAGTTCTTCTTGATGAAGATAACTATCATCACCATAATAATGCATTCAAAAAACAAAAAGAAAAATTCATTTCAAGAGAAATCGTAATTGGCAAACAAGTAAAGTAAAGTAAAATAAAATAGGAATTAACGACCATAAACATATTCTAGCATTTCCTTATTTTTTTACTGTAGTTTTGTTCCACAATGATTTCTTTATAAAAACATATATATATGCAATTGGCCATATGTATAACTTCTATATTCATTTTAAACATATTTAAAAAATAAAAAACCTACATTCTAATAAATCCTGTAACTTACATGCAAAATTGCTAATCTTTTTTTTATAAAATGGGCAAAATTCGTATAAACTGAAAAATTAATATCAAAGCGTCCATTAAAAATTTATTTATATTTTTTTATCTATTTTTATTCTTATGTATTTATGAATTGAAATTAGCTATATGCCCAGATATTTAGCGAATATTCTCCATTTTCCTTTAGCATGTCCTTTGCAACGATCCAATCGTCATCTGATGCGAGCACAATATAATCACCATCCTCATCCTGGTATTTAACTTTGGATACATCATGATTTACCTTTTTCTGTATCGTATCTAAAACATTTACAAATTTGGTATCGATGTTAATGGATACATTAAACGACTCATTATCGAAGGTTATTTTTAGTACAAGTAAATTTTCTGGAATATTATTATTTTTTTGTTCCATATCGAAATTAGATACTCTGCGTCTTTGTTTTGGTAACGTATCAGACATACGTTTAAAGGACAAACTGCTATTAGAGGCTCGACTGTCTTTCCGTTTATCACTATGTGACCTATCACTTGGTGTATTTGTACTCGTAGTAGAAACAAATGAGTTTTCGCTATGGTTACTCTTGTATGATTCACTCTTAACGCTACGAACCAAAGATTGCAAACATGCGCACCAATTATCTCTTGTTTCCTCATTTTTAAACTTCAATAAGAAGTTACCTTGTTCTTTTATAGATTCCCATGTAATATTTAATGACCTTGAATTCAACGGAGTAACTTGATCTAAATTCATTATCATAATACGACCCCGGAGATCTAATTTTGGTTCTGCGTTGCCTGTATTCGAATTAGAACCGAATATACTACTGCTATTACTACTATTATTTCCTGATGATATATTAGTAAATGAGTTATGATGGTTAGATGACGTTAAATTTAAAGTTAAACTTGATCCTGAAGAAGTTGGTTTTTTCTTTAAAATGAGAGATGATTTTTTTGGTTGAATTTCAGAAAATAAGATAATTATCTTTTCAAATAAATATACTTCGAATTCACGTTCTGGTTCACTTGAATTATTGGTAGAGATAAAAACTTTATCATAATATAACAGTTCACCAAACTTGGCAATTCTATACCCTTTCCAATTTGAAACACGACCATATAATTTCTTGACAACTTCATGATTTTCAGTACGTCTCTGATTCTCATTTATACTCATTGCGATTCTCTTTGATATATCTAAAGCAATCTCTAATTCTTTTGAAATATTATCTGAACCACTTGATTTTTCATCATGAGAATTACATGAAATTAATTCTTTCAATAACAATGGGTAACGACAAAGTCTTTGTACAGGTTTATACAAAAAAGATTGTAATTCCAATTTATTTTTAATTACTAAATCTGAATCTTGAATCTTATCTAATGTATTTGCCAAAAAATCGATAGCAGCATTTTGACCAATGGACCACGGTTCATATAATTTAAAGAAAAATTTAGAATGCATAAATAATGCACCAATTCTTTGTTTTTGTGGATCTACTAAAGCATTTATCTCTAAAGAGATTAAAAATCTTCTTTGAAAATCAATTACTTCTGTTAAATTTGGGAATAACATATATAATTCCTCTGAAGTGATCAAATTATTATCTAACAACTGTTGTTTATATGTGTCTAGAGTCTCTAAATCATGAACGTATTTCCTCTCTGTGGCAATAAATTCCTTGATAACTTTATCATATTCTTCATGTGCTTTAGATTTTTGAGCCCTTGATTTATGATTTTGTTCTATCTCAGCATCTATCATTTGTTGAACTTTTGAAGTAGATAAGAAAACTTCCGGGGCAGCGTTCATTAATGTTGTGACCACTTCTAAAACTTTCACCAATTGGTTTGTAGAATTAGCGAATACATCTGATATGGTAAACAATTCTTCATCATTAAAGGCAAAATGTTTCTTACAACCTAAGATGAAATCATAAATTGATTTTTTACAAATTTTCAAATCATCAGATGACACAACAGGTAATTTATATTGTGGTCTAACTGTATTAAACAAGATACATAATGGTGAACCTTGTTGAAATAGTTGTGCTAATTGTGTAACTGGATCACAATCCATAGAAATTGGTAAAATACCCATACTGTACGTTAGTTGTGTATCGTCCATACTAACTGAATTATGACCATTACTTGAATTATAAGTTATACCATCTAATGTAAACTCATCCTTAAAACTAATATTCGATATAGAACTTGATCTCATTGTTGTTGGTGTAGAGTTTCCTGTGCTTCCCAATACTCCAAATCCGTCATTACTATAATTGGAAGAAACGCTTCTATGACTACTATTTTTATTAGGTCCATTACTAATATTACTAGAAGTATTTCCCGATTGAGATGACGATGATTGCTGTTGTTCTAATAATTGTTGTTGTTGTTTTTGAGATAATAATAATGATTGTCTTTCACTCAATAATTCACTTGATGTATATGCTAAATTCAAATATGGTTGTATTTGTGGTAATACTTCTAATCGTTTCTTAATGTTCAAACACACATAATATAAGGAGTCACTTTCTGTGACAGCTGTATTCATTACATTATTCGCCACTATATTAATTCCAGATTTCCCGCTTTCTACCAGTGACAAAGACGGTCTCTTATTAGCTTGAACCACAACCATAATTTACTTATAAATCGTTAATTGTAGATTTCCTCAGTTAAAAGTCAATAAGTAAAATCAAATAAATATATTTATTTGAAATGATTATCTATGAAAATATCCTGATCAAAGATATAAATATAACTAACTAAAAACACGAATTTTGGCGATGATTACCGCAAAAGATAAAAATAATGAATGGACTCTATTTGTAAAAGAAAGAAAAAACACACACAAACTCTGTGCTGACACTTAAAGCAAAATAAATAAACCAGAAATACTTCTCGTTAGACAGCCGATGGTGTTCTATTTTAATCTAACTTATATATCCTAATTATCACCTCGAGCTAACATTGACGTATTATAAATTTATATTTATATTTAACTATCAACTAAATCCCATCAAAGCGTTCCTTGCCAGCGAGAGAAGTGGCCAGCCAGTCGCTGCTTTAGTTAGCCAAGACAATGGAAATATCACACAGAAGACACAGCAGGCAACGAAGATACACACATACACTCTTCGTCCCGGTCGCTTTTAGCAGAAATTTTTCAGTTCGTTCAACGTGATGAATATAATGATACTATCAATATTTAATGGAACGATCCATGTAGTTGATTGTTATTTTGTTTTTAATTTATACATTTATATATTGATATATATAGTGTAATGATATGGAAAAAGAAATAAGTATAATACATGTCTATTGTGTTTTCTTACCCCAGATGGATTTTTGAGCCCTGTAGAATATTTTGTCTGCGACTGTACCTACGGCAAGAACACCACCTATTGTAGTAATACAATTCAATAAGAAACCAGACCATGTCTGTGCATGTTGTTCCCTGTTGATGACTTTCAATGCTGACATTTCGTAGTAGATGAAGACACCTGGAGTACCACCACGAGTATGCATTGTGGTTGGGTGATCATCATCTATACCTCCCTTGATTGACCTAGAATGAAATGTAGCACTAAATTGAGTTGTCTCTACAGCTGGATATTTATCGTTTAGATATTCATATCTTGTTGGAACAATCTTTGCAAAATACGAGTATTGTAATAAATGAGCATCGTTACGATCAGGTCTCATTTCATCACCATCCAATGGATTTGTTGATATACCAGATTGATCCTCCTCTTTACGTCTTAATTTTTCATGAGATTTATCAACCGGTTTACCAAAACTTAAATGATGAATAATATGATTAAAGTTTAATTCTTTATGACCATAATATAATGATGTATCATGATTATGAGAGATCCCTCTTCTTTCAACATCTGTTGTAATAAACGATTTTCCTGGTGCAAAATGAATATTACCTCTAATTCTACCTAATGAAGCACTACCACGCACTCTGCAACCTTCATGCAAGTGATCATTCATATGCTTCACATAACCTTCTTCTTCACATTGATCAATATTGTGACCATCATGGAATGCCCAACCTGCATCTAAATAAGCTTCATGAACATCATCACAAGTTTGACAACAGACACGATGTTCAGGAGACACTGCGTCATTAGCGCTTTGATCTAATACACCATAACATGAACCACAATATCCGACACCACGACTTAATTTTGAAGTATCTGGTTTAAAATCGGTACCCATCTTATAATCTTCTGTTGCTAATTCTTTACCATTTTGATCACATCTAGTCTTTGTAAAACCTGAATCTAATATATCTAATTGTAATTCTCCTGATTCGTCAACAATATCTAATGTTAATATATCACAAGAGACTTCAGGAAAGGTAATATCGAAATTTAAAGCTAATTTTGCATCACTGTCTCTATCAACATATAATTGTGGTCGCGTTACTACTTCTGTCAATTGAGCCCATTCACGATATAGCAACAACAATGTGGTAAGAATACATCCTATGGTGATGATACCACCAGTGTTAGTACGTACACGAACGTCTTCTTCTGTTTTGGAAAACACATCCAATAGAAGAAACTTTGATCTTCTTGCACTCATCTTATTCGAATGCAGGACGTTATTTATTCTAAACTATATGTATTATCAGTTTTTTCACTTCAAAAAATATAAACCGTAAAGATACAAATTAAACAACAGTTTGAAACAATATAATTATAATAATTAAACTTAAATCATTCGATGTATTATATCGTCTCTTAAAATTCAATTTTGTAGATATTTTCATTACGAGGTTGGCAAACGAACAAGGCAAAAGGAAAACTTACAATCCAAAATAATACTTAAAAACTCACTATCTATGGTGTGTCTCTATCGCGTACGTAGAGAATTACTTGGTTTATACGTAGAAAGATGACAACTCATCCAAAAATCCAATCACGAGAAGTCCACCAAGACAATTACGACGACGCGCACGCGTTGTGGCGAAAAACAAACTGCAATACGTACTTAGTGATGCAAATACTATCGATTGTTCTCTTAAATCTGTTTTTTCAATTTTCAATCTTGAACCGTTTATTTTTTCCTTTTTCACATCTTTTTTAAAAGAAATATATAGGAAACAAAAACAATACTTACAAGTTAAAACTTGAAATTCACCAATAGTTGAAACAAAATAATCTTTGTTATTGTTTATTTAATATTAACGTATTCTTTATCACTTCTGTCACAACTTTCCTCTGTCCCAAGTTTTCTCTTTCAGGTAAGCGGAGTGATTAAGTGTATTTAACTCAATTGTATATAAATAATATTAGGTATACTCATAAAGAACCACTAACAAGAAAAAAAATACGGGAACAAAATGGACAGTAAAACACAATTAGAACAATTGAAGGAGGCTAAACTCCTGGCAATGAATAATCATCCGGAACAAATGCTACCAAAAGTCCTTGAGACTACAGATACTCTCTTAATCAATGCATTCAATAATTCTTCTGCAGAATCAACAGAATGTATTGATTTAGCTAGATTCTTTTCTCAATTATTTTCAGATATATTAAATCATAAACAGATCTCTACTAGTGAGTTACCATTTATTGCGGCTAAACATATTGATACATTATCAATAATATGTCATAAATCTAGTGATCCAATTACTTTAAAGATTGCTATTTTAACTTTTTCAGGTATTTATCCACTATTAGTAGACTTAGTGGCAAAGACATCAAATGAAAAGCTTTGGGATAAATTACAAAAATTTAAAAAATTTATTACAACAAAATGGAAAAGTTATACAGTTAATGGAGATTCATCAAATGATGATTTAATTAATGATGCTAAACATATTGGTTGTAAACTTGCCATAGTTAAATTCATTTCTCAATGTATAATTGTACAGACTAATAGACCACAGGATCTTGCACCATCATCGAGTAATCAAAATAATAATCCTCATGGGAATTATCTATACACTATTAACTTGTCCTCTATACCTGATAACCATCCTGTTATTTCAAATAAATCTGGTTTAGAGGCAGAATCTAAAGTATTATTGGGCTTGTTAATAAATTATTTAATTGATGAACCTATGATGATTAGTTCCGTTTTCATTGGAATTATTAATTGTTTGGCATTTATAATGAAGGAAAGACCTCAAACTATGACTAGAATCTTAACTGGATTATTAAAATTTAATGTTGATGCTAAATATCAATTAGATAATACTTCAACAATTAATTATAAATTAGCTAAAAGATACGTTGAACGTTGTTATAAAAATTTTGTTCAATTTGGTACTAAAAATGATCTAATTAAAAATAATGGATCATCGGCTCCATTATATAATAAACTGACTAAAATATCACAAACATTACATATAATAGGTGAAGAATCAAAAAGTAAAGGTATCTTAAATTTTGATCAAAATCAAGTAGAAAATAAAATAAAGGATCAAGATAGAGAAAAGATAATATCATATAGATCGAAGGTCAAACAAAAATACTTTAATGGTGGATCAATAAATGAAAATAATACTAGTAGTAACAGTAACAGTAGTAGTAGTAGTGGCAGCAGCGGGAGTGCTAACAGCAATATTACAAATTCAACTGGTTCTGTTACTCCTATAGATAGTAATACTCATGCTTTACTGACAAATTTACAACAATATACTATGAGTAAGACTAATATTACAAATTTTTTCAATACATCACCTGTAGCTGTTAATAATTCATATGGTTCTGTCTTTTCATTAATGAACAATGGAGACTCTCAACAAGATTTATCACAATTACCACAGGACACATTAGCCAAATTAGCTACAGAAGCTATATTTAGGGCCTCTACAACCAACCTAATATCAGGTTTATCAGTTGTAGCTTCAAGATATACAGATCTTATGGCAAAGGCCTCTAATAATTCAACCGGAGTTAATGATAACAAAAGAAAAATAGAGAATGATGAAATGACCGATGAGCAGGACAATAAGAGAGTTAAGAAAGAAAATAATACGGATAACACTATAAAGACAGAAAATTTTGCAACTGAGGATAATAAATTAGATGCTGATGAACTGGACGAGGATGTTAATGATGATTTTGATGTTATCAAATTTTTAGGTAAACCACAACCGATCTCTGAAGATCGTAAATTAGAGATGGCAAAAAGAATTATTAAAAAAATTATGAGCATAAAGGATAATACATTCTCTCCACAATTAACGCTTTCAAAATTAGAATCACCTTTAGAACAAGTCAAGTTATTAGATTGGAAGAACAATGAATCATGGTATCATATACTTATAAGATTAGCAACAAGAGGTACTACAATTTCACCTGAAATTAGTGATTTAATCCGTTCAGAGTTATTATCCTATATATTGGCAGATTTTCAAAATAGTATATCTATTGTAATTGAATGGTTAAATGAAGAATGGTATAGCACATATATTTTAAAATTAGGTGATCCAGAAGTGAATAACTACACTAAATGGTCGTTAAAAGTATTGGAAGATTTAATTCCATTCATGGAAAATCAACATCGTCGTCTATTTATTAGATTAATGAGTGAACTTCCAAGACTAGAACAAGCACATTTCGATAAGGCTAAACCTATATTATTGGATCCAGGTAGAAGTGCTTTAGGTTTTCAGACATTAAAATTCTTAATTATGTTTAGAGCGCCAGTGAGAGACTCTATCAAGAATTTACTAGAACAAGTCATGCAAGAGGACTCATCGCTTCAAGATCAAGTACAACCTATTCTTGATAAATACTATACTACCTCTACATAATATATAGTGTCTAAGTAATGAATAGAAATATATATACATACATTGTTTCAAAACTTGAAAGGCTTCGAATAAAAATCTTCCAAAATCATATTGTTCTGAAGTTGTTTTTTGTGACTCTGTTTCCAACTATACCCACCAACAAATTTTGTGATCGCTTCATGTTATTTTCTCTTTATTTGACTCTGGCGATAACGGTATGAAAAAACACAGATAACGTGCGGTTTTCTTACTCGAATGGACTAATCTGGTGAAAGAGTGATAACGATGCGTGAAAGGTCCGTTCTGAAGAGGTTTGAGGTGCAACCGGGAAAGGTGATGATGGGATACATCTGTGAAGCTGTTATGATTGACAACAGGAGTAAACACAGCGGAACAACGCTAATCTTTGATTCATCTCTCCCTTGTTCATTAAAATATAAAAACAAACTTAAATTTGTGATTCTAGAAATATACCACATCAAAATCCTTCTCCTTTATATTAATTTCGTATCCCTTTTTGTCAAGAATAGAAAGATTATATACTAGAGATACATTTGCCGTCCAGACCTACTCATTACAAAACAAATAGTATAAATGTTGTCTACTTCCAGTATTACTAGATCATTAGCTAGAACAATTCCTCGTGCTGTCTCTGGTACCTCGAGAACTCCAGCTTTTCGTCTATTTTTGAGATGCCAATCTACTTCTCATGGTAACAATAACTTGAACAAAAATGAACTACCCTTTAAATTTAGTCCCACTGGTCCTAAATTAGTTAAATATTCTAAGGATCATGAATGGTTAGCAATGCATGCCGACGGTACTACTTTCTTAGGTATTACTGATTATGCTGCAGCTGCTTTAGGTGATGCAACTTACATTGAATTACCAGAGGCTGATACTGAAGTCGATGCTAATGACTCTATTGGTTCTGTTGAATCTGTAAAATCTGCTTCTGAAGTTTATGTCCCAGTAAATGGTACAGTTGTGGAAGGTAATACCGATTTGGAAAGTAGTCCGCAATTGATTAACTCCGATCCAATGGGTAAAGGTTGGATTGCTAAATTAAAAGTTGATGAAGCTACAAATAAAGATATTTTAGATAAATTATTTACTTTAGAGCAATATGAACAATTCTTAAAGAGTGATGAGTAGACAGCTTCTCTCTCAATTTATTTACAAGGTTCCTATTCAATCATTCCTCTTTCCCTCTTCTAAAGGTGAATATAAACAAATATATATATATATATATATATATATGACCATTAAGTAACTAATATTTATTCAAAAGTGATTTTCTTTAAAACAAATTTTAGCTCTTATTAGATTCTGCAATTGTCTTAGTGCTTAATTGTACCGCATGTATATCATATTTCTTCATATCATTACCCAGTATTTTATATATCATTCGATGACGATTTGGTAAATTTAACCCAGAGAATTCATCACTAATAATTTCTAATCTAATATGTGATTCGGTTTTGTTACTTGAATTTCCAATCCCATGGTGACCTTCATGTTTGTAAGAATCGTTGTATATAGACAAATTGAATATACTGGGCATCGATTTAGTGATGACGTCCTTTACCGAACTGATTACAGGTCCATCTATCCTTCTATTTAAGGGAAGCTCATCTAATGACATCTCCTGGCTCATTATTCTCTTACTGGTAAAACTAAAATCTCTGGAAATAACTCTGAAAGGTAGTTGATTTCTAGTCAATCTCAACATGCCAAAATATTAAACTGTAATAATTGGATCCAATTTAAAATTCACCAGCAACCTAAGGTAAAAATATTAGTAGCTATATGGAGTGTCATAACCGATTCTTATATGCATTGAAGTGGGGAATGAGGTTCTAAAGTATTTAAACAATAATCAAACAGAATTAAAAAGCACGTGAGCTATATGAGGGTAACTACAAAAATTTTGTTTCGTTTCTTTGTTGGTTTATGGAAGGGAAAAAAAATTTTAATAACATATTAACCATATAAATAAATAATACAAATATAAAGTGGCAAACCCTTTAGGGATTAACGAACAACGACAACAGCAACAATACAAAAACAAAACATTTATTAGGGTGTTAAAATTTTGTTATAATGTCTGAACCTATAGAGAATACTGGTATACCAATGGATAACGTTCCTGCTGTACCGACCGAATCCCTGCCAATAAATATTGAACAACAAGTACCTGCAGAGACCTTAAATTCAGCAGAAAATGTAAACGAATCAGTCGACCACACAGAGAATCAGTTACCTAATGAAAACTCTGAAAGTGATCATGATAGTGAAACAGCAAATTTGTATAACGAGGATGCTGATGCCCCAGAAGAGGATAAAAATGAAGAAGTTCCGCAGGATAACAATACGAATGACGTGGAAGGTGAGGAAGACGTCAAAAATGGTGATGAAGAAGAAGGTGAAGGTGAGAGCAACGATGACGAAGACGATGACGATGACGACGGTAGTGATGATGGTTCTGACTCAAGTGAAAGCTCAGATTCCTCGTCAGAAGAAAGCGAGACGTCAAATGCTGAAAATGAGGAAGAGGAAAAAATTGGTACCAGCGAAGGTTCAAACCAAGAATCTGGATCTGCAGAAATCAAGGAGCCTTCTACAACAGAAACTTCTACTTCAGAAAATCAAGTTACTTCTCTCTTAGAGAGACAAATGGAATATATGAAAGAGAGTCGTTTGTTAGAAGATGAACAATTTAAACAATTATCGGACCAAGAAAGAACTTTTTCAATTTTGAAGTTATTGAGTACTAACCCAGCTACAAAAATTCCAAATAGTAATTCAGTTTTAACTCCATCTTCAGTTCATGTTCCACAAGCACCAATCGAATCTACTAAAATCCAGTCTGACTACCCACCTCAACAAGAAAATATGACATCTGGTAGAGCAGATTTGAATGCCCCCATGAGTGCCCATGAACGTGAACTGTATGATATTTACCTACAAGGTGAAAACAAAATTACAGAAATGCACAATATCCCACCTAAATCAAGATTGTTTATTGGTAACTTACCTTTAAAGAATGTCACAAAGGAAGACCTGTTTAGAATATTTCATCCTTATGGTCATATTCTACAAATTAATATCAAGAACGCGTTTGGTTTCATTCAGTACGACAATCATCAAAGTGTTATCAATGCGATTAAAGTGGAGTCCGAACAAATGAATTTTGGTAAGAAACTAATTCTTGAAGTTTCAAGTTCTAATGCTCGTCCTCAATTTGATCATGGTGATCATGGTGCAAATAGCAGTTCGACATTTATATCTACATCCAAGAGACCATTCGATAATGATGATTATGGGGCTACTGATAATTATAGGGACAATAGCGGTAACTCAAAGAGAACCAAACGTAGAGTTCCAGAATGTTTGATTTTTGTAAGAAGAACTGCAGATAGAGCATATGCTACTGAAATTTTCAATAGTATTAAAAATGGTACTGGTCTAGAGACAGATATGATGTTCTTAAAGCCACGTATGGAACTTTGGAAATTAGTTAACGATGCTGCATTCGATGGTACTTGGGGTGTTATATTGGTTAATAAGACTCATGACGTTGATATCCAAACTTTTTATAAGGGTCCACAAGGGGAAACAAAATTTGATGAGTACGTTGGTGTCTCAGCCCAAGATGCGGTCGGAATATTTAACAATTTGAAAACCTCAAGAAAGGGTGGTAGCAGAATGCAACATCCAACTAACAATAGTGGATTTGGTTATGGCCAACCTTCAATGGGTATGCCTCCTGCCCAACAACAGCAGCAACAAGGATACTATGGAAATTACAATATCCCACAACAACAAGGTTATGGTATGCCATTACCACCATCCCAAAACTATGGAATGGCTCCACCACAACAGGGGTACGGTATGTCACCTCCTCCTCCTATGATGGGTCAAAGTTATGGTCGTTATCAAAATAGTCAAAACTATAATGGTTACCAAAATATGCCAATACCACCACAAAATCAACCACCACCTATGCCACAAAATAACCAACTATCGTCTTTATTGGGAGGTAACCCTGGTCAGATGGATCAGCAGCAATTACTTGGTGCTTTGCAAAACTTACCTCCAAACGTGATAGCCAATCTGTTGGCTTCAGCTCAACAACAACAACCACAGCAACCAAATCAACAACAGCAATTAGTAGGTTTATTACAATCCGCTCAACAGCAACAACAAAATCCATCGAGATACAGCCAAAATACCGCTATACCAAACCAACACATGGGCAGTAACGATTATAATCAAGATCGTAATCCGAACATGAATTCAAGACAAGATAATCCACCTCAACAATCACCCCAAGACCCAAATGCCGGAGGTAACAATGTTCAAAACTTATTGGACAGCTTAGCTAAGTTGCAAAAATAATACTCCTGGAAAAAAGAACTCTATACTATAGTTATAGGGTTATATCTTACAACACATTGATATATTGTTTTAACTATTCAATTTTGGTAAAATAACTCAACTAACTGGAGCGGTTTATTATGGCTATTGTTCAAACAAAAAATTTCAGAACAATTAAACCGGCGCGAATAACAGGTTTCTCCTATATGGACATTAAATTTTGTATCACAGTTTCTTTTCTTTTGGTAAAAATCTTTCCAACTTCCTCTTTGAAATTTTTAGATTCTCTTGCTATGACTTATTTTCTGAAATCTTAATCCACCGATTTATTTGGATACTATTCAATAAAGTCACAAAATACAGAACAAACAAATTTCGAAATTATCTTATTCTTATTCTGGAGAATCTTATTCTTTAACCTTCTGAAGACCTTCCTTATCACAGTGCTCGCTTATGGTTGCTGTGATTCAAAACTTAACATCCATTTAATAATCTTTAACTCCAACCGTTTCTTTGAGCTCATGAAATCTTTACTATCTCTAAATAAAATACATAAAATTATTGTATACTCTTGTTACAATTTCACCTGACTTCTGGAGTCCACCACAATGAACTAATACGAATATATATTTAAATTTTCAAGAATAGATTACGAATGACTGTTGTCGTGGCACATTTTTTTGTTAATCAAATGGTTTACTTTTTAGCAAAATTTACATCACGACCCCCCCCCCTTTATACCTACAAAAGGATGTTAGTAGACTAGAAGATAAATAAATGGATCAAACTCAACTGAATGACTTTAAATGAAAGTTAGTCTATTAAGGTAAGTAAAAGACTAAATTTTTCTGTCCCCCCTTCAATATCTAAATTTAAAGGTTATGTGCGTCCGATTTGTAACGAAAGCTATCGAATATGAAAACAGAAAATGCTGCATTATTTTGCAAAATGAAAATGGGCCATGTGCACTCATAGCATTAGTAAATGTACTTCTCCTAGATCCTAAATTTGAAAACATCACCGGAGATCTAAAGACCTTGGTAAATGATTCAAACAATGTGGAGCTAGAAGATATATTACAGGCGGTTGCATCTATTGCATTGTATATCACAGACAACAACCTCAATACAACCCAGACAATACATGGAAGCTTAGATGTTGAATATTTGAAGGATGAATCTGATATGTCCAAATTATTTGCAATTTTACCAAGTTTAAACGCAGGTTTAAATGTCAACCCTAATTTTGATGGAACTTTCGAGAATTCTGCAGAACTTGCGCTCTTTAGGCTATTTGGCGTACCCCTAGTACATGGATGGATAATGGAAAACGATCACAATGAACTTTCAAAGTTATCATATGATGAAGCGCTTAATGTTGTTGCTCATGCTGAAGAATTATGTGATGATACTGAACAGCACGATACCACTAATGATACATGTGTATTTGAAAAGGCTACCATTTTAAAAGCGTTTCTTAATAATTCCTCGACACAGTTAACATCTAATGGTATACAATACTTAATCAAAACCCTATCCAACAACTCCCTAAGTGTATTATTTAGAAATGATCATTTTGCGACAATTCTTAAGAGGGATGATATATTGTACACATTAATTACAGATTTAGGGTATAGTAGACAACCTAGTATTATTTGGGAGTCGTTAATGTCAATCGACAGTTTCCTTAATGACTTCTGTGATAGTCATTTTAGGAAGAGCGAAGCTATCCAGGAAGATATATCAGCTGATAAAGAAATGAATGATAAGGCTGATGAAGTGAATTCAATCGATAGAAAAATAGCTTTACAATTGCAAGAAGAAGAGGATAGGATAATAGCAGAATCAATGAATAAATCTTTAAATAAGAGAGTAGACGAACGAAAATTGAAACCACCACAAAAGTCACATAAGAAAAAGATAAAACATCGAAAAGATACAACAAAACATGCCCAACAACTAAGGACTCCAAAAGTATCTCGACCCCAACATAATAGCACCGCTTCAAATCTGAAATCTAGTGGTTCCTGTATAATTACATAATCATATAATTAGCCATGTATATAGCTCTATATTTGAACTCGATCAAGATATGTTTACAGCATTAACCTACATTTTGAATAAAATAAAAGTTCATCAAATCTATCTATATATATATATATATATTAATTTAGATTAACCTGAATTTGGTGATTAATAGTTTAGATATGGTTACGTTGTTGGTATTAAAATTTGTTCTGTGTTTTTGAATCACAATTTTGACCAGCATAGTATATATACTTTAACAAAAGTCATAACCGATCTGAAACGTCTATGAAACACCGCATGGTAAGTTTTACTTCAATTTGTTAAATTTGAAAAAAATGACAGTATATATATGTATATCCTTATATGAATGTATATTCCAATAGGGTATGAAATTCACATACATTTGCGACATAAATTAAACAATAGATGAAAGCAAATTATCATTATGGTTCAAGATTTACCATCAAATATTACAGAAAATAGAGAACAAGGCAAAGATATCGAAAAAGACAGAGATTCGAATACCAGAACACCTTACAGTAAAATAACATGTGTTGATCTTAATGATTATCAGAGAAGTAGTTGTGGTGATAAAAGGAAAGATCGTTCAACGTTGGGTCAAAATAGCAAAAAACTGTCCATAAAGAAGAAAAGACATCATTCTAAGCGTAACCGTAAAAGTGATCGGAACCATTCAGAAATGAAGAAAAGTAAAAAATTAAAAGAAAAAGGGTATAAACTAGTCGTCCAGAACAAGCGATTCACTTTCAGGAATGGGATTCTGACTGGAGTATTAATTGGTAGTATTGGGGCTACTCTTTTGAGTACCGTGTAATGTGACATATAGGTAATATATAGTTAAATAAAAATATGTATCATCCTTTCAATCACTAACGAGTCGTTGATGATATGATTTATTTTAAATTACCACTATATCTCCCACCATTATTAAAACGTTTCTTTTGAACTCTACCATACTGCTGTGGATGTTTGAAATTTCTTTTAAATTTAGTTGGTCCACTTCCAAATAATTTATCTTTTTCCGCAGCAGTTAATTCATATGTCAACAAATTGGCATCTCCAAGGTCTTGTATAAATTGCAGAATTTTATCATTTTCATTTGCCATTTCTCTCTGCACAACCTTTAAATTAAGATTGGCCTTTGGGTCATAACGATGCACCTGGGATTCAATACTCTGAATAAATTTCTTCTGCTTACTAGCCTCTTTCAACACGCTTGTATTTTTTAGATCATTTTCTTTTATACCCATTTCCTTCATATGCTTCTCTTTATTGTTGGAAATTTTCAATAGCCACATCTTTCTCCTTTCTTCCTTCCATTTTTTAATCTCTTCATCAGTCTCTAATTTTATCGAAGTACCTTGAATCTGAATATTATTTTTATTTTTTATATTCTGCGAATCTTCATCATCATCATCTTCTTCTTCTTCAGTGTGTAAATTGCCATCTCCATTAGTTGATGTGGAAACCTTTTTCTGTATATCATCTTGTGTGATTAAGCTTTTTTCTGTAGTTTTTTTATCTTTGGTCAATTGTGAAAGTTTCTCATTAGCCTGTTTATCCAATGATGTCTTTGGAGGGGCGCTTATGGTAGAATCTATAATTTTAGGGCTATCTGATTTTTTATCTGTATTATTATCAACATGATCCTGCTGCTTTCGTTGAAATTTACTCTGATTATTTCTTTTTCTCATATTATTAGGTATAGTCGGCACTATATCTTCATAACTGACTGTCCTTTTCGTCTGTTGATAGCTATTATTGATATTACAACTATTATTATTTTCGTAGCTTTGCAAGTTGTTAGAATTTTCATAAGACCATGATGTTCCTGAATTGGTAAATTGTTGATCATAGAGATTATTATTAAATTGGTTATTAACTGGTTGCTGATGTGGTTGAGTATGCGGGGCGCCCTGATTCACCACATCTTGGTAATTATTGTAATTATTGCCGTAGTTATGAAATCCTGGTGAATATTCGGTTTGTTCCTGATAGTTCATAGAGCCAAACTGTGTTTGTCTACTATAAGTATCCCCTTCATCATGTTGCAGACGCTCCTCGGGTCTCCCAGTACCTAGTACTCCGGAGAATGAGGGCTTCGGTACATTATTAGAGTAGTTATTCTGATTTATATTATTGCTATCATTTCCGTAATTCATTTTTACTTGTGTTGTGTTAGTTTTACAAAATGGTCCACTCATTTGAAAGTTTTAACTTAGAAGTCATCACTTTTTTTTTAACTCATCTAGCCTTTGTTTTCTAACAAAGGTTACTAAAATTTTCCGATGCTATGAGTCGCCGTCCTTTAATTTTCTATTTTAAAATAAAAAATGAAATTTTCAATGAGTGAACTAGAATAAATTTGTGACATTATATGCAATATTAAAGCACCTAATCTTAAAATTTGCTATGTTGAAAATTAAAATCTTTTAATTTAAGCTCTAATGCTATAATTGCTTTGTTTATATACTAAAAATAGTGCCACTTAGGTAAACTATTCTATTTTGGGGCTATGAATAATAAGTGTATAGAGGTTATAAATAACTAGTCAAAGATATCTTTTGCTGTTGGGACTTGTGTAGGTCCGAATTCATTCTTTTCATTTTCATCATTTTCATTATCATTCTTCATGTATTTCCTTTTCTCTCTTTGAAGAATACTCCTTTGATCTTCTTGTCTATTACTAGTTGTGTCCTCCTCATCACTCATTGCATCTACTTTTCTTTTACCCCATCCAACAGTTGTATCGCTCCGTTCAGGAGGGATTAATGCATGCATGTCTTTAATTTTTGATGGTAGGTCGTGAGTACTTTCAATATGATTATTTAAGTTTGTTTCGGAATCTTTTGATATGTCGGTAGATAGTTCAGTTGAATTATCTCTAATAAATAGTCTTCTAGGACTTAATTTCATTTGTAACTTTTCGGTTTGACGCTCCCCCGATTCATCTATATCTATTGCCGATGGCTTTAAAGGACTTAATCTTGTATCCCTTATTATTATGTCATCATGTTGCAGAATTGTAGCATGTCTTAACGGTTTTAATGAAGATCCTTGCTCTTCATTCGAATCATGCATACGTCCCGAAGTAGTTCTCTTAGGAGGTGATGTATATTCATTTTCTGCAGATGCCTCGCCATGAGCGTACATACTTTGTGGTCCAGGTGAGCTCCTATTACCATCCGTAACTTCAACTAACTCAATTTTTACTCCTGCTTTTGACATTTCCATCATAATTGGATCTCCAGGAAGACAAAACCATATACTTATAATGTTCGATGAATTACCTCTCAAATTATTCCAGACATTACCCATACTCACAAAGTTCTTGAAATCCTTTGCTTTAAATACAAGTCGTTTCAAGGATGATTTGTTGTCTGTTTGTCTTACTCCCTTTTGACCTTCGACAGTAAAGAGACAAAACAGATCTAAATCACTCAAGACAAATATGTTTGACACTCTCATAGCTTTTTTAAGTATACCACCACTTCTGTCCGTTATAGATTTTGTGAATGCTGTTAGTGACATAGTCTTCGAGCCAATTTTTAATTCCATTTCATCAGTTACGTTAACATTACAATTTTCAACAAAATTTCGTATTAGACCATGATTACAACTTATAAAATTAATTTCATCATCTTCTGTGAGCTCGTTTTCTGTTTTCGATTTGGAATACAATTCTTCATTGAATAGAGAAGTCGACAGTTCATGTTCAGCAGTCTGAAAGATTTCAATTAAATCGGGATCCATTCTTCCATCTGGTCTTTCGGGTGTAGCACTTGACCCAAAGGCATTAACAAATTTCCTCTTATATTTCAAATTAATCACAATGGGGTCATACTTAATTGGTTCAAAATGGACTGAGTATTCTTTCGAAATCAAAGAATCAAGTTCAACGTGTACGAGTAATTGATTTATTAGGGTTTCTGGACATGCAGATGTGTTATTGATAGCTATTGAAAAACGAGTAACTGTCTCGCTGTCGGGTTTCTTAGACATCATCGCGAGAAGTTTGGCGTTAATTTTAAAGGAATACAATCTATGATCATTCCCCTGAGAATCGGTTATAATTTGTAGACCACTGTCTCCAAACGTAATATCATAAGGCTTAAATTCTAATATTTCAAAGAATGTTTTCTCAAATCGTATCTGGCATAGTGTGGTAAATGTATGGTTGACAGCCCACAGAATTATTTCCTGGTCAGTAAGTGTAATTCTGATCTTCTCATCCACAGATGACAAGATATGAACAGCACGGGACCAGACATTATGTTTTTCAGATTCATCAATCACTAATTTAAATGACATCTGATTTGATTTGGTTTATTTGGAATGAGAGAAGTAGTTTCACAATTGTAGTATTGCAGCTATAACTCTTCTCTAATTACTACAAAAAAATACATATTTAACATAAAAAAATAATTTAAAGGATTACCACGGCGTTGCCGCGATATAGTTATTCGTGTAAGGAACAATTTCATTTTCTCTCGAATTTAAAGGAAAGTCGTCAAGCTTGTTTTATTTAGAATTATATATGAATTATGAAATGCAGATTTTATATTCTTAACTGTTTGCCTAACTTTCATTGACGTTAGAAGAAGCACTATCATCTACAGTTGGGGAGTAGCTTCTAGACTTCCCTCTTTTGATTTACGCTCCTTTTTCTTCTTTTTTGATGTTCCATCCTCTTTTGATTTAGATTTCTTCTTCTTTTTCTTCTTTTTAATAACAATAACTTCATCTTCATTTGAGGTATTAGGGTTATCATTATTTATGTCTTGTTCTTCGAATTTTGATCTTAGGTGTTCTAAAGCTTGATCTTCATCAGAGTTATTTTTGTTTTGTTCGTCAAAATTAAAATCTTCTAATTTAGTATGCATCCTCAAACTAATTTTCTTTGAGCTGATAGGGTTAGGTAGAGATTGAGATTTATTATTTTTACTAGATGCATCGACCTCTGTGACCCCTGGAATTACTATAGTTTGGTCGGCGAGAACTTTCACTTTTTTGGTCTTCTTCTTCTTTTTCTTCTTATCATTTATCTTTTGACTCCCATGCGAATTGTCATTTACCTTTATGATCTCCATAGCATTTAAACTTTTTTCTCTTTGCTCATTATCGGTTGATAAAATATCACTGAATTTGTAATGATTCCCATCTCCAGTTGGTTCATCTAGGTAAAATGGATTAGATAATGTTTCTTTTTTACGTTCTTCGTTATACTTTTCTTCGTCAAAATCCTTATATGTATCATTAAAATGGTCGGTTTCGCTTTCGTCACTACTCCCATCTTCATATGATGCCTCATGTCCATAATTCTTATCATCACTAACTAAAGAGAACCTATCTGAGTCGTATATATCCATATCTTCTTCAGCTAATGTTTCTTGATCATCTAATATGTTGTCCAGATCTTCTTGACTTAAAAATGGAAGGTCAATATCAAAGTCTATACCCTTTGGTAATTGTTTTTGAGTTCCTAAAGATATCGGTGTTAACTCATAGGTGTTGAAAAAGCTAGGTAAGACATCACTTAATAGTAGTGGAATCTCATCTGATTGTTCTTCTAATGCTTCAAGAGTTAATTTCAAAATTTCAGACATCTGAATACTCATCTCTTGAACTTCAAAAGATTTTGAAAAATTCAATTGGGTCAAAAAATCAACCATTTGTTCCAAAATATCTTTGATATAATCAATTTGATCGCTGTTTCTAGTACACCAAGAACTAAATAATTTTACCACAGCAATAATAACCGCATCTTGTGTCGAATGTGGCATGTGTAAACCTTTTTTGATAAATAATTTTATTAGGGCATCCCCATTTTCTAGGTATGTTGCATATTCACCTAGTGACCATATACAGCTTTCCAATATCGTTGGTAATCTAACCTCAACTGAATCTAAAGATGTGATTTTTATTATATTCACTATAGTAGTATGTCTCATATCTGGAACTCTGATCATCAGATTTCTTAATTGGTTACCGATCTTTGTTCCGAGGTCATCTTCATTTAAATCTAACGATACTATTGCAAGGTCGTAAAGCACAGCATTATACCAATCAAAGTTGTCCACATTTGAATAATTATCCATTCCACAAATATTTAGAATCACGTTGACAATTTTAATCTTATAATTGTCCGATATTACAATCGGTATTTCCTTTGAAGTTCCCCTGTTGGTTTCAATGATAGCAACTTCATCTCCCACAAATTGTTTTACTAAAGTGGATACTATTGTCTTTAAGTTATCTTCAGAAACAATACCTTCTATTAGTTCAATAGCCTTTAATCTAATTGAGATATCAATGTCACTTATTAATTTCATAATTAACTCATCGTATTGGGATATGAAATTAGAATTAATTTTCCCAATTTTATAAAATAAGACACAACTAATATATCTTAAATTGGAGTCTTGAGAATTACAAAATCTGTTCAAGATTTCTAAACATTGGAATGCAACATCATAATCATTTTCGTCAAGCATATTTCCCGAAATAATGCAATTTACAGATTCATAAAGCACAGAGGCAGCATTAGTTGAATCCATCAACTCTACTATCTTTGGCAACAATCTTCCTTTCAATTTCGGCTCAATTTTCGATAAGTTTGTAAATAGTTTCAATAATCTAATAATGATCCAATTATCATTGATATCAATTAGTATTTCATATAATAATGGTGATAATTTGATAAAGGGGGCCGGATTTTTCTTGGATAATTCACATACTACACTAATGGTAGCAGACACTACTGATTTATCAGGATCTTCTAATTTCGACGTAAAATTATCAAAATTACTCTGTAAAGCTTCAGGGTATTCCAAGAACACTTTATATAAAGCTGTAACCGTCTTCTTTCTAATATATGGTTTGGAGCTGTTTAGCATTAAAAACAGATCATCCACTATATCCTTTGCTAGTTCAGGAGTAACAATTGTAGATAAACCACTTAACGCAATTCCCACTTTGAATACATCATTACTACCACCATATTTAAGATCTTTTTTCAATAAATTTGTAGCTAACATCAGGACGTCTGCATCCTTATGAAATGACTGTGATGCTGCTAAATATCCAACCCTTTTCTGTTGTAGTTTATTACTACTCATCACTTCTAATATATGGAAATTACACCATGACATATCATAACCATACATTTCTAGATAAGTAAGTTTTAATATAGCATTCGTTTTCATTTCCATGTTTGAGGAATTGGCTTCTTGTCTACATTCTGATAATTGACCTTCTAGGAATAATTCCAATTGTTCTGGGGTGTCATTATGTGATCGTATTCCCCTTATCAAATCTTTCAATGACTTTTCAAAAAAGAATCCAAATGGACGAAGCCTTTGTATTACGTCGTCTGCACTTGGAGCATATAACGATGTCATCGTTGGCAGTGTATTTCAATTATACTATATGTATGGGATCTCTCTCTCTCTCTCTCTTTCTCTCTCCCGGGTAAAATATTTGATATTTAGTTGCTCTTTGGATTGTCAAATAGTGATATCAATAGTTTCATTCTTTAGAATGTAAACTATCTAATGAAAAGTGTCAATATCCCTCTTTCTCTCTTAATTCAATCAAGTTTTCTTTCGCTATTTTTATTGCCGGGTAGACTGTCGAAAATGTTTCTAAAAGAAAAAAGTCAACTGATTAATACATTCTTGATATAGGTTTACTTGGTAAGTTCGTCAAAGAGGTAACACAATCATAATTGTAATGATTGTATTCATATTTTAGGTCTTTGAGTCTATGAAACTTGTTTTATCAATAATTTCTTGCAACACTATATAAAATTACGCTCCAATTGGTAATTATGTATTCATCCCGAAGTATATACGGTTATTATCTTTTTAATGATACTTTTTAAAATTTTGTAGAACTTTAAACATCTCGTAGAATGTGTAAAGATATGCAATAATTACATAAAATAAATAATTTATTCATTGTTAACCTACTCTCCAAATCTCCAATCCCATTATGTGGAACTTTTCACCTTCTTTACTCAATGGTTCATTTCCATATGTATCACAAGAATATGATACACCACGTAATAGGCTTCCATCACACCATAAACCATAACGTCCATTTCCAGCTCCCATTGATAAAAATTCAGATGTACAATATACGGCGAATTCATTAACACCAGTATATGGATACCCAATAAATTTCCATTTTTTATTGTTTTCAGTTTCAAGTTTATCAACTTTATTCGTCTCCTTATTATTTTTAATTACTAAATCAGGAACTTTTTCTAATTTCCAAAGAAAGCATTCACCATTACCATAATATCGTTTATGTTCATGCGGTAACCATGGTTCATTTGAATAACCACCAAAGATACCATTCTGACGATCCTTAATAATAATAACATACCCTATTCTTTTATTAATATCATCATCTGGTGTTACATTGGAATACAATGAATGTAAAGAGGCACCATGTTGTTCTAAACTATATAGCAATGTCCATTCATTGTATAATTGTATTCTTGCAGGCATTAACATTCGTATTTCATCACACATTCCTTCAGTCAGGAGTTTATTTTTCGTACTAGGGAGGTATCCAACAAGATTTACTTCAGGTAACATATCGAGATCATCACGGTCATCATTTTCCCACTTATTTTTGGAGAAAATATCAGATTCTGTCTTTGTATGGGAAAGTTTATTACTATTTTTAATAGAAGTTTGCGAATCTGTACTGGTTGAGGGAAGTGAATCCTCAGTGGCTGTCAGGGATCTCCCGAGTTTATATAAGGCATCTTTAACGTCAAACATTCGGATTGGACAAATTTTCTTTAAAGATAAAGAAAGAAGGGGTTTCTATAGTGTATCTGTATTAATAATAGAACATATAATCACACTTATTTGCTATCAGTTGTTTATATGTTTTCGTATTCACGTATTTCCCCCACACTCTAGCTCTTATTACATACTCATTTTTTTTGCCCTTGAGGTTCATTATATATAACGCTCATTTCCTTTAACCAATTTTAAGGTCGGTAAGGCAAAAGGCTAAGGAAAAAAGGACATCCCGAGAAATGAGAACGTGAGGAGGAGAGAAAGTTGAAATAATTATTTATTTTTATGAAAGACTTACGCAGATGACTATTCAGATGAATGGTGGATTAATAAATAATATATATATATAAAAGGTTAAAGAAAGTTTAGTGTGGAATATGTATATGTACAAAAATAAATGGGGGGGGGGAGAGATACTAAGTTGACGATAGTTATCTCATTCGTAAAAAATTAAAAGAAAGAAATGAGAGAGGATATGTAATGTCATTAGTCCTCTACTTCTTGGAAGTAATAAATTCGTCAATCTGTATAATTTCATTGTTATTGTCAGATGTATTCTCAAAGCTATCATCAGTATTATATGCAATAGGACTAACACTGTGAGAACTGTATAATTCATTTGTTTGTTCTACTTCTTCTTCTTCTTCTTCTTCTTCGTCATTGTTGTCGTCTTCTAAAGAATTAAATTCCTTGACACCCTTAAATTTCCAATATAGTACAGCGTAAGCAAAATAACCGACAATAACTACAGAAACGTAATTCATATTATCCTTTGTAACTGGTAATACCGGTGGGAAAGAAAAGAATACAATAGCAAATACAGTCCAACCTAATAAAACGATATTGCAAAATAAACCAAATTTACCTAACCAAAATGGACCATGTGGAATATTACGTCTTTTCAATAATAAACATATTACAGGAATAATATATGATAATAATAAGAATGCAATACAACCAGTAATTAAAGAATTAAATGCAGTTGATGAAGCCAAGTATAATAATCCAATGATTGCAATCCAAACACATGACATTAAATGAGCGTATAATGGAACACCAACAGTTGGATTAACTTGAGACCATAAATGAGAATAAGGTAGACCTTTATCTCTTGCAAATGACCAACATAATCTTGCTTGCCATGTATGACATGCAATAACACAACCAAAAGATGTGAAAAGGACTAAACAACCCAGGAAAATAGCACCACCTTTATTATTCAAAGCTTGATTATAAATATCTAAGATTGGTGCACCTGTATGAGAATTTAAAAGTTGATCTAAATCACGTAATGAGAAAAACATTGAAATGACATAACAAAATGAAGTAATGAAACCAATACAAACAGTACCAATAATAGCAGTTGGAATAACTTTTTCAGGATTTTCAACTTCAAATGCCATATGAGTAGCACAATCTAAACATGAGAACGACCAAGCTGGATTGATTAAACCCATGATAAATGCAATAACACTATTTTTCCAACCAGTTTCATTATAAAATGTTGCAAATACAAATTTTGCATCATTATATTTACCTGATGAACAAGCTAACACTGTTACGGTAATTGTGAAAAATGATAAAAGTGAAATATATAAAGAACTTGATGAAATCAATGGTAAAGATTTACCGTAACAATTAAAAATCATTAAGAAGGCATGTAAAATTTCAAAACAGACAAAAATATGCCATCTTTGTGGTATAAAATCTGGATGTGTTAAAGCATACATACCAACAACTTCTGTTGCAACGGATAAAGTAGTTGATGCACTTGTAAAGACAGAACCAGCATATGCAAAGGATCCACATAAATATGCTGCAAATCTTTTATGTTTCTTTGGAGCTAGTTTTAAAGTCCAATAAAATTGTCCACCCGCATGTGGGTAAGCTGAAGATAATTCACCTAATGATACGCCCACACAAATAGAGATAGCTGCAATAATCATTATACCATAAACAATCATCATTGGACCACCAGATGGAATACCTGTAACCATTGAAGCAGATATACCAAACCATGAATTTGTTAAACCAAAACCAACACCAAGAATTGACCATAAAGAAAAAGATTTTCTTAAATGAACTTCTTCATTTGGTTGTTGTTCAGTTGTAAATTTTTTATCATTATTACTATTATTGTCATCTATTGATGAGTTTAATGTAAGATGAGAATGTCTTTGATGTAAATCCTGGGATGTAGTTGACAGTACATCACCTTTCATATCGATGTCAATCATTGTTATTATGATTAAAACAGGTAGAAAGTCAAAGAGGAATTAATAAATTAGAATAAAATAAAATAAAACAAAATAATATAAAGCGAAAATATTAGTTAATGACTCTGGTATTATCTTAATAAAATAGAAGACGCGTGTAGTTTATATATCTTCGAAGACTTCTAATTGTGTGATATAACAATAATTGTTTAAGTGTAATATATCACTTTATATATCCACACAGAATTAAGATTCCAGCAATGATTCGGTGACGTTGAATCATTTTTAAACATCTGAAAATAATCATTACGGCCTTCCTTTATGTATTTCCGTTGTTCATTTATCACACACATCATTCCATTAACCGTTACTTTACCCTCTTTGCACATGCAACTTCTTTCTCCTCTCCCGCGTAAAAAAATAAAAACCGAAAATTTCGTTCTTTTTTTGTTGAAATTCATCAGTTTTTCGTCTCTCTCCGCACAAACGTCCGCGGGAGAGATGGGAACTTGTAATCTGTGATTCTGTGCATGTGAATTTTATCATAACGATTTTGATAAAGATGTCACGAAACTAATTGTAGATGAAAATGTCAGTATATATATATATATATATACATGGTGTTGTGCTATGCAATGGTATCATGTTGCATTGACCGGGCAGGATTCCTAGGTTCTGATTGTACCTAGCTTAAAAGAAAGTAATGTTGTTGCAAATAAACTCTTCCTAACGCAAAACTTGATCTACTCACGCTCTATTCTCTTCTTTTCAGAGAGAGAGAGAGGAGAATGTGGTGGATGATAAGCATTGTAGTGCTATATAGATGACATATATATATATATATATATATATATTTAGACGGATAACAGAACAAAGAATGTAGGGCTGTATCGCGTGCATCCTTTTTTTTAACTACACGCATATTACCGGTAAAAAGTGAAGCAGAAAATTTTTTGAAAGAAGACAAACAAAGAATTTGGAAAATGTTAGCCATAGAGAGAGAGAATGTAAGTGTTTGTATTTCAACAGTATTTAAATTGATGGCATCGATATTAAATTTCATGTCAAGTAATAGCTTGTGAAGTGTCTGATACCATTAAACTACGATAACTTTTTTTCTTTTGAAGCGAAAATGGCTGAAGTTGCTACTGCCACTGCTGCTGCTGCTAGTACACGTCAAGTCTTTGATTATAATCATTCCAATGATGGAGAATATAAACAACTGAGAGAACAAGCTCAAAGACATTTTAAAAAACACAAAGAATTGAGTTTAGAATCTCAGCAATCTTATAAGAATGGTAATAAATCACAAGCCAAACAATTAAGTGATAAATCACATCGGGAATATAGGGAATTTCAAAAATTTAATAATCAAGCGGCGGAATTTGTATTTGTTGAAAATAATAAAGATTCGATGTCAAATGAAATTGATTTACATGGATTGTATGTTAGTGAAGCACAATATGTTGTTAAAAAAAGATTGATTTATGGTAATAATCATAATGAACAAGATGTTCATATAATTGTCGGTAAAGGTAAACATAGTTCAGGCGGTATTGCTAAGATTAAACCTGCAGTTGAAGAACTTT